TAACCCTAACCCTAACCCTAACCCTAACCCTAACCCTAACCCTAACCCTAACCCTAAGTCCGAGCAACCACCCCAATGACTACCTTGAATGGAACCCGTGACCCTAACCTTGTAAGCAGACCATCCCTCAGGTGAATACAGACACATCTCAGGCTATGAAGGAGGTCTTTGACAGAATAGTTCACAATAGTGTCGAAGAATTTCAGCAATTTGTCCGTCTGCTTGCCCTTGTCCTCGTGTCTGACGATCTTGAATTTTCCCACTAGGTACAAATTTGTGCAGAGGGCAACATCCAGTAATTGATCTATATCTGCTTTGGTCAAGAATCTGACACAGGGGAACACCTCACTTGCATCCATGTTTCTGACGTCCAAAAGAAGATTGTGGAGTTGGCTGTTGTCCTTCATCACAGCGTCATCAATACAGGAACCTCGGCGTGTGTGGATCTTGCTCAGAGTGTCTTCGACTGGTCGTCAGTGACCCTCCTTATTTTTGTGCTTTGATCATGACGAAGGGTGTCGTTGCTATTGTCGCGAATCCGTTTGGACAGCCCCTCCCCTTGGGATGAGAAGGATGATCAGAAACGCCCACACCCGCAGCAGGCAAGCTTTCAGCTGATCATGGAGATGAGTCTCTCAACTTGTAATGTTGTATTGTCCTATCTAAAGTCGTACATCATTGTGACCACCGCCATCGGCGACTGGATGATATGCTGTGTTCCTTACTCGACGCTATTTTGTCGCACGTCGTCTTGCTTCAATTTCTTTGCGACTGCCCAGCGTCTGTGGATTGCGGAAGAGATTGTCCGGATCAACTTGCATCTTGATGTCCTCAAGACGTGGGATCGAAGAGCCATAGTACATCGATGTCCATTCCTGCTCTGTGAGTTCCGAGTCTACGTAGCAGGAGTAACCGCCTCTGCCGAGACCAGATGACTCGATGGCACGGTTGATTCGGGCATCAAGCTCGCGTGCGTAGAGATGCCCTGAACGAGCGAGATCCATGTGCGCCGCTGTGCCTACAGCGGTTTGGATGAGCCAGAGACCATCGCGGTGCGGAAAGCTGCTGAGCTTCTTTGCAGAATCCTGGGAGTGAGCCGGGCTGCCGCCTCCAAACAGCTCAAAGTAAATGTTCCAGGCCCAAAATGCGTGCTTGCCGTCTGGCAGCTCGACGTCGAGACCTGCGCCTAAGCTGGTGTCCCAGATGTAATCCAAGAGAGGTCGTAGCGCTTGCTTGTCAAAGCCCTGGTTGCGTCTCAATGTGAGCGACGACTTTGTGACAAAATTGTTGTGCTGCTTGTGAATGGCTTGCGTATCGAGCTTATGCTCGCCCTTGCCGAAATCATCCCAGTCTTGCATGAGCTCGAGGTAGTTTCGGGACGTGACCGTTTCCGAATCCGACGGCGGGGCAGAGTGAGCTTGAAGCTCCTTTTTCAACCTCGCTTGAAGCTCATTCCACTGCGCTGTGGCACCGAGGAAGATGCCTTTCACCTCGATCGAAAGCGGGCGATTCTGTGATGGTTGTGGGTCGCTCTGAGAAGGCTTGCGTAGCTGTATGTGAAGGCCGAGGTCGTTCGAAAGGGCTGGTTGTAAAGCAAAGGCTTGGACGGCTGATATCACTGCAAGGACCTTGTCTACGTTGTCGATGGACGGTGCCCAGTGATATTCGAAGGAAATGACGGGATGCGAAGCGTCGTACGATCGAAACAGGAAACGAGTGACAACGCCAAAGAAGGAGCCGCTCCCACGTATCGCCCAAATGAGGTCAGGGTAATTGTGTTCCGAGACGGTGACGAGGGACCCATTGGCCAACACGATATCGGCCTCGAGGATGTTGTCGGTTGTGAGGCCCCACTTTCTCGACATCGGTCCGAAACCGCCGCAAAGGCTCAAGCCACCGACGCCGACAGCAGCGCAGGTACCCGTGGACATGGCACGACGAGCATCGCCTTGTTGCCACAGACCTTTCACAACATCTCCGAGCCGAGCACCGGGTCCAATCTCGACTGTGGATTCCTTCGGGTGCGAGACGACCGAATTGAGACGGGCGAGATCTATGATCACCGATCCGTCCTTACCGCCGCTGCCGAAACCTGCAAAGGAGTGGCCGCCACTTCGAGCAGCAATGGGGGCATCAGAGTGATCAGAGACACACTGAACGGCTCGCTGCACATCGGATGCTGAGTTCGGGTAGGTGATCAGGGCTGGATTGTAGTGAAAGACAACGTTGTCTGAAGCAGACGCTTGGAAGTATACGTCAGCCGGGCTGGTGTCGGGAGCAATGACCTCGATGCCTGCTTGGTCGAGGCAGTGGCGTAAGCGCGTTGCTGAGACGCTTCGAGACGGAAGAGGAGCGTCCTTGGAGGGCTCGATCGTGACGGCTGATGCGACCGCCAATAGCAGCGCCGTTGTGACAGCCGGATGTGAAAGCCAAAGCGGTCGCATGGCTGTCGAGCGAGCGATGCTGCGGCTCAGGTATCGACGGTAGTGATGGACGATGCGGTCTTGAAGGATCAGCGTGAAGGCGAGGTGCAAATGTCCGACCGCATCTTCAGTGTGAGGTCTTCGATGGGCATGCCATGTCGCATGGGCAAGAGGTCAAGCGTGTGACCGTGTTGGAAGCCGATGCTTTGAAATGGAAAGGCGAGGCGCGCGCGGAAGTTGGAACCCCTTGCAGGGCGCGTGCTTGACATGCAACGCAGGCAGATGCCGCCGCCAGGGTCCAAGCTCGAAATTGGCGAGTTCACTATTTAAGCTTTCTCGTCTGGTTCGACAAGGAATGAGTCGCTGTCAGCCGGGTGACTCTGCCCTCTCGATACAGCCACAACCTAAACAAGGTGCTGTCGCCAAGGGCAAAGGTCAGCAAGGGCGAGATCCCACTCCGGCTCGACATTATGCCGCATACCTGTATTACTACAGGACGGGCAAAAGTCGACATGTGCGTTACACGCAGATACCAGCAGCGCTGACACGCAGGACGTTATGAATGTGTGCTGTGGAAGCTTTGACGGGCAAGCCATTTCCTTGAGCTAGACTGCTCATACGCACCGGCCGTTCAGAGATACACGCTCGCTTGGATTCTTGACAGTGTTGGTCATCGGGTCGATATTGAGTGCGAGCTCGACGAGTTTCGTCCGAGAGCTTACTCGAAATGGAAACGGGGCTTGATCTGGCAGTTTAGCCGCGCGATAAGGTGATAGCGCACAAGGCTGGCGGTCTTTCTGGTTGTATCGTCCAAAGGCAGACTTGTCGACGGAGTCTCAGCGGCTTGACTGCAGGGGTACCGCCATGGCCAAATCGACTGCTCGTGGTGGAACAATGTTGCTTACGTCGGCGAGCTGCTGGGAATAGAGAGGTGGTGCTTCGCCGAGTCGACTGACGTTCATCGCCAACGACATTGTACGACGCGGGAGCTGTGGGCTAGCCGCGAGGCGAGGGAGAACGTCCTGTTTTTTGTTTTCAATCCCAGCAGCTCGTATCATTCAGGCGGGCCAACCTCGTACCAAGGCTCTGTCAGGTAGACAGGTGAGCACGCTGCAGCAGCTGGCTCGCGTGTCCCAGGAGAGCCGCGCTGCGCCTTGGCGACAATCCTTGTTGGCGCTTATTGTGTGGACCCTGCACCGACTTACCCCGCAATGTGCGCGGGATCCCCTGGCGAAGCTCCCCGCCCTCCTATAAAATGCGACTCTCCTTCCGTATGATATTGTTCTTGCATCCTCTCCGAGGCCCGCCCATCGAGCAGCATCGCCGTCAGCAACATGATTCCGTTTCTTTCTTCGTCCAAGTCGAACCCGACATCCAGCCCAGGCAGCTACGCGACTCGCGTAGACGACGCTGCTACCATCCCGGACAACGCCAATCACTACGACTTTGTCATTGTCGGTGGAGGCACCGCCGGGTGCGTCCTTGCATCGCGCTTGACCGAAGATCCGTCCATCTCCGTCCTCGTCCTCGAAGCTGGTCCGACCAACAATGTACTCCCGGCCAAGGCCCCGCTTCTGTTCAACAAGCTCTTCAAGACGGAGCGCGACTGGGACTACACCACCGTTCCCCAGCCAAAGGTGGCAAACCGCGAGCTCTACTGGCCTCGTGGTAGGATGCTCGGCGGCAGCTCGTCGATGAATGCCATGATCTACCATCACGGTTCTTACTCGGACTTCGACGAATGGGCGGAGAAGCTCGGTTGCAAAGGGTGGTCGTACGCCGACCTCGCTCCTTACTTTCGCAAGTCAGAAGGTTGCGTTCCGAAGAATGGCTTCGATGCAAAAGATCGAGGTACCACTGGTCCTTGGAAGACTGGACACAGCTTTTTCTCTGACATGGGCAAGGATGGTTTCCTGAAAGCCTGCGAGCAGGTCGGCATACCCTTTTCGCCTGACATCAACACACCCCGAGGCACCGAAGGTATCACCAACACAATGACTTTTATTGACCAAAAAGGTCTCAGATCCTCCGCTGCCACCGCCTATCTGACACCGGATGTCTTGGCTCGCTCCAACTTGACCGTTGCTTTGGCAGCTACCGTGACGCGCATCGTCTTTGACAAGTCCGCTGGCACACCTCGCGCAACTGGAGTGGTCCTCCAAACCACTACTGGCGGCTCGCTTTACGCCGTCGGCGCCACACGCAAGGTTGTCCTGGCAGCTGGCTCCATCAATACCCCACAAATCCTAATGCTCAACGGAATTGGCCCATCCTCGTCGCTGAAGGCACTCTCGATCCCCACGGTCCGCGTCAACGAGCATGTGGGCGCCCACCTCAAAGACCATTTCTGCACGTCAGGGCTCTTGCTCAAGGCCAAGCCAGGCTACACGTTCGACTACCTTAACACGACGATCAAAGCGGTGCCCGCACTGGTGCGTTGGCTGTCATTCGGCACAGGTCCAATCTCGTCCAACATTGCCGAGGCTGCCGCTTTCATCCGGAGCAATGACGAGCGCCTTCCTACCGGAAGCTCCGCAGCTTCAGCCAGGTATCACGGCTCCCAAGGGGTGGGTCCCGATCTCGAGATCATTGGCGCTCCGGTGGCTTACATCGACCATGGATTCACACCTGCTCCGCCAGGAGTGGATATCTTCTCGCTCGTACCCATCGGCTTGCGACCTCAGTCTGAAGGTTTCGTCTCGATCAAGTCGAAAGATCCTTTTGAAAAGGCCGTGGTCGATCCACGCTACTGGTCCGACGCCGACGACAACGATCGCAAGGTGTTGCTGGCCGGTCTACGCGTCTGTATCGCTATAACACACGCCGAAGCTTTGCAGCCCTTCTTGGAGCCCGTGGAGCCTTCGAACGACCCCGACAACATGTTTTGGCCGTGGTGCGCGCCCAAGGATGCTGTCATCTCGGACGAGGATCTGCTGAACTGGATGTCTCGGACTGCGTTCACGCTCTACCACCCTGTAGGTACGGCGCGCATGTCGGCCAAAGCGGATGACGGTGTCGTGGACCTGGACCTCAACGTTTACGGCGTCAAGGGTCTGGCAGTGTGCGATGCGTCGATCTTCCCACAGCAGATCAGCGGCCATCCTACGGCGCCCATCATCGCCATCGCAGAGAAGGCAGCAGAGCTCTTCGCCAAGAGTGCCAGCATCTAAGCCTCGTCTTGGCTGGGAAGCTTGCCCGAACTCGGGATATCCCACGCCAAGGCAGTCGTGCCTGAGACCTGCTTAGTGTCTCTCGATCAAGAGACTGTCACTCCGCGCCGCTCGTATGTATTTTTGCATGGGTTGTTTTGTGCACTTTTGTTTTTCAACGGAACCTGGTTCTACTTACACTGGCTTCAGAGAGACGTCTCGTTGAGGGAAAGCAAGACTGTTCGTGCATCCCGGTGATCTGGATAAGAAGGGCATCAGAATTGCCACCAAACGTGTCCTTGTGAACTTCCGCCTCCCGCATCCTTGATTTCTGTTCCCTTTTCCGTCGGCTGTTACGGCAGTTTGCGAACTTGGGCTGACTGAAATGGTTTCGAAAGATATTCCAACTTGCTCAAGCTTCGGGTGTAATTCACAGACATGAGCGCCACAAGCTACAAAGAAGTGACTGCCTGTCGCACGGCCCGGCGGTCCGAGCGACACGTGTGAAGTGTCGTAGCCGATTGATCGACGGAAAATCAGGCACGGCACCTCTTACAACTTACCTGTATGCCGCGTGCGCATGAACGCTACCAGACTTTTCTAAATTACAGGGCTTCTCCTTTCTCGAAAGGCACAGCTGTACAGCATGGCTGTACAAGCGTCTCGACCTTGACTCGTTCTTCCTCTGATCGTCATCTCAGTCCATTCAAAGACCAATACCGAACATCTGATACAGAGGGAGAAAGATCGGAGGACAGACCCAAGATTGCAGCATCCATGGCTCGGACTTGTGCCTTGATGTGAATCTGAATTTCAACCACCTGCAATAAAAGAACAACAGGATCGGACTTGACTTCGAGAAGGGATATGCAGCTCGGATGCAGACATGCAGGTACATTTGAGACACACTCCCGTCAGAGAGACGCGTTCAAGCCTGGCTCGGTCTTTTGAATTCGGCTGCCATCACACTGAGCTGCTGGCGATCCGCATTGGCACGGATTTTAGAATCTAGCCCCATCTGGATAAAAAACCGCATATGCATTGGATAGGGCTGCCTCGGTGATGGGGTTGCGACAAGCTAGGGTTCGAGGCAGGCAGATACGCAGAGCACCAGCGCAGGAAGTTTCTACCCGTTCTCGGTGACAGAAGCAATTTGATAGAAGGTGTCTCGCTACGTCCCGAGCATGCTCGCCTGGCTCCCCTTCGGTAGCAGTGAGGCTCTGAGCTACGGCGACACTGCATGAGCGTCAAAGCTGCACCCTGTTGATCTTCGCTGATGTAGCCGATGGACACCTTGATACCGAAAAGACACCGTCCAGCACGTCCTTCTTACCGACCTACTGTTCCTCTACAACACCATCACCGCCTTCGCCCTCACCATTCCTTCTACTACTCCACAGCATCCCCCGACAAGAATCTCCCGACAATTCGTCAAAGCTATCACCGCCTCAACGAGCACGCATACGTGGCGAATCCTCCAAAGATGGTGCAATGGGTAGTCGCAGTCACGCTGCTCGCGACCTTTTTGGCATCGGCTCTCGCCGACTCAGTCGCCGCAGCAGCTGGTGGCATCAAGCATGTCCTGGTCCACGAAGCACATGGATACCACGATGAAGTATGGGCGGCATTCCTTGGCGATCTCGGCGCTTCACCGCACATCAAGACGACATTCAGTCGCCACTATGTCCGGTGGAACATGCCGATCATTACCGATACATTCTCCTCCGTCAATCCGCTCACAATCGTCGGCTTCAACGCCAGTAAACCGGAGTTCCCGATCACGCCCGAGATGGTGATTGAAAACAAGGTGGATTACATCCTTTCCATCAGCTGCGACGCCTCACTCTACTATTTGCCCGCAGAGTTCCAGCGCCTCTATCACGAAACCGATGTGAAGCTGCTTTGCGTGAATCACGACACCCATAACATGGCTGGTGCAGTCAAGCAGTATCATGACGTTACCAAGCTGTGGATCGACTCGGATCGAATCACCTTCTTGGTCCTCAGCGAACACGTAGGCAAGGCACTTCAAAGGCAAATGCTCAGCCGAGGATCCAAGCCCATCAGCTACGAGGTGTACATTCCCGTCTTTGACCTTCCTTCCGGCATCGAGACCGCGACAGCCGAAGACAAGCAGATGCAGTTTGTCATCCAAGGCAACTTTGAGCCTGGTCGCAGGGACTACGGTCTAGTCTTTGACCACTTTCGCAAGGGACTCGCTGCTCTCCCTCCCGCGTCCCTAAAGCCAAAGCTTGTCTTGATCGGCTCAGGCAAGCCGCTGGCGATTCCGTCCGACCTCAAGGGCAATGTCGACATGCACATGAACCTCGAATACCCAGAGTACTACAAGACGCTTGGTCGATCAGCTGCACTGCTGCCGGCATTTGGTCAAGCCTCGTACTACACCGAGAAAGCTTCGTCGACCATCAATGCCGCTATCATCGGTGGTGTCACCATCATCGGAAACCAAACCATGCTCGACTCGTACACGTTCCTTGACGACCGCGTTGTTTTCAAAATGCAGCCGGGGGAATCGGATGTCCAAGCAGCAATGCGGTACTTGGCCTTAGACACGGCGACGAGGAACAGCAGGCTGAAGTACATTCGAGAATATCGCCATCGGGTCATCAAACAGAATCGCGAGCTGCTGGAGGAGCTCGTCAATCCGCAGGCTGTCGCAGCTTTCAAGGCAAGCCACGATGCAGTCGGTGCCTTCAGCGGGTACGTTGACCGAGTCAAGAGCGTACCGACGGAGCACCCGCGCTCGTCGGGTGCCGGGTTCGTGGTCTTCATCGGTCTCGTCATCGCTTTCGTCTTCAGAAGATCGCTGGTGAAGCAGGCTCGACAGGCGAAGTACACGTACCTCGGTGGAAGGGAGCATCACGTGCCCGTGTCGATGGCGAGAAGTGAGACTTCCACGCCAGCTATGCGATCCGCTGCTTGAAAATATCGGCGCCGTCTCATAAAATCTCGTCTCGTAGTCCACGCGGCATGTCTCATTCATCAACTGTCCCACATCGCATGCTTTGCAGCGCTCTCACACTCTTTTATGGTGCTCATCTTGGGACAACAGCTTCGGAATAGTAAACCGCGACCCTTAGCTCTTTGCCCACTCGTGCGTGAGTTGGTTTGTGCTGCGTTTGAAAAACGCAGGACCGCTGCGGACTTGCCGCTTCCCGATCTGCGGAAGCTGTCTGCCCGATCCAACCGGGGACCGCCCAACTTCGCTGTGGGCTGCTGCAAATAACTTAGGTGTCTTTTTGTTTGCATGGAGATCGACCGCCTTCTCGAAGGGACGGGCTAGTGCTGGTGTCCGAAGATATGAAGCCAGCGAATCGTATTCGTCGCTGCGTGGAAGACGACTTAGCTGGTGCGCTAACGGCTGCATAATGCTACGATGCGAAATCACCGGACGCCGGTTGCCGGTCGCCGGCGGTACTGGTGTTCTGATTGCACGTCTCCTGACCTCAACGATGGCGACGAGGCTTCCTAGCAACATGCACGATCACAGGATCGTGGACTCGGATAGCGTTCGAAGCTGCAAGGACAGTCTAAGGTTCACGCTAATGTGAGCGCAGCGACGTCGGGAATCTTCCACGCGACAGCAAATATCGCCACATGCGCCGACTGGACCCCGCAATTCTCATGCTACTGCCCTAAGCAAGGTCGAACCCCGGAGTCAACTCGATCTACTGCCACCGGTGAAGACAGCACTGCAGATTGCAGATGGTAGCTCATGCAGCCTCGTGTTCGTCAGTCGAGATCATGCTGTACGGAAATCTCGTATGATTCTCGCTGTGGCCTGGTGTGTCCTGTTCGAATGAGCTGAACCATCGTCTCTGAGGCGCATCAGACGCATATAAGGAGGCCAAGAAAGAAGGCCACGGACTGAAGAACAGTTTTCACAGCAAGATCCCATTACCCCTGTCCACTCTCTCATCAGTATGCCTTCGATTCTGTCCTTTGTAGCTGTCAGCTTTATGCTGGCTATGTGCGCCTTGTCGCACCCGCTCAGCGAGCTCGAAAAGCGTTACGGATCCTCTCTACAGCAGGAGACCGGCTTCCCGGGCAAGCCGACCGCCGCTCTCATGTACACGTACAAGCCCGCCTCGTACAAGGCAGGAAACCCGGTTATCGTGGCCCTTCACCACTGCCAAGGCACCGCTTCGTCTTACTTCGGCGAGTACAGTGACTGGCCCAACATGTCTGATCAAAAGGGTTTCATGATGATCTTCGGAAGCAGTCCTGGCAACAACGGTACCTGCTGGGACGTCTCGTCCAGGGCATCTCTCAAGCACGATGGCGGAGGAGACAGTCAGACTATCGCCAACATGGTCAGCTATGCCAAGAGCAAGTACGGGACCGGGGCTGCGTACCTTGTCGGCCACTCGAGCGGTGCTATGCTCACCCAAGTCATGGCCGCCGACTACCCTAACCTGTTCGTCGCTGGCGCCGAGTACTCTGGTGTTCCTTCGACCTGCTTCGCCACCAACAAAGCTATCGGACAGGACTGGAATGGTGAGTAACCTGGATCGCGTTCTCAATGGTTGATGAATGAGAAGGAACAGTCTAACCCCAAACTTTTGACTCCTTTCTCAGCTACCTGCGCACAAGGAAAGATTATCGAGCCCCAATCCTACTGGGTTTCGAAAGTCAAGGGACAGTACTCCGTGAGTATGGAAGTCTATGGACTGAGTGCCTCGATTCACAACGAAACTGATCAGCAACCTTCCCTGCTTTGATACAATGGGATTGTTTGACAGGGTTACGGCGGTCAGTATCCACGAATGATGCTCGTGCATGGAGACGCCGACCAGACGATCAACTTCAACAACCACGGGGAAGCCATCAAGCAGTGGACTGGCATGCACGGTCTGAACCCTGATCAGCCAAGCAAGACGTACGCCCTTTCCTCCGACTCACGATACCAGGTGTCAGAATATGGCTCCTCGGTCATGGCAGTGCGAGCCAAAGGCTTTACACATGACAACCCCGCAAAAGGTAGGTCCAGGCCGCATCACTCTCTTCTCCCGAAACTAAGCACGACGACTGACCTTTGACCGACATGCTTCTTGGAATGCCTTGCTGCTACAGTGAGTCTTACGCTCCAATTCTTCGGACTCTAGAACAGCGACTACTGCTGCGTACATCGTAGCTGGCATGCTGTTTTCACGATGCTGTCGTCACAGCGTCATCAGTTCCATCTTGACGCGAATCGTCATACCCTGCCTGGAGGGAAGCGGAGCCAGAGATTCTACAGACTTCAACCACGTTGTTCTGCAGCCGCTTTGTGAGCTTGTCGATTATTTCGCAGCTCCGAGAACTGGAACATCCATTCAATCTGTAATGCTTGCAATCTGTTGACCGGTTCAAAGACGTAGTGAGACGCGAATCGCTTGTCGTACGAAGGCGCAGTCCCATGCCGTGTGGCCTTCGCCTTGTCGAACACCGCAAAAGTGCTTCCGTGCCAAGAGCGCTGAATTCTTCTGCTACGTGGTAGTGGAGCACGGCTCCGGCCCGCACAAAGGTCGCATTTATTTGGCTCTAACGTCACTCGCTTGGTAGCACAGTCGGCGGGAATCCGAGCTTATTGTTGGGCTTCGGTTCGGTGCTTTCTCACTTGATTTCGAATCTTCCGGTGTCAAGACAATGCAGGAGGTCCGTCATCTTGTCAGCTAGGCGAGAAATTTAGAGCTCGAACCTCGCTCTAAGCTTATTTTGTCGCTGCAACACCTGCAACGCGATGTTTGCATACTCGGAAGGATGCTTCCTTGTCTCGGAAAGGTGGGGTCGAGTACGCACCGCTACCGGCCCTTTCGCCGTTTCGGCGGCGACAACGCACTTCCGATGAATGGTGGGCAAAAACCATAGTTGCTGATTGCATTAGACGCTCAAATGAACGAGGCCAGCGGTACGAGGTAACTGCGAGGTCTGATCTCGACGACTATGGCTTTCGGTTACCCTTGTTCGAGGGGCCAGTGCTGGTTTGGGCCTTCAAGGACTGTGAGTGATCGAAAGGCAAACCCGTTCCGCTTCGCTTTGCGCCTGACACCGCCGGGCTGAGAGCTATATATGCGTCCACCATCAAGCTCTGTAAGAGCCCGACTCAATCATCAACGCAGCAGCTCTTCACCTTCAAAACACTTCACAAACAGATCTATCAGGATAACCGCGATTCATCAAGATGGTATTCCCAACAGCACTTCTCCTTTCCGTCTTGCTGGGCGCAGCTGCTTTGACTGAAGCTGCTCCTACTCCGAGCAAGTGTGTGTTGGACCAGCGTCAAAGAGGCCCAATCGAGTTCTTTGGCACCCCTCTTAGTCTGGGACATGACGGTGACATCGTGGTAGGTGGCAAACCCCTAAACTTCATCAGTGGTGTTTGTGAGGCCGACGATACCGACAACGGAGGACGCACTGTGCACCGAAAGGGCTACCTTGCCGATGCCTTTGATGTTACACAGTGCCTCACGGTAAGCCACCTTGACCAAGACAATGCCACCTTCTCGTTCAGCGACTGTCGATTCAATGGAGCCGGTGATGTTTGGTCCTCGCAATCTTTCGCATGGACTTTTAACGAAGGTGACCATTCGGCCACAGGTTTCTTCAACGGCGAAGATTTCAATGCGATTAATAGCACCCAGGCACCAATCTATAACTTCAAGGCAGAGCACAAGCCCGACGCTGACGAAAGGCGCGGCAAGCTGCTGGTCGACTACACCCCTGAAACGAATACGTACGGGGACTCGATCCAGATCTCACACGCTTAAGCTTTAAGACAAGACAACCCTTAAGGCTGCTCTTTGGGAGAGGTATGGAAGATACGAATCTGCGTCAAATCACCTCAATCACCATCGTCGCGATCGTATAGCAATCTCAGTTAGTCCTCGACCAATGTCTCGCCGTTCCGTGTTGCGACAGGATGAGTGCCTCGCTGGAAGAACAGCACTGACAAGATGAACCGAAGTGAGGAGAAGCACATGTGAGGGCGTAACGCTATATTTTGTATTGGTAGATCGATGTCGAGCGGCGTCATTCGGAAGCGTTGATCAGAGCCTTCGTCCTTCTCCGGACGGAACAGCACGACGAAGATCAATGGCTTCCACTACTTGAATTATTTTAAATAATAATAACAACTCCTCGTCTGACACCATCGCTCGATCCCCGTCGTCTTCAAAACACCCCGATCCGATTTCGAAGATAATTCAATTTTCACATAAAATATAAAACGAAATTATCAAGGTGGAAAATAGCCTGAAACTCCATGCGTTGCAATGAAACCATCCAGAGACACGCTGCTTACCGGAGCCTCAAAAATCGGAATGAGGTAGTTACGTGGCTCGCTACATCTCTAGGCCGTTCTGGCGCCTGACGGGGGAAATCTCACAAAATTACCCCCTGCCTGGGGAAAAGGGGAGAGAAACAATATAAAACCGAATAATTTGATTTTTTGCGGCACGTTGGAGCTCTCAACTTTGCGCTCGAGGGCAGAGGCGGGCACACGTAGCTGGAAGAGATCATCCAAGGTGAAATTGCGAACATACCTCCAGCATATGATTACAAATGACAGCTGCGAACTGAGGATCACAAGGGGATTCCGGGCGCACTGAGAGGACGGGAGAAGTTGGCACGTGGGAGACTGGAAGCATGGCGGAGCATCTTGATCCTCAACTCGTCCGAATTGAATTGCGCAGGAGGAGCACGCATCGGGCTCATGGGACGAGCACTGCTCGGCCTCATGATGGGAGAAGAAGAGAGAGATCCACCGACAGGTGTGACGGGAACCGAGACCACGGCGCCTGCTGCACCGGCGGCATCGCCAAAGTAGTCGGACTGCTTGGGTGAAGATCCACCGGAGGAGAGTTGAGGGGTAGAGGGAGCAGAGACATCGCCAAGAAGCATGGTCGAAAGACGACGCGAGACATTGTGGACACCGCTGGAAGGTCCGACCTCGATGACAGCCTTCTCAGGTACGTTTTGCTTGACAAATTGATCAAGCGTGAGCTCGGCGAGAGGAAGCGAAGGGTCCGTTGGCAGGGAAAAGTAGCGCGTCTTGGTGGGGACAGTACGGTGCAGACCCTCGGCGCGGAAAGGCTGCTTGGAACCTGCTTTGAACTTGGCGTTCTGAATGGCAGTGACCTCTGCCAGGTATGAGACGCTCTTCTCCCATGTGCAAACCGCCGATACAGGCAGGTAGGGGCGCTTGGACTTGACACTGGCCTTGGTGGCGAGCATCTTGACGAGCTCCCACAGCATGTCGACAGAGGCCGCCTTGATAATCTCTGGATGGGCATTGGCGGCCGAGGCGCGGGAAGAGCCGAGCAAGTCGGCGACAGAGACGGCTGGCACCTCGATGCGACGCATCTTGACTTCCACAAACGCGCAGTAGAGTCCACAGCCGGCGCCGTCGCAGGCGCGGCAAGCTGCGGCCTTCTTGTCCTCGCAGGCCATGCAACTCAGCTTTCCTTGGCCCTGGCAGCGACCACAGCGACGACGGCCTTTCTGCATGCCGGAACCAGAGCACCAGAAGCATTCGCTTCCGGCTTCGCCACGGCAAGTGCGGCAAATCTCGCTACCCGAACCCGAGCACTTGCGGCATGCACCCGTTGTCTTTGAGCTAGGAAGCTGGAAGATCTTGCGGGTCTTGGACTTGATCGTGCTGATATCGAGACCTTCGTGGGTGATCTCCATATCCCACGGACTCGGTAGTTCGGGGAGGAGAGCCAGAGTGGTCGAGTCGGAGGCGTCCTTGTCGATGTTGGCCACCTTCTTCCACAGCGCACTTCGGCTCTCGAGTACGACAGTGGATTTGACGAGCGAGTGAACCTTGCTACCTTTGAGCTCGACCTTGAGCGCCTCTTGACGAGCAGCACGCTCAGCTGCGCTGATCTCTTCCTTCTTGGTGGGAGGGAGAGGTGCGCCATCCTCGCCAAACATGCGTGCGGGAGGTTCACACAGGGAAGGGAAGGCCTTGGCAAGCTCGGACTGGGCGGCGAAGCGCGACGGAGGCTCCTGGTTGATGTTGGCAACGCGGAACACGATGTCCTCGCGGGTGAGACCCGAAGTTGGCAGAGCGGGTGCTTCGGTGAAGAGACTGCTCGCCTTCCATGAATGAGGCGGCGAGAAGGAGAGGCTCTGATCGGAATCGCTCAGCTCTGCTGATTTGCCTTTTTCCTCGCGGCTATACCTTGGCTCTTCGTCGATGAACTCGAGCTCGTCCTCTTCACCGATAGAATCGACCTTGAACTGGGGGGATTGGTGTTCGTTGGCACGGTGGGGAACGGCGATACTGCTGCTGTTATAGAGGTTGATGAGCTCGTTGAGAGAGCCGTCGTCGCGACCCTGTCGGCTGTAAGGATCGAGCTTGAGGTCATCGTTCAGATAGGCTACATCGGTAAAACCAAGAGGAGTAGTGCCCTCAGGAATGGCAAGCTGCCCAAAGACGGAGCGCTTTGCTTGAGGAGCCAAGACACGAAGAACAGCCTCTTCCTCATCAGAGCAAGAGCCCCGAGACGAAGCAGTTCTGATGGAGCCATCGTACACAGAACGAGGACTCGAGAAGGTCGACGAGCTGAAGCCTTGCGAGCGAGGCGAAACTGGCTCGTAAGTGTAGTTCGACATGGCGAAGGTGATTGTACGGGGCAAGGTTGTGTGACTGAGAAGTGGGAAGGATCGAGAGGATGGTTCCGCCAGCGGGACCTGCGGGTGTTATAAGCAGCAAGGACGTGAAGACGGATGAAGTCTGACTCAGGACAGGATGGAAGGAGAGATGTCGTTTGGTTGGTAAGCCAAGGCTGCGAGCCGAGCCCAATGATACGTTGGCTTATATGGGAGTTTCACCCATGACCACGCTTCGATGTCATCTCTCAGCTCGGATAACGAGTTTGAAACAGGTGGGGCAGAGCGGCTCGTGGATGCGCATCGTTGGGGCTCTCCATCCGTATTTGCAACGAGTACGCAAGCGGCAGAGGCTTGGACGCAAAAGGAGAGCAAAAAAACGCATGGCGAAAAGTCGGTCGCTTCGGTGAGAGGGCTGTCAGGTACCGCAACCGATTCAGCAGGCTAGAATGGCAGAGTGTTCAGGTGCTACGGAACGCACTCGATGCAAGCTACCGGCGAACGAGGGGCCCAAGCACGAAACACGGATGCTATTCCAGAAGCGGTCTCAAGGCGTTTGAGGCGGACATGAGTCGGGCTTTCAGAGTGGCTGCTACGCTGGGTTGTGAGCAGGAAGATCCCAGTGTCTCAGCTGACGACGCAGGCGGCGGCTACCTCTGCAAGCGGAAGACGAAAAAATATATGGGGACTTGAACTTAATTGTTTTATTTTCTTTTATCGGGCTTTCCAACTCTAAAATTGCCTCGCTCACTTTCCCAATTCTGTTCGCCTTTCGCTCTTGCAGAAAGATCCACCGCGTGCGTAAGAGAGCCCACTCCTTTGCTCAGAATAAAAAGCGGAGAGAGGGTTCAGACACACAGTCGCAGACATGATTGATGCAACAACGCCGTCCTTCAGTTAGACCATACAAACATCACTCTGCCATTTCGTCAGCCGCAACTGAAGCATGCTGGGCTCCACAGGCACCAGAGACGGCCAGAGTCGGAGAAACAGATCAAGGTCGATCGCCAGGCCTGGGGTGAACACGGCCATTCGAGAAGATTGTCAACATTCGAAACATGGCGCTAAGCTTGCAGCGGTGAAGACTAGCGCCATCAGGAGCTGACATCGCCGTTCTCAAAAACAGACCGGAAGTGCCAAGGCGCAATGGCAACTCGACGGAGGCGGCGGCGCCCGATCAGAGCCCAGACAGCTCATGTCTCGGATGGGCTTTCTCTGCAGCAAGCCAGTCTCGCTGACCTCGAAGTGCTAAGCCGCTTCTCCGGAAGTTACGCTGGAATTAATTTTTTTTTCTCGCATTATCCGTTTTCTGTAGTACGAGTGCGGATTGGGCAGCCTATGCAGGTTGGCGTTCGAGCGATGCGCGTACCCCAGACGCCGGTGTGCAGAACCGGCTTCTCGATGCTGGCTGCAAGATTAGCGCTTGCTTCATAGAAGCGTTCTGAGTTGGTCTTGCCGATTTCCTGGTTGCGTCGCAAAGTGCCCGGTTGCATCGTTCGAAATCAGGGGCAAGTGCGCTATCAGTACGAACCGAATGACACGACAGACATGAAGGGAAGACGAGCTGCGAAGACAAGCGACAATCTTGCAGATCTACTCGCCGTTCGCTAGCAGAGAAAGAGTCTACGTGCGTGCCATGCGTCCGCAAGCGAGCGAGCCTACACGAGTGTTGTGTGCCTGCAAGTCTGTTTGTTAATGACGAGTGTGCCTGGCTGAAAGGATTCACGCGAATCACATCACTTCGAGCCCAGGGATGGACCTTTGCTCAGTGGTCCCCATTAGCGCGAGGAGACTACCAACAGTCTCTGTGATGAACCCGTGCGTTGACTGATGATAGGGCTTTCAACTTTGCCCGGACCGCTTTTAGTGCGCCTCGGAGCTGGACGAAAGCGGTCTTCTTGGTGAAACTGACATTGCCGCCTGCTTCTTGGCTTCCCGGGCCAGGCACGCTGAAAAGTGCCGCACCAAGAGATACCCTATCGGAAGTGGCGGGCTAAATCAAACGCCTGGCCGAGTCGATTCGGGGCGCAGTCACGATGCCTTTCGCCATGCTTTGATCTCGATAGTGATTGTCGCAGAGCTTTGTTGCGCATGAAGAACGTTCTGCATCAATTCGGCTGCTACCACGAGTTCAAAGACCGATTGCTCACGAGATACGTGCTCCCAGGGAGTAGTTTCTCGCTTACACTACTGGCAGATTTGGGTTCAGCCCCGCCAAGCGCGAAACGGTCCTCCAAAACCTGCCGTGGGAAGAGTGCAAAGCAAAATCTTAAAGCGTACTCTTGCTCTTCTGGCGCTTTGCGAAGGTGACAGCCGGCCAAGCCATACGTGACTCTCCGTTAGATGGACAAAGCCTCGATGGCGAAACCAAAAATTTGCGGCGCCGCTGGTCGCGCTGAGTTTGGAATACGTGCATCAAAGATTGCAGCCATGCCAAAAGGTACCTCCAATCTCGGATCCTGCCGTTCGACTTGGGCTGGCCACCTTCACGACTCTATTCATCTTTTGTCACCTTTCACCTTGCTTCACGCTGTTACCGGTGGTCGGATCAAGGAGCTCGGCTCCCAACATGTGGGAATGGATGCTTATCGTCAGGAAGCCGATGTTCGAATCGCCCACCGCCTCGGCTCGACTCGACTATCGTGCAGAAATTGAGTTCGATTCCGACCAGCCTAAGCTGTGACGTGCGTCGACGTGCTGGCGTGCCACGAGTGCTGTCTTTGTTGCGCTTCGCTTCACAACGACGGCGAGAATCTCCCTTATTCGGCGCTTGACACCTCTGAAAGCCTAACGTGCGAATGCCATGTCGGTCCGAGACTCAGCAGAACGATGACTTGGTGCCGGTACATACGTTTTGGTACAGCATTTACTGTTGATTGGACTGCTCCGGATTGTTTGGCCCCTTTCGTGATAAGGAAAGCAGCAGTGACTGAATGAGAGCGAGCGGAATGTGGCGTGAAGCGGTACTGGGGCCGCCTGGAAGGATCCAGAACATGGTTTGAGCCACAAGACCACATGTGTTTGCCTTGCTTAATGCAAAGGTGTGACCCTACCAAAAAAGCCCCTCGGTGGGATTCAGCCATATCGCAAGCCACGTTGGATTGCGCATTCGGCTTCTCCGTGCGGTAGGTATGCAGCACCTGCTAACGCCATTTCACCTCCAGCTTTTTCGACACCTCGCCTCGAGAATGGTTTTGTCCCGATCTCAGGGCACTCGTTCCGTCAGAATCGCAATCAACATGAAGCAGGCCCATAGCCCGAGCAGCTCCCTATGGTGCAAGCATGGCCTGGCTGCGACGATCTCATCACGTGTCGCTGCTTGGAAGGTTCGAGCTCCCCTGCCTCCTGTCAGCTTGACGTGAAGTCTTTCTCCGTCCTCCTTTTTCGTGTCGTCTTATAGCATGGAGCGCATATGGTCCAGACTTTTCGAGCCCCATTTAAATCCAATCTTTTCTCGGGCGCACCGTGGGCTTAGTAAATAACCGTACACATTGTAGATATTCAAATTTATTTTTTTTCGCGATCAATCGAGGCCTTACTTCGAGGCACATGACTGTCGGAACGGATGCAGATCCAACGCAGATCAATTTTGAACGCGCCACACGGCAGCGTAGAGCCGACAAGGTTAGACGAAGCAACGGACCACGAGGATCTCATTGCAATTCACTCATGTTCTCCCTGCGAACAATCGACAGCCGGCGAACAGTGACGACAAGGCCGGTTTCAGAGGGTCTCAAAATCCGAAACACGGCGCGCATGGAGGCGGCCACTCGCTCGCACGATGCCCAGAAGCGCGGAAGCGCCGATAGTAAAGAGGCTTCGACACGCGAGACCCTGACGCATCTGACAGCCGCTTCGGTAATCGCCTGTCAGTAGTGAAATTTGGAATCCATTTCTAATAGGGAATACAGATACTAGAAGAGTCTGGGCCCTTGACAGCTCGCAAGCGAAAAAGCCCAACACGTAAATTCCACGCTTGCGGTGATGGATGTTTCACTGTCATGGAAAATCGGCTTTTTCAGTCTCCGTTAGTACCGCACACTTTGCTTCGTCACCGAGGCAACTAAAGATAGGCTGAGAAGGATTGCTTGCCTGAAACACCCCGCTGCACGGAAGAAGGGCCAAGAGCGTGATCAGGAATCAGGCTTGTCAGGCTTCAGCCAGCCAGGCCATCATTCAAGCCATGCCCCTCCCATGTGTACTCCGAAACCACTGCGTCCGGACGCGAGACTCCCACCTCCGTCGTTGACCTCATGATACGCATTCAGCGTGGTCCTGGTCTGCTAGTGCGAAATCGAATTACGCAATCGCACCGGCGTTCTTCGAAGCCTGTCGCTGGTACATCACACGACTTGATGGTGCGCAATCAAGCATTTCGGACAGAGAGCAGAGTGACGAGGCACCGGAAGCACCCTCTCCTGAGTCAGCGAGCATGTGTGTCTGTCAACAATAGCGTGTCTCTGGAAATGCGTCTCGACGTAGCAGTTGTTGATGTCATTTCGTAGGCCGGAGAGACAGGAGCGTAAGTGGGTCAAATTTAGAAGAAGGCCCGCGTTGTCGCTGCAATCAATGTCTGTCAACTTTGGTCTGTTCTCCCTCTTTCCGATTTTTTTTCCAATTCTTTTCTCGTATTTCTCCGTCTGACCGCTTCCGTCGAGCTCCTCGTGCTGCGGGCGTGCGGAGGCTAGATTTCGGGCGAGCCAGACCAAATTTACGCCCTCAACTTCAGGCTCCGCTTGCCGCCTTTCAAGGATCGACACTGTCCCTGTGGCCTTTTTCCGAATTGATTGAGCCTTAATCATTTTCAATAATTCGAAAAAGGCATGAATTATCTAGACAACGAATCCGCTTGCAGCGAGCGGCGACACCTTTGTCTGGCCTCTGAATTGACGGTTTTTCCTCTCTCTAGTGGATGCCAATCGCCGACATGAGCTGTACTTGGACGGTACCGCTCTGGGCCCTCTATCCAATTTTTGTCGCCCAGAGACGGCTCGATCAAGCGCCACTTCAAGCGCCGACGACACCTTGGCTGACAGAGACAATTGTGCATGCAGACTGACACCTGAATGAAGTTCCATACGCCCAGTCAACAATCGAACATGGCCGGATTCATCCATTGTCTGACGGCAGGTGGCTTTTTTCAGAAGTGGCTGTCCCGGGCTCTGACAACTCCACTGCGGCTTGTTCGGTTTGATGTCGCACTGGCCTACGCCTTTCCGCCGTGAAGCCGCAGCCCTCGCCTTTTGAGTCATGAATACCCTCTGGCTTGTTCAAAAACCTCTGTGCCCGCTAGGTGCCATATATACCTCTAAACCATCGGCGACACACAACGACCGCCCGTTCATCAAAGTCCCCCCTTCATCCATCCGCGTCCTCTTCCTTCTGATTGACACGCAAGCCGGTATCTCCAGTACTCCGGCGCTCGAAACAGAAGCGATTCGCAAACAACATGACAGACCCGACAAAGCGCATGAGCGCGCTCAAGCCGCTCGCCCTGCCAGTTTTTGTGGAGGGCGCCTCTCGCGCTAGCAAGATCTACACTCCTGAGCGCGACGAGCGTGGATACACTATTCTCAAGGACGATGCCCGATTCGACGTCACGCCAAAGCCGTTCTCGGACAACGATGAGGCCGACGTCGGTCGGTCCCGCAAGCACCGAATTGGTTACCTCGAAGGTCTTCGCGGCATGCTTGCCGTCCAGACGCTCCTCTGGATCTTCTTTCGCCTCTTTGCTCCAGCTATCGTAACTGATCGCGATTTCGATGGCACGTTTCCCGCCGAGTTCACCAGAACCTGCCCGCAGTGGATGAACATCCTTCGCAAGGTGCTCAGCCCGCTCTTCTTCAACGGCAGCTTCCAGGGAAACATGTACATCATTCTCATGGGTCGAGTCGCCATGCAGACCTTCTTTGAAAGGCGAGACGGCCTCACCTTGGCAGGACCTGGATTCCGTCGTCCCTTCCGCCTTATCCTGCCCCTTGCTGTCGCTCTGGCGCTCACATCCGTGGTCGCGGCACTCAACGGCTTCAAGTACGCATCTTTGATGGCTGACAAGCTTGACAACCCGCTCGCGAACCCTCCCAAGGTCTGGAGCTCGACCGTCGAGTACGTCAACACGGTCGTCTCGTTTGTCTTTGCACCCTACGCCTACACCACCTCGGTTGCGAGCTCCTACATGCCTCCTGGAGGAATCATGTGGTTTACCTCGGTCGTGTTCCAGCAAACTTACGTCCTCACCGTCTACGCGTGGTGCGTACCCTTCACCATCTTCCGTTGGAAGAACATTGGCATGATTACGTTCATCGTGCTCTCTGCCTGGATGGGCAGATGGTCTTGGTACACGCTCACCGGTCTTGCCATCGCCGAGTACTCGACCGTCTACAAGCAGCTGCTCCCCAAGGAGGGAATCCCACTGAACTCGGAAGGGACCAAGTTCCTGAACGCCAAGCTGATTCCCGTGATTTTCGTAGTGCTCGGAGTTGTGCTCAAGTACGTCGCCATCTCAATCATGCCCTCCACTTTCTACAATGACTACATCGGCCATATCGACCTCAACACGGGCACGCTGAACCGTCACTGGGACTACAACAACATCGCATACCCGCGATGGGACGACTGGCTTCTCGCAACCGGTTTGCTCTGCCTCGTCGAACTCAGCCCTGCACTTCAAAAGGTGTTTTCGGCAAAGCCGCTCACCTACTTTGGGCGTCTTGGCTTCTCCATCGCCATGGTTTCGGGCACCGTTATGCTCAGCATCGGCAGTCTGCTGTACAACCATCTCACCGTGAGCCTCGGTTGGACCAGCCCTGCTCAGATCACTGCAGTGCTTTTCTTCACCATGGTTCCGCTCTCGATCTTGGCTTGCGATGTCTGGTCGCGAGTCGTCGATGATTTCAGCTTGGCTTTCGCTAGGGGGGTCTTTCACTTCATGCGCACATGAGATCAGCGTCTTCCACCTGCACATCAATCGTACTACTGTAATATATACCCTGCTGTGATGCCAGCTGCATCGCATCAAACATTCGCTTTCGTCATTCCCGGTGTACGGGGTCGTTAATATCTATGATTTCCTCGTTCGTTTCACACCTGTTCGTGATCCGTTCATCAGAGCCGTGACGAAGTTGACGTGCTTATGTCTATAGCGACTGTTTGCGCCGTTGCTGCTGCTGGACAAACTCGAGCTTCCCCAAGGGCGCGAAGATGCCGATTCTCTAGATCCCCCATTCCCTCTTGATAGCTTGTATCACCGCCTGCTCCACGTTATCAACCAAGATGGTAGGCTCGTGATTTGGAGGACCATCGTGATCCTTGTACACACCTGTTCGCACCAAAGCAGAAGACCAGCCAAAGTCGACAGCACCTTTGATGTCGCTCTCGGTGTTGTCGCCCACCATCCAGACCGAAGGCCCGACGAGTCGTGCTGCTTGTGCGGTTGGGGAGGTGGGAGAAGTGGTGTGGATGAGGTGTTGACGTAGGAGTTCGTTTGCGTGATCGTAGGTGATGCGGTAGGGTTTGCCAAACACGGTGGATTGCATCTCGCGTCCGGTTGTGTGCTTGTAGACGTTTTCGATGGCAAGGCGAAAGGCACCCTGACCGAATCGGACGACGCTGTGATCGTTGCCCCACAACAAATCACCGTGGGAAAAGTAGATCGGGATCTGCTTGTCTGGCAGAGGCTCTGAAGGAGGATGTTCGGTTCCGAAGATGCCATTGTGAGACCGTAAGATGTCGATGATGAGTTGCGTATCTCTGCCCCACTCTCTGCTATCGTGGAAGACGAGGATAGCTGCAAACTGGATCTTGGAAAAGTCATCGCGCTGGTGGGGAAAGATGTGAACATGGGGGTCTGTCAGCCGTGGTGTGCTCAGCGGAAAAGCGTTAGGGTGATAGGCAGGACACTTACTCGGACGTAGGGAAGCTGATCTGGGTGTACGATGGAGAAAGGCCATGCAGCGGGAGCATGCGCATGAAGATCGAAAGTTGTGTAGACGTTCTGGAAGCCGTAGCTCTGCATCACCTCCCTTGCTGCGTTGGGCGGCGACTCTGGTCCGCCAACCATCAAGACGGGTTTGTCGCCGTACAGTGGAACGAGGGACTTCATGACCGTGTGCGCCTGAATCACCTGGTCTTGCGTGACTGGCACCTCGAGCTCTCTGGCTAGGTCTTTGGCACGTGCGGACTCGTGCTTTCCTCCGCCGTTGGTGATGAAAATGTAGGGAATCTTTTGTTGTCGTGAATTGTTTCCTTCAAGAATCTGCAGCGCTCGCTTCGCTTCTGGAAGGACGTTAGGTCCGGCTTTGAGGACGCCATCGATGTCGAATGCGAATGCTATTGGTTTCTGTAGGTTGTCAGCGTCAGAGTACCGCGGGGCCGAGGTGGATAGAAGACGAGGCTGTGACGAGGACGACGCATTCTTGGAGCGGTAGAGCAACGCGGCTGCTCTTCTCGATGTCCTCAACATGATGTTTGTGGCTTGCTGTGTGTTACGACGACAATGACGATGAGGCTGGAGAAGAGGCAGCTGTGAAGTTGCAATCAGGCCGCTCACTCGTGCAAGGCAAGAAGAACAAGTCACTGCGCCAAACTCAGAGAAGGGTCGGTCGCACTTCGCATAATCGGGCCGAAGATCCGTGCGCGCGCCTCCACTGTTAGGCCTCCGAAACATTTCTGTAGCTCTTTGGGCTAATTTTCACAGACGCTCAACCGAGCCTTTGCTTGACTTAGCGAGCAAGAGTAATCAATCGACGGTCGGAATGTGTCCGAATGGAGCTTCCGGCTTTGGGTAACGAAATGATAGCCGGGACTGCCAAACATGGTCTGAAGCACCTTGGACGGTGATACACCCCTGACAATCAGCACCTCTGACAACCGCAACCACTAACAACAGTCTTGCATGGTGTTAGCCTCATCAGCATCACCGCTGCTCAGGATCCTGTCTGCTTCGTCTCGTCGCCAGCTTCTTGCACGTCTGCAGCATCCTTGGTTGCTAACAACCAGTCTCCACCCCCGGCACAATTGCTTTCATACGACGCGTCCTCAAAGCAAGTTCGTACCACTCTTCTCGCCTTCCACTATGCCGCCGACCAAGTCGTCGAGGTCGAGCAAGGCATCCAAGGCAGCCAAAGCCATTCTGCATCCCAAGTCGACCATCGCTGCAGCCAAATCGAGTAACACGCAACGTGCCAGCATGGAGTCGTCGTCCAGTCGAGATGCCCCTCAATCCGCAGATGCGCCCGCTTCTACCGTCAGAAGAGCACCCTCGAATACCAGCATCTCCTTCAACCTGGCCAAACCACTTCCTTCGGCACCTTCTTCCACTGCAAGTCCAGCGTCTGTCAATGCTAGCTTGCCGCCTGCGGCCTCGGCTCCGACTCCGCCTCAATCTGTGCTTGCACCTGCCATCAACACGGACATTCTCAGCATGAAGAAGCAGGCAATGGAACGAGTGCCACCTTTACTCCCTGCTTCACTTCCTCCAGCAATCGCACGGGCCTCGAGTGGATACACGTCTGCTGCACCTGGTGCTGCTGCTCCATCTACAAAGGCGGCTGACGCTGCTGCGCCATACACGATCAATGACACCTCCGCTGCCTCTGCCAATGCTGACCTTCGAGCCAACGAATCGGATTTCATCGACGTGCCTGTATCAGAGTCGGCCACCAATGATGCAAAAGAAAGCGAGGCTTTTGCCGCGGAGGTTGCAGCCGTAATCTCCAAGTCGGAACCGGATGCGCGCGAGCCATCGAACTTGCAAGCCGTGGCAGCAAATGGCCCAGCTAAGAACCTCGTCTCCGATACGATTGCAGATCTGCAAAAAGGCGAGAGCGCTTCACCTCCCCCCGCTGAGCAGCAGGCCACCCCGCTTTCGACCGACCAAGTGAGCTCCACAGCTGCCGCTGCTGCCAGAGTTGCTACCTTTACACCTCCCGAACTCACGCGTCTGCAACACAACACGTTTGCGTCTCGACCCTCGGATGCATCGCGTGCGTCGCTGCGAGACCTTGACCCTACGGTGCTTCCCACACCGCTACGCCCGATCGATCGACAGGCAGGGATCGTGCGAGCGCCCAGCCACGTGATCATCTTTGGATGGATGGACGCACCCATTCGGCTCGTAGCCAAATACGCGCAACCGTACACGGTGCTCTTTCCCAATGCCACCGTGCTGATCCAACTGTCGGACGGCAAAAGCTATCTTGCGCGTGAGGACGTCAGGAGAAAGCAGCTCCAGCGCGTCATCGCCGAAATCTCGTCTTCATCCGCAGCCAGTGCAGAAGACAGGCCGATCAAGAACAACGAGGCGAAGGATGTGGGCGATTCGACCGTAACGCTGATCGATCACAGCGAAGCTCTCTCTGCGACGTCGGAGGATGGCGCAAACCAAGCCCCGCAGCAAGGCGGATTCGTGATCCACAGCTTCTCGGACGGAGGTGCCGGCAACCTCGCGCTCTTCCTGGACGAGATGACGCGTCGAGGGGCAACTTTGCCAAGAGTTCATTCGCTCATCATGGACTCTAGCCCTGGCAAGTCCAATCCCAAGTCTGGCTCGGTAGCCTTTACCATGCACCTTGCGAACCGACCACGGCTGAGGGCCATCGTCCGCTTCTTTGTCTACATCGGGCTGTACCTTCTCAAAATCTGGACAAAGGTGACGGGCCAGCCGGGCAGAGGAGAGCTGATGCGCAGGCGACTCAATTCGCTCCGAAGTTGGAGCTGGGTCACAGCTTCCTACACACCCAAGTCGCAGGCGGAGCACAAGTCGGCAAACGCGAGTCCTGAAGCACAGTATCCGCCAAGGATGTACATGTACACCAAAGCGGACAAACTTATCCCGTGGCAATTTGTCGAGGAGCACGCCGAACAGCTTGCGAGTCTGCGAAAGATCCAACCCAGGTTGGTGCAGATGGAGAAGCATGACGACAGAGAAGCCTTGCTGAGCGCTGTCAAGGCGAAGGAGCAGGCCGAATCGGCCGATTACAAGGTCGAGTTGAAGAGATGGGACACTCCGCCTCACTGCAGTATCGGTCGATCCGACTTCGAAGGATACTGGGCTGCTGTTATGGACTTCTACGTCAACGTGCTCAGTCGAAGCTAGACAAAAGGCCAATGTACGCAGTGCCCATCTTGAAAGACATACTCGACAATGGCAGAACTGAGCGTGTCGTATCAAGAGTTACTGCGAGCACGGGCGCGGAAGGAAGCGTGATTGATATTGCGCCACATTCTGAGTGAGTGTATCAAATTTTGCCTCGGATGCTGCCGACCGCGTACCATTTGGCAACGGCGACGCTGACGGTGCCAATCACCACCATAGCACCCGAAAACCCTACCGCGCCCCACCAATCAAGATGCCCAACGTCGCCCAGGATGGCACCTGCGATGGGCAGACCAAAGAGACCGCCAAAAGACATGAGGAAGAACATCATGCCGTTTCGCGTGCCCACCGTGCTGGTGCTGCCCAACTGTGAGGAGCATGCCGGGATGAGCGAGACGTAGCATCCTGACGTGAAGCCGTACAAGATGGAAAACACGACCAGACCGCCGAGGTTGGTACAGAGCGGAAAGATGAAGATGAGCACTCCGGAGACGGCCAGATGTGGCAGGATGGTGTTGATGCGGCCCACTTTGTCAGCGACGAAGCCTGGAAGAACGCGACCAAAGGAGGAGGCGGCGTTGAGGATGGGTAGGTAGTAGCCGTTGGCTGGAACGTTGTTGCTGGACGACCACACGTCCATGTAGGTCAAGGGCATGTAAAGTCCAAACATGATGAACGACGCACCAATGACGAAGAACGTGTAGGCGGGATTGCGGAAGGCCGAGAAGTCGGTCCACTGCACCTGCTTCCACCCTCCCTTGGACTTGTCGCGAACATCGATGGCAGGTGGCAGGCGCGTCGAGAGCGAGAACCACGCAAGGATTACGCCCGTCAGCAAGAAGAAGCCTATGATCCTCATGCTCCAGCCGTACCCGACCTCGGCTAGGAGCTTGCGAGACATGATGGGAAAGATGATGCCGCCTGTCGACGAGCCAGATGCGACGACACCCAGAGCGAGCGCCCGGCGGCGGTTATAGTAATGGGCAGGGCAGTTGATAGCCGTGTTAAAGATCACGCCCATTCCCAATCCTGGAATGTGTGTGTGTAAGAGAGAGAGAGAGAGAGAGAGAGAGAGAAAAGGGGAGAGAGAGAGAGAGAGGAAGAGAGAAGTATTGTTCCGTTTAGTAGATCTGGCTTGAAACTCGGAAGAGCCGATGAGAAGACTGAAACTCACCTAATCCAATTCCCTGTGCTAGAAAGATTTGGTAGTATTCGGTGCACAAGCTCAGCATCATCTGCGAAAAGACGAGGAGCACACATCCGCAGGCGAACAGGGGGCGAAAGAAGCCCAGATCGAACAGACGACCGGCAAAGATGGCGGGCGCAAACATGAGCCAATACTGGAACGCGCCTATCCAGGCTACTTGGCTGGGCGACTTGTGCGAGAGCGTGGTCTGCTGGTAGTAATCCTGCCATATGCCGTAGGAGTTGAGGTATCCGAATGTAATGAAAGTGCAGCACCATCCACCGAAAACGCAAAGCCAAGCCTTGAAGCCGCCCTCGGGGAAGGAAATGTTTGCATCCTCTGGCCCTTGCGCCTTGACGACCGCCTCGCCGAGATCCTGCTCGGTTTTGAGCGACATGCCTGCCTGAGAGGTGGTGGCTTCGATGTCGGTGTCTTCATCTGTGTGTGATGTCGCGACAGGCGCCTCGTCGATTCCTTGTGGTTCTGCACTTGCAGTCGTGTCGTTGGCGTACGCAGTCGACTGGCCTTTCTCAGAGTCTGGACGGGTCTTTGGGGTCATCGTGAGAAAACACGACACGTATGAGGTCGTAGGAGTGATGTGGCAGGATGCGTGTGGGCGTGTGAGTATTCGCTGATTGAGATCGTGTGATTGCGCGTAGGTGGAATCGTCACATTCCAATGGACAGCTTCCGAATATGCGAATCTTGCTTCAAAAGGTTGAGTGAGTCGAAAGTCGCGCTGTTGTGAGATGAACACCGAGATAGGCTTTACAGGGCGTGGGACCAAAGTGGGCGGGACTAGATCGGAAAGCGTGATTGTGTAGAGCGTCGTTTGGTCGCCGTGCGTTGATGGAACAGGATCCGGAAGTGCATGCAAAACCCCGACTGGTGGTCTCACGACAAGTGATAAAGATGGCACGGGTCGAGGGTGTCCATGCCAAAGATGACGGTTTGTCGGAAAGCTAGACGAGGAGCTAGGAGAGCGGTTCGGCAGTGACGGCGTTTGTTCACGAAGCAAGGGTCGCTCGCGCATGTGTGCCGCGGGCTGGACGAAAACTCTTGCCGTGGAGCGCCACAGCGGTAGATCCAAATTTTGCCCACCGTCGGTTACCTATATTTTGACAGCACCTTAGCATTGCCTGTCTTGTCCCGACGGCTCAACGTCCGTTTTCATGTCGCTCACTGGCTTTGCTCTGGTCAGATGGACCGGCCCGAGAGTGTTCTCGGCCTTAATGATCCATGCTATACGTGTGCCGCTTGCGGGGTTACCGTGGGGAATCAAGCCACGCCACGACACAGGCTACTTAGTACAGTAGCCGCTTTTTGTTTAGCCGGGATGAACACCGAAGGCAGCGGAGAGAGTGGGCGATAATGCTTGCCGCGCAAATACCGCGCTTTCCTCTGTCGGAGAAGCGGATAAAGATTCTCTGCCGCTCGAGAATAATTTGTAGCGCTCGGAAGCATCGGTCTAACAAATGCAGCCAAAATCCTGGGACCGTCCGCGACCCGAAAAACGCAAGTATGGGAAGATGCTCAGCAGAACAACGATGAATTAGCCTGCTTGCTTGAAGCCCTTACACTCCTACTCCATTCCAATTCATCATCGGTTGACGTCGAGCATGTCTCGTCCACCGGAGCTGGATCGCAACCAGGATGCCACCTGCTACATCGGCAACATTGACGACCGCGCCACCGACGCCATCGTGTGGGAGCTCATGATCCAAGCTGGTCCCTTGGTCAACCTCCACCTTCCCAAGGATCGCATCACCCAGTCTCACCAAGGATACGCGTTCGCCGAGTTTCAGACCGAGCAGGATGCCGACTATGCATGCAAGGTCATGAACGGTCTCAAACTCTACGGCAAACCCATCCGCGTCAACAAAGCTTCCAACGACCGCAAGCAGATCGACATTGGGGCCAATCTGTTCGTCGGCAGTCTCGATCCCGCTGTCGACGAACGCCTGCTGTTCGAGACCTTCTCGGCTTTTGGAGGCATCATCGGCTTGCCCAAGGTTGCCAGAGACCCGACGAGCGGAGAACCCAAAGGATTCGCTTTCGTCTCTTTTGACAGCTTCGAAGCTGCCGATGCTGCCATACAAGCACTCAACGGACAGTTCCTGCTCAACAAGAACATCACCGTCGACTACGCCATCAAGAAAGACAGCAAGAATGGCGAACGACACGGCACCGCTGCGGAGAGACTGCTCGCTGCTCAAGCTCGAAAGAACAATGCTCTGCCAACACAACCCTACCCACAGCAGCTGGGGCAGCCACCACGTCCGATGGGCGCTCCTTACGCTCAGCCACCTGGTGCTGCACCTACGGTACCTCCCAACGCCAACCCTCAAGCCGGATGGAGTACGTATGCGCAGCATCAACAGCAGGTTGCGTATCCTCCGGAGGTACCACAGCAGCAGCAGCAGCACTACCCACAAAATCCACCTGCCATGCACATGACTTCCGGCGCTCCGCCTGCTTATCCGCAATATCAGCAGTAGCTTATTCGCATCATTGCGTCGCTGCGTTGTGTCTCCTATACCATTTCCTCAACAGTTGTATTTGTATCCCGTTAAGCAATCTTCTTCTCCCGGTTCACGCACGCAAATTGAATAACAGAGAGCGTGTGTGTCCATTCGCCTTGCGCAAACCGCGTTATTCGTACGCTGAAGAGCGACGTCACACATGTCGCATTGATTGGAATTCGCATCTAATCGTACACTGTGGAATAGCAAATGCACATCGGGGAAACAGAAGGCTCAGTATCGGTCCTTACTCCTCTTAAACGACTTTCGCAGAATCCAGCTCCGGTCGAGCGCACTTACCGTGAACAATACCGAACCAGAAAGTCCACCAAAGGATGAAGCTGAAAGCGTTCTCCGTCAATCCATTCACCAAGAATGCCGCTGCGTTTTGTGGTGAGAAGCTGCCGCTTCTGGGATCGATGGTCAACGGCTGCTTTGTTGCGCTCGATACCGTTTTGACTTTGCTGTTCTTGGAAGCGGAGGATGTGGATGGCGTGAGAGGTTTTGAAGGAGGTGATGGAGAGATAAAGTATGTGCTCGGCGAGCTGTGAGCGTTGATGCCGAGCACGATCAAGTTGGTCAAGAGCACAGAGACGACGTAGAACCCGAACCCGAGCCAATTTGTCATCCCCAAGACACCCGCAACACCACCTGCCACCGATAGCGAGGTCGATCGTACACTGTTCCCGCCGCAGTGGAAGTTGTCAGTACCTCTGATCAAGGAGCTGAAGCGTACTGATAGTATTGGGATATGTGTACTTACTATTCCACCTGCTTGGCGTTGTGGACGACGTTCTCGGGATAGTATGATTGTGCTCGCAAGAGAAGCTCCTGCTCCTGTATGAGTGCTGCTGCAGACATGATGCAGACCGCCGAGATGCCTCGTATGAAGTGTCTGCTCTGAAAGATAGATGGTAGATGGCAAGGTGGTAGGTGGTTCCGTGCAATGCTCAATGAGAAAGTGTCACAATTCAAAGATCCAACCTTCGAAAGACGCACAGACGCGCCTTCCACTTTCGCACGAAATACCAAATCTCACATCTGCGCATCGATGTCAGGCAGCCTTGACGCGACTTCCTCGTACTGGCCTCACCTTGCACTTCGGTTCTCAAAAGTGTCGGCTGGACCTGCCGAGCGTTGTCTCTTTCAATGAAAGCACAGCTTCCGCTCGCATACAGAACGCATAGAATAGCGAATAGATGGAGCGAGCTTTTCTGCAAGCTGTCCATGAAGCGATTAAAGGAGCGTGGTGGTTACAAAACTTAGGCTGACATGCCACTGACACGACGGCTGGAGCGTCGAGCTTTTGCAACGCTAGTGTTGGGGAGAAGGTCATCTCGGGCGACCTTTCCTGCACTTCTAGGAGAGCTAGAAGGTAGATAGGAAGATCCCGGAGATGATGGATGCGCTGAAGAGCCGGAGCTTTGCAAAGCCTGGTGGGTCTTACCTACCAAGGAAAGCGTCTCCTGTTCTGCTGATCCGGTGTTAAAATCAATACCAAGTCCCATGGTCGTCAGCGTTGAGTCCTGGGAACGAGCACCTGCACTGGCAGAGATTGCCTTTGCGACTTTGGAAGCAGCGATCGAGGTGGCTGAATGGGTGCTTCCATTCGCCGCACTGGATTTTGGCACGGCAGGAAGTGTAGACGAAGACGAGCGCACCGTGATCCTTGGCGTTGAAGTCACAGCTGCCTTTTCGCTTGCACGGCGTAGGCTCGGCATCGATCGGGTCGGGTAAGGTCTCGCGCTGCTGTTGCTTCCCGCGCCTGTGGCCGAAACGGACCCATTCAGCCGCAATGCAGAGTCCTGGCTCAGAGAGGATGAGCTGGAAGAGCACGAACCTGCAGTGCCGGGTCGTTGCGAGCGGACAGACTGTGCAGTGGCGGTACCTCCTGCAGCCTTCTGCGAGGTTCTGGTAGATGTCGAGAGACGAGTGCCATTGCTGCTGATCGACGCGGCAGAAAGAGCCGGGCTGGACCTGCCGCTCGACTCAGATGTCAGACTGCTTGTTGACGGCGTGGGCCTCAGGATGGGTATTCCCCTGATCGTCCGGGGTGATTCCTTTGCTGACGGTGTTGAGGATGATACCAGTCCTTTGGCGCCGATTCGCGGAGTCGTTTGACCTGGCGTTGCTTTGTCTCGATTCATGAGAGCCGAATGTAGGCTGGCTCGCTGAGTTGAGACGGATGAGCCAGATCTGCCAATGCTGCCGGTCGTGCTGGACAATGCGGCTGCCTGCATGAGGTTTGCCTTTACCGCCGTCGTGCCCGAGAAGGTTTGCGGTCGATCAACGCTGTGACCAGGAGTCGCTGATACGCTTGTAGCGCGTCCCACCGGAGCAGCGCCGGCGCTTGCAGGCCTTTGCTTCGGCTTCATGCCAGCAGCCAGACCAGAGGCTGGAAGCGGGGGACGTTCATTACCGAGCACAGTGGAGCTGGATGCACCAGATGTGGCACGGCTATGTTCGGAGCCTGCGCTTGACGCGTTGATCTTCTTGGCATCGTCCGGTCCCTTCCTCCCATAGATAGCCAGAGCAGATTTGCTCTCCACGGAGGTTGATAAGTTGGGGTCGCGCTGCACGGCATTGGCGACACTCGGATCTTCCGACCTATCGCCCGATGACGAGGGCGGATCGGAGCCGGCGACGGATCCCGACGACAACGGTTGCTCTGCAGAGGATTGGCGAGAACGAGACGGGAGCGGTGTTGTCTTGCGACGCAGTGAAGGCCTTCTGGTCGCCGTCGCATTGCTTGTCATGCTCGAAGCGCGAGAGAGGTTGCTGTCTGTTGAAGAAGAAGCACTCATTTCAGTCGAAGAACGCGACGGCCACATGGACGGCTGAGGTGCTCGTGGCGTGTCGACCTGCTGCTGTGTATGATCCGCGGTGCATAGGTCGCCCATCGCAGCCTCGAGTTCAGCGAGCTCACCGAGATCGGCGTTGCTGGTCGCACGCGAGTCGTCGTCCGAAGTGTCGGTCAACCCATCCAGGTTGCCGTTCCAGTTGGCATGTGCATAGCTGGAAGTTGCATCAGAGCCGGGCGCGTGCGCTGAACCTTGCCTGGGGTGCTGCCGAATCTCAAACAAGTCGGCCATGCGCACTCCGCTGTCGTCGTCGCTTATGTGAGTGCTGACGATGTTGTTGGAAGGGTGTGCAGAGCGCATTCTCAAAGTGCGCTCGGCGGGGGAGTGGCGCAAGGAAGCTGCCTCGTGCAATCTGCGAATGTCGCTGAGATCGCCAGTGCTTCCAATCATGCTGCGGTTCAACTCAGGTGTGTTCGATTTGGAGCGATGGGGTGTTGAAGCTGGCACGAGATCGCCCGGGTCTGGCTTTCGCATCTTTGTGTTGAGCTTGGGCAAGGCATAGTTGATGCTCTTACGCACCCTCCGAGTGCGGCCGGTGTGTGGCTCAGAATCTTCGTCCGCAGGGGCTGAAGCTAATGTCGAGTGATTGGCATCGATGGCAGCGCTGAAAAGCCTGGCAGGTGTAGGCATGGGTTCGTGCGGGTCATTGTTGGGTATCTTGCGTTTTCGTCCGCCAGGTGTGCGCGACTCTGCCAGTTGAGCGTCACAGGAAGCACGAGGCTCGGTTCGGGAGGTCCGGATGCTCTCGCGAGAAGGCTGGCGTTTCTTGCGAGGAGTGACGTCGGCATTGCGCGAGGCGTCATCTATGGGTATATGTGAACTAGACCGGGGTTGTAGCGAGCTCGATGACTCATGATCGGCGTTCGTAATGTCAAGGAGAGGAGTAGAAGGACGGCGATGCGAGCTGGGTCGGGCTCCAACGAGTGGTGCATCGGCACCACGGTAAATCAATAGACCTTCCATGGTCTCTGAGTTGGCTTTGGAGGGCATGTAAGGGTCCGAGCTTGGTGTTGCTTGAGGATGATCGCTGTCAAGTGCTTCGGAACCAACAAGGTCATCCTGCGAAAAGTAGCCACTTTGTCTCCTGCTTGATTTGCGACCGGATTTGCGCAATGCGTGTGTGGCCGAGTCGTGACCAAGCTTGTGCTCGAGGGGAATATCGTGCATGTCAAAGTCGAATGATGGAGTCGCGAGGGGTGCCTCAACGTGCGAAAAGGACCACGATTGTGGAGCAGGCCCAAGCTTGGAAGTCATCATGAGCTTGCCAAGCTCGCTTGTCAGCTCGGAACTGCGCAATGGAGAAGGCGCTGGATCTAGGCGGAACTCAGCCGTTGGGTCGAATGTCCGAGATTTCAGGTCGTGCGTCCAATGGCAAGGGGCCTCGCGCGTGTCGTCAGAGCCGTGCTGCCAGGCTTCGCTGTGGAGACCATCCGTGTGCGTGTCGAGCTTTGACGAGGGTGGAGGGGTCATGGGCTGCTGATTGCCATCCGTACTTGGGTCTTCCTCTTGCAGGCACTCGATGTGACCTTCGGGCGCTCTAGCGATGGAGCGTACGACGGCAGATGCATTGGGATTGGGCTCTATGGCGATCCTCTTGGACGCTGGTAGGTGATCGAGAAAATCTGGGCTGTTAAAGTCGGACGAGGGGAGTGCGTGACCAGCACTGAGAGTGAGGCCTCTTCCGATAGCTTCCCAGCCGACATGGATGGCACCGATTGCATGACGAAGCTGGCTTAGCTGAGCAACGAGACCGACGGTGTCCATTTGCTTTTGCACCTTTTCTGCTTCTAGGGTGTGGATGCGGTTCTCGAGTTCGCGAATGCGCAGCTGATGAAGGGCGTTGCTCTTTATGATTTCGCGATTCTGGGAGATGTGCTTGCGCTTGAACTGCTCAAAGTTGTCGAGAATAGCATCCATGTTGGGCACCAACATTGCCGACGAGCGACTGGGCTCTCCCACATGCGTGGTGCCGTTGTTGAAGGAAGGGTCAGGCAAGCTGGCACTGAGCCTGACTTCCCTCCGCGTCGCCGGCGGCATGATTGTGCTGATCAGCTCGATGGGGCACCGATCTGGTAGCAGATGCCGTGCAGTGAGATGTGACAAGTATCGTCTGTGTATAGCAGCTGCACATATGAGGAGAGATCCTGTGCGAAGGAAAGAGGTCACAGCCTGCCGGATCGCTCAGCTGCGTGACGCATCCATGGGTGTCTGTGGCGCACGAGATGGATTTCCAAAGTCTTGCCGAATGCTGAAGAAGGCGATTGCGGAAGGTGCGACAGAAGCCGGTGAAGACGTGTCGGCTGCGTCTGTTGGTCACTGACGATGCAGGCCGAGGAGAAGAGCGAACGCAAGGCAAGAAGGCGGTTCCAGATCTATGGAGCTGACGAGCGTGGCAATGCGGGTACGTGGGAGTCGCTTGCGACCAAGGGACGATTCGTCTGACGGACAGAGAGGATGATGGTGAGGATGTATGCGGTTGATCGGCGTGATGCAGCGTCGAATCAAGATTCCGAAACCGACGAGCACTGGCAAATCGCTCAGAGCTCAATTTGACAAAAAAGAGACAAGACAAGCGGCAAAGTGTTGGTCCGACTCGGCTAACGTGCAGTGACACTGGGATGTGAGCATCTGCGCTGCTGCTCGCTTGCGTCGGCTCTTCCTTCACAATTGCGCAACGCCTGATCGTCCTCCACCGTGTCACATCAAATCAGAACCATCCTCCGTGTGACAGTACTACTATTCGAGGCCGCTCTTGTAAGATCACAACGTTTCCGATTTGTGACATTGAAGTGCCTCAACCTCGGGCGGCGACGAACGATAAGAAGCTTTGAAACGGACGCCAGCTGGCAAACAAAAAGCGAAGGATGAGTACGGTACCTACCTTACACGGGCAGCACCCTCGATCGGCAGCATCCGAAGCCGGCCAGCGATCATTGTCCACGCAGAAGCTTCTATAGCGCACGGTGGTACCGCTGGCTCTGTCGGGTGGCTGGAGAGACAAGATCGAACCAGCCATTGTTTGAGTGTGCGAAAGTGGTTGTCGCGAAACTTTTGGTCGACGTGAGTCTCTGAGCCGACGTATTGGTGCATGGCGAACAATGACCCGCGCACTACTTGACTAGCCTGCTTGGAGCAGTAGGCATCATTTGAACAACGGGACAAGATGCCGAGATGCGCAGAGGATCGTCCCTTTGTAGTGTCTGCATTGAGCATGAATTGCATCCTCCTGTCCAGACCTTGCACGCAAGCGAGATGAAATCTTGTTTCAAAGCGTACAAATCGTGCTGTGAGAGTAACAGCAAGGGCTGTTGGAGCCACAATCGTTTCAAGATGACCCTTTGTCCGTCTGGTAGGAGGCATCCGGACCGAAAGTGCCCATTTTTCGAGATCGACGACAGGCAGCGGCTTTCATGCCAGGCTAAGCGAGCCTGTGATTTCTTCGAAAAGAGGCCCGTCCTTTGCAAGCGTCACCTCTGAAACAACCCAGACAGCAACACAGCACGCTCCGCGTTCTCACATCGTAGCGTCACGTGTGCCGGCTGCATTTTCTCTTGTCTGCTATCAACGCGACGGCAGATGTCGACTTGTTGCATCCACGCGAACGGAAATCGCGAAACTCGGTTTTCGGTTCGCCGTAGCGACTTAGCCGCTGCGGGTGGAGTACGCTGAGCTTTTCGCTCTCTCCTTTGCTGCACTTGGCCACGCCCTCACCTTGCTATACCCATCAAGCCTATCTTGTCCCGAGTAACGGAGGTGCCGACAACGTTGGTGCTGGCGCGCTCAGCTAGATCATCCAAGTCGGCGACACTGTGTGGGTGCCTGCCTCTGACTGCGCCGGGTCCGATCCGCTTCGTCTCATCCATCATCGGCTCGCCGACATAATCGCTTAGGGTCTGATCTGCAGCAGCGCACTCTTTCACCTCGGTGGTCCCGTCCGACTTGCTTAAATTCTTGATGCCAAGCCCGACTTCGTCTTAGCTTTCCGCTCCAAGGCTCTTGCGACGAAGTCTTGCGTGCTGCCATCATGAATGCTTCTCAGGAGAGCGACGAGTTCATCGAGCCGGCAGCCCGAATACCGAGGCAAAGTGAAAGTGCGGCAGCATCAACATCTGCTCATACTCTGTCTGGTGTCGAGAAGCCTCGAGTCGAGCTAGCAAGCAATGGAAGTGATGATGCTCGAGCCTCGACGTCGGATGCACATGATCAAGCAAACAGCAACAATCTCGACGCACGCGAAAATGTCCAGACGGACGCCTCAAACGTGGAGCGAGCACCTTCCTTGGCCTCGTCATCCGTCAAAACCAAAGTGTTTCTCAAAAGCACCTCTCCCGATGTGCCGCTCCACGTTCATCTGCCTCGCGAGCTCTCTCACACCCTTCTCAAGAAGCTCCAAATCACCATCAAAGCCCACGGTGGCGTCATGGAATCGCGTTTTGGCAAGGCTGACTTGATCGTCGTCGACCCAGATCTTAAAGGAGTGTCCAAAAGGCTGCTCAGAGACGCCGATAGCATGGGTCAGCCCATCCCCGTCGTGATTCCCGATTACATCTACGATTGTGCTGCTCACGGGCAGCAGCTCGATCTCGGTGATCCCAAGTACAAGTACAACCCCTCGATTCAGGGCCCCGACCCTCCGCAAGTCCCAGAACCCGCCCCGCGAACTCTCAATGGTCGCAATCCTTTCACCGAATCCGACCGCCAGGCTATCGTCTCGTACTTTGTCGACAAGCACGAGTCGTCCTGGAGCCTCAATGCTGCTGCTCGCGAGCTCGCTCTTCGTATTCCAACCCACACATATCAGAGCTTCCAATCCTATCTTCAGGCCAACTTCGACAAAGGCTGGAATCTCAAACAAAAAGTGCTCATCGCACGCCGTGAGGCCCTCGAAGGCGAGCCCTCCGAACTGCAGGCCCGCATCTTCCGTTCCCAGTACACGGCCTCGCCTGGTCTACATGAGCAGTCCGAGCAGTCCGCTCCCTCGGACGGTTGGCCTCGCACCTCTCCCGCCCCGCAGTCCAATCAAGAGCCAGCGGCAGAATCAGATCCGATCCCAGTTGCCGAGAACGGTCACGAGCGGCTGCCTGCGCAACAGGACTCGAGTCAATCAGAGGACGATGATCAGGATTTGCTGGTGCGCCAACCAAATCCAGGCACAAAGGCAGACAACGTCGACAAAAGCCCAACCAAAACAAAGCAGCCCGTCGAACACACCTCTTCAGAGGAATCGGATCCCGACACAAGTCCGCCTGCTTCCTTGTCGCTTGGTCAGAGACCACCACATCATAGTCAAATTCAGGCGTCGCCAAGCCCCGACGAGGAACCCGACCCGGAGCATTACTCTCCAAGGATCTTGTCTCAAATCGAGCGAGCAGAAAAGTCCCGTACCCAAAGCTCGCAAAAAGCAAACAAAAAGCCCCACCGACGGTCGCAGTCAAGCAGCGATTACGATTCCGAGCTCGACGAGCTCGACCACGGCAGCGACCAGGACCTTCTCGCTGGTGAATCTCCTTCGAGGGCCACCGCGCAGGATGATCAGATTCAGGCTGCAGATTCCGAGGAATCAGAGTGGGGAGGATCCAAAAGAATCGATCGCAAGTTGCGCGTGGACACGGGCACGGACGACATCCGAGTCAAATTCCTTCAAGACGAGAAGGACGATCTCATGCGCAAGCTCGTCGAGCACGTCCTTGCGCAGGGAGATGACCTCCCGCCCTCCACGCAGAACGCGATGCTGAACCAGCCCCAGGACTTTTTCTGGACACAATTCGCCTCGACACATCCCCGGCATTCGGCTGCCTCGTGGCGCAGCCACTATCGCAAAAACCGTGCGGTTTACAGAAGGATCGTCGATATGATGATCCAGGATCGACGCGCGGGCGAGGAGTCGGGCCAGCCAGAGGACTCCAGCGACGCAGAAAGTCAAGATCAGCTCGCACCCGATTCACAGCCGAGCGCGAGTAAAGACGCACCGGTTAAACACGATGCTTTGACAGACGATACAGCAGCGGCGCAAAGATCATTGGAACAGCTCAGGTCCGGGTCAGAGGACTCGTTGAGTTCCAAAGACATAAGCTTCCCCGACGACGGCATCGTCGTAATGATTCCGCTGCACTCCACGGAGCGACCGCCAGCACGGCACTCGTCGCACGGAGACCAGTGGCCAGATGAGCTTCCGGCGCCACCTATCGAGGACGAGGATGAGGACATGCTGCAGATTGAAGATCAAGTCAATGTGCTCGCAGAAACCGCACCCTCGGTGGAAGACGAGGAGGAGTCGCCGCCTTCGCCACCCTCGTGGGACAGTGGCAGATCCGGTACAGGTCCAGATCCGAGATCGCCCTCGAAATCTCCCATGCCAGCGAATTCAGCCGCGATGCACGTGGCCGGGTCACGCTCTACCAGCGCGGTGGAAGCCGGAACACCCGTGCTGGCTCAGCACCGCGACGCTGCTTTCTACGATTTTACCATGGACAGCGATGAAGAGCGACGCATCCGCAAAGCACGCTCGCGCCCATCGCTTCCCAACATGCAGCGACGTCAGCGAGACTTGTCTGCCAGGATGCCAGCTGCTCCGATCACCACGGATCGCGTGTTGGGCCACTTTGCGACTCCTTCCCGGGGTCAGCAGCCGAACTCAATCCCCAACGTTTCGTTGTCAGCGCGTCAGGCGCACAAGGACAGCATGGCGCGCACGCGAGAATGGACACGCAGCGTCTCGAGCGCATCCTCCTCTGGCTCTGGAGATCGTTCGCCTCGTCCCGAGCCGATTGCTGTCACCGAGTCGTCGCGCTCTCGCGCCAGTCGTATCGACCGGAGGCCGCTGCTTGTCGAAGCGTTCGTGGGCGTTGGAACGCCGTCACGCGTACGGAATGCAACGCAGCCCCTACATCGACGGCCCATGAGTGGCGGCGGGCTTCCACCTGCACCCGTCGCCTCCAGTCCGACACCAGCCCGAGTTCGACCGGATCCGGTCGAGTCGGATTTCGAAGCCGCACGCCGACAGTACCGTGCTGACGCCGAGCAGTTCCGGGATGATTTCGGATTGAACAGGGAGCAGCGCAACATTCTGCTGAAACGATTCAACGGAAACATCAAGCAAGCTCGCCAATACATCGCCGACTGGCTCGCAGACGTGCAAGATGCGTACAACGTCGAGGCATCTGTTGCATTCGAGTACGTCAAGACCTCGCAGGGAGACTTTGCGCAAGCCGAGAACTTCCTCAGGCTTGCTGCTATGACACGATCTAGCAGCACGCCAAATCGCTCTGTCGGAGATTCGTCGCGGGGCGATGTGCGCTCCATCAGCCCTGTGAAGCGGAGCATTGGAAACAGTGATGGCAGTTCTTCTCGCCTTGAACGTACAATCGGTCGAGGCGAATCTTCGAAGCGTTTCCGACGATAGCCCTTAGCAGTGCTCCCTTTCTTTCAACTCGACAGTCTCGAGTTTGAGTGTCGTTGTGGTGTTTGTACTTGTTCGCATTGTAATCTAGTGTACTTCTTTGCAGAACGGCTGACTCTGCATTCTGTGTTTGACATCATGCTTCGGCTGGCCAACGACTATGACGTGGATCGGGATCGGGTGAAATGGGTTTCGCGAAAAAAAAAGAGATTGACGTCCCCTTAGTGGAGGCTCAGCCTGGAATTTTTACGCCCGACCGCAAAGCAGCTTTTCGAGAAGAAAGCTAAGAGTTCATCAGAGTGGTCACTCTTCTCCCACCTCATCCTTCCATCGTCACCATAGTCATCGGCATCACTCCAGGATGGCATCAAATACGGCCGCAGCTGCGGCAAGACCGCAATCATCCACAGATGCACTGCCACCGTTCGTCATCCACGCCTCCAGCTCGCGACCATCTCCCACCAAACCGCACACTTCCACCTCAACCCGTCGCTTGAAAGGATGCAACACACCCTCCCGCCTCATCCACTACTCTGGCGAGACCCATCCAGCCTCATCCTCATCTCGTCTTTCCCGCTATGCTCCGACGTTCTCCAAAGACGATATGGATGTCGACCAGGACGATATGGAAGCGCTGGACGCTGAAGAGTCAGATGTTCGGATCGCGGTTACCGGCGGTAGCATCGCCTCGTCGCACGTCTTTATGAAAGGTCACGGAACTTTTCTGTCGTCCAATACGGACGAGATCCTCTCTTCGATGTGCGGGACGGTGGAGAGGGTCAACAAGTTGATATCCGTACGGCCTGCTCGATCTCGCTACGCTGCAGAGGTCGGAGATCTCGTCATTGGTCGAATCACCGAAGTCGGGCCAAAGAGGTGGAAGGTGGATATCAACGCAAAGACCGATTCGGCTCTGCAGCTTTCGTCCATCAACCTGCCCGGTGGTGTTCAGAGGAGGAAGGTCGAGAGCGACGAGTTGCAGATGCGCAACTTTTTCCAGGAAAACGATCTGTTGGTCGCAGAGGTGCAGATGATGTTCCAGGACAACTCTTCCGCTCTCCACACACGCTCTCTGCGGTACGGAAAGCTGAAAAATGGCGTCCTGGCCACAGCCTCCCCGAATCTGATCCAGCGTCTCAAATCCCACTTCATCCACCTCAAGGAAGACCACCTCTCGCTCGACGTTGACCTCATCATCGGCCTCAACGGCTACATCTGGATCGCAAAGCACTTTCCCTACCAGCCATCCACCAGCGCCTCCGCCGCCGCCGCCGAACACCAACGCGGCCTCGCCGGTTCGGGCGTAGGCATGGACATCGACGCCACCTACTCGGACCAGAACGATGCCGATCTATCCGTCGAGCTGCGGAGGCAGATTCAGCGCGTCGCAAAGTGCATCCACATCCTCGATGCGTATCACCACCCCATCTCGGATACCAGCATTCTTGCGCTCGTAGACGTTTCAGCGACGTACGTCGGACCGATCCTGCAGCAGCACGAGCAGCAGGATTGGCACAAGGACTCCAACCTGACTTCCATGATGATGGAGCAGCTGCGGTCCGGGTCGAGTCTGGAAGAGTGAACTCTCATCATAAACTACATTTTCAGGCACTGCACAATCAAATGTCACAACGATGCCTACTTCTGCTCGCCAAAGATGTCTATGACTGTGTCGTATTGTTACACATTACCGAAATGCTTCCCAGAACCTCGTCTCCATTAATACCCCCGTCTAATTGCGTCCCTGTTCCACCCCCGCAGCAGCACACAGCTCTCCATACTCTGCCGAATGCCGACAAAGCCTCTTGAAGAACGCACCCTCGTCCGCATCCGGCTTCTCGAGCAGCTGCTTCGGTCGACCGCACTCGACCAGCTTGCCGTCCTGCATGACGACGATGCGATCGTAGTCGATGACGCTCTTGAGGCGGTGTGCGATGCAGATGACGATCGAGTTTTTGAGCGCTGTGCGGATGACGCGCTGCACCATGGCGTCGGTGTCCATGTCGGTGGACGAAGTGGCTTCGTCCAGGATGAGGATCCGCGTTGCGCGCAGAAGCGATCGGGCGAGGGACAGCAGCTGAGCTTGGCCGGCGGAGAAGTTGGCGCCTCCCAACGACACGGGCGTGTCCAGTCCGAGCCGCATGTTCGTTTTTGGACTCGCTTCCGGGGGAGCCTCGATGCTTGTGTCCGAGAGATCAACCAGCTGCTCTTGCGTGTCCCCCGCCTCGTCCTGACCGTCCATCGGCGCGGCAAGCCCAACCTTCCTGAGCGCGTCCAGAACCTCTGCGTCTTCGTGCTCGTTGAACGGATCCAAATTGTCCCGAACAGTGCCCGAGAACAACACCGGATCCTGCATCACGATGCTCAGCCGACTCCGCAGCTGCTGCAATGGGATCGTCTTGATATCGATATCATCCACCAAGATCCGACCACCGCTCAGCTCGACAGCCCGGAACAAGCTGGACGCCAAACTACTCTTTCCCGAGCCAGTCCGTCCTATGATGCCCACCTTCTCCCCTGGCTTGACGTCGAAGCTCACCCCCTTCAAAACGTTCGGCAGGTCGTCCGCGTACCGCAAGCTCACATTGTCAAAGACGATACTTGCGCTCGCCGACGGCCACGCAGCCGGAACGAGTCGAGTGGAATACCCAGCCACAATCTCGTCGCTTTCCTCGCGAGGCATCTGCTGGTACTCGGCAACCCGTTCGAGCGAGTTGAAGCTGTTGGCGAGGTTCTTAAAGTCGTTGACGAGATAGTACGCCAGCTGGCACAGGAGCTGCGCAGACGAAAGTGCCAACCCCGCCGACCCTGGTGTCACCGCTCCCGAAAGAGCCAGCAAAGTCACGACGAACACGGAAATACCTCCCAGGATCTGCGACCGAAAGCTGAGCCACACCTCCATCGTGCAAACCGCCCACCAAAGCGACTGATACAGATCCACCGCATCCAGCATCGACTCGAGCAGTCGCGGTTCGGCGCCAAAGGCTCGTATCGTCACGATACCAGACAGCGCCTGCTGGAAATGTCCGTAGATGGGCGACGTCGACGTCGCCTCGATCCTCTGCATATCACGGGTGCAGGCCAAAAACCCACTCACCAGCCAAGGTCCCAGCACGACCAGCAGGAAAGACGGCACGAGAAACGCGGGAACGATCACGACGCAGATCAGAAAGTAGGCTGCCATGGAAAAGGCATTGTTGCCCAGATTCATGATCGATTGCGGCAGAATGTTGTCGATGCAATCCATGTCCGTTCCGAAGCGATTCATGATCCGACCTTGAGGGGTCACGTCGAACCAACGGAGCGGTGCTCGTATGACGTTGGCCAGGAGCGTTGCGAAGAGATTCTGCGACGCCCGAATGGAAGCCACGTAGAAGCAGACGGCTCTGGAGCTGTTGAAAAGTATCACCGCAAACCCACTGAGGCCGTAAACGGTCAGGTAAAAGCCGGCGTGGCCATCAGCAGGAGGTAAATCGAATGGAACACGAGAAGAGATTCGTGCCGCCACCAGTGACACGGCAGATCGCATACCATAGTCTGTGTAGGCCTCGCCCCACACCTTGAGCCAGTACTGCCCGAACGATTCGGACAATCGGAGGAGCAGCAGGAGCAGAACCAACACTGCCCAGATACGAAGCGACGATGCTTGCAGATACGTTTGGTAAAAGACCCAGCTGACGGCTCCCTCTCGACGCTTCTCTTCCTGATGCAACAAACGGGGTGTTCGTGCACCTGATGCAAGCTCCGCCGTATGGCTCGGCGTAGCCTCCACAGCCAGGCCGTCCTTTGTAGCTGCGGGATCTTGGGAAGTTCCATCTGCTTCCTGCACCCCTTTTGCATCCTCTTCGACGCCAGCAGCTGCCTGAGCGTCAGCCCCTTTGCTGCTGCCGGCATGACGCGAAGAAAAGGAACCGAGCAGGCCTCTCGCCTGCAAATCGGCGGGTCTTCCCTGATGAAGAATGCGCCCATTCTGCATGCTGACCACCAGTGCCGCCCAATCGATCAGAAGGTGCCCGTGATGCGTCACCAGGATGACTCGGCGATCCTTTGCAATGGGTCCCAAAATGGCGTACTTGACAATGTGATTCTGTACGCGTGTGTCCACTGCCGAGAGCACATCGTCCAGGAGCACAGTGCTTGACCGCGCGTACAGTGCACGAGCAAGAGAGATCCGTGCTTTCTGCCCACCGGACACGGTGTGCGAGCCGATCTGCGTCAGGTCGCCATCGTCCATCGAGTCCAGATCGTCTTGCAAAGCACAGGCGTGGATGCACGTCTTGTATCTGGCCTCGTCATAGGCTGTGCCAAAGAGAATGTTGGCCCGCACCGATTTGCCCGCTTCGAGCCACGGCAGCTGACTCGCAAAGCTGAAGCAACTGTTGCCGTACCGATCGAATTTGTTGCGTACAACGGTGCCCCCTTCGGATTGGAGCATCTCGCCTAAAATGGCTGCAAGCAAGCTGCTCTTGCCTGAGCCCGTTGGCCCCATGACCAACGTGAGCTTGCCAGCAGGGAACGAGACGTTGAGATCGCGCAAGCCGAAGGTTGAATGGGGTGAAACATCAGCACCATCGCTTGGGTGATCGTCCAAATCGAGGCGCATGGTGGTGCTCTTGCTGTGCCAGTGGAAGCTGCATCCTTCGATCGCAAGCACGTTTTCGTCGGCGTCGTGTTCTCCATCCTGAGCTTGTCCATTCTCGTCGATGTCCGGATTCTTGCTTGCATGCGAGGGAGAGGATTGCTGTCTCGAAAGCCGACTGACCGCCTCCTCGACCTCTTGCTCGTTGAGGAAAGACTCGAGTCGCTGTACGCTGACCATAGCTATCAATCCTCCCATCAAGAAGCCAGGAATAGCGTTCAACGGGGGACGAATCATTGTGAAAAGCGCAACAGCAGTGAACGCGGTAGAAACCGTCAACTCCTCCTTGGCGACCTTGACGTAGAAGAAGAAGCTGACCAGTGTGACGAGGACAGGGATGATCGTCCACAGAAGCTCGAAGAGGAAAGTCATGATTCGCGACGAGATGAGCTTGCGAATTTCCTTTCGCCGAGCTGAGGAAACCCGCTCTTCCCACTGCGGCTCGACACCTTGGATCTTGACGAAGCGCATGGCGTCGATGAGCTCGGTCATCATGCTCATCCGGGCGTCTCGCGCAGAGCTGTACTCGCGTTGCTTGCGGATGGCGATCTCGCCCCACACATAATTGACAGGTACGGCAGCTACGAGGATTCCGAAGCCGACCAGGGCGCTCCAGCCCATGAGCTTGTAGAGAAAGATGGCAGCGATGGTGACCTCCAGCGGAGCTCCATACAGCTGATGCAGATCGCAGCCCATGCGTAAGAGAATGTTGACGTCGGACGCCATCATGTTGACGATGCGACCGACATCAGCAGATTGCTCTTGCTCTTGCTGTTTCTGCTTTTCCAGACGTCTCTTCCTGCGAATGGTCATCTGATCCTTCACTCTTGATCGAAGCGAATCGAAAGATACCTGCTTCAATTTGCTGATGCGCAACGACGAGGACCACGACTGCTTCTGACGCACACCATCCCGCTTTGGTGGCTGCAGATAGGTATTAGCGTCGGTAGCAACAGGTGAGGTGATTTCTGAAACTTCGTCCTCTGTGCTATCCAGGACGTTGGAAGCTGCCGAGCGTGATGCTACACTTTCGCCGTGTCCATTCGAGGGACTCGCTGATGGTGATTTTGTCTGACCACTCAGGTCTCGTCTTTTGAGCGCCTTTTCAAAGAGAGACACAACAAGCGTGGATCGCAAGCGAAGACCTACTTGGCGAGCGTGATGGAAGTTTTGCAGTTCGGCAAGAAAACGTACCACCGTCAGACAAAGGCCTATGCATGCGTAGACGAAGGCTTTCTGGCGTGGCGTCCACCGTGATTCGGATGGGCTTTCTGCATGATCCGGAAGGTCTCGGTCGAGGTTCGCCGCAATTTGGATCTCGTCCAGTATTGATTTGAGGATGTAAGCACCGAGATAGGCGAAGCTTACGCTGATCAACTTGAAGCAAGCGTCGAGCAGGATGTCGTTGGCATTCGCACGTAGAATGCGGGAGAGCAGACGAGGCTTGCGGCCAGTCGTGTCTGTGATCTGCTCGAGTTCCTTGAACTTGCGATACAGCAGGCGAGTGTCGTTGATTGAACGAAGACGCCACACATCGGTTGGTGCAAGCGAGCGTCTCAGAGCAAGCTTTTGAATGGGTGCCATCCACGAATAGGAAAGGTTCTCGTAGAGGCTGCAGAAGTCTTCCGGTGATGTCGGGCAGAGTCGGTACACTGCAGCGCTGTCTTTTCGAGTTGACTCTTCCTTGTTCCTTGCTCCTATCCGTTCTTCCAGGCTAACAACAGCCTCGTAGCCGCCCTGAGCGACGGGCATGCGCAGGAAAAGAGACGCAGCATAGATGCAGATGATTGCATTGGCAGCACTCATTACTATAGCGATGCTTGATGTGGCATCCAGTTGCAGACGATTCGAACGGCCGCTGAGCAGAGGCACGAAAGTGAATAGGTCGATCCAGGCGGTGACATTGAGGGCAAAGACCAAGGCGACCAGATCGAATGTTGGTGTTTGAGGCGGTCGAACCAACAGGCGGCAAAAGATAGTGACCCAAGCAGCTACTTGCGAGAGGCATATGAGGGTGTGATTACGTTCGTAAGAAGCGAACGTCCACCCCGTGCCAGCAGTCCATGCGACCGACTGGAAAAGTGCAACGAGGAGAAGTCGATTGAGACGTTTCCGTTGCCTTTTGAATCCGTCGGTACCTAAAGGTTCAGCGTCGAGACTAGACGACGTTGATGTGGAACGACCGTCGTCGTTGGCAAAGGGGACCGATGCGTTGAGATCCGGGAAGCGATATTGACGAACATCTTTCTCTGTGACAAAAGGAGCAAAGTAGGCGAAGGCGGAAGCAGGCGGAGCACTGCCTTCGCTGCGATTCCCGCGATAGGCTTTGCGCGCCAGCGAGAGCAGACATGGCGCAATAATGAAGATGCAGACGAGAAGGAGAGGAGAGATCTGAGCTGCGAAGACGAGGGCAGATGGATGCGGGGATAAAGCGGCGTTGTACGATGTGGGGGCGGTCGCGTTGAAAGCAGCGGAAAGAATTCTTATCGTAGCGTTGGTCGGCGAAGAGGGTATACGTCGGTATGAATACCAAAGGAAGCCTGTGAAGCGAGCGTCCACCAGGCCGTTTGGTGGCGCAGAGATGAATTGTAGCGACATGACGAGCGTCGGAAGCCAGAGAGGTCAGGTCGCTCCCTCGGGAGTGTCGGCGCGTTGCGCAGAATTACGTGAGAGTAGGCATTCTTGGAGGAGGGTTTGGCAGCGACCAACTTTGAGTCGCGTGCAAGCAGCCACGATGGTAGCACGAAGTCTGGATGGCAACGACCCTGGCCAGCGAAATAGAGTGGTGGTGTGGAGTTGCATTCAGGCTCAGACAAAACCGGATCGTTGGGTCTCTCGTCAGGCCGTGCCGGAATGTGTACGCGCCATACGCGCCTGAGAAGAACCGACGTTTAGCCGAAGTTACGGATGCCAAAAAAAAACTGGGACGTGACGAGAACCGTTGGATTGATAAGCCGCTTTGCTGGACATGACAATTGCAGAACGATGGATCACAATGCATAAATAATTGCTAATCGACAACAATGGCATCAAATGCCGAGGCTCCACTGTCTTGAGAAGGGTGCTTTGCATTGGCCTTTGATGATGATGCCACGCGGGTGGTGGTACCAGGCCTACTTTTCTTGCGCTGACTTGTTTCTGCGCTCGATGCTGATCGTTTGTTATCTCCTTTGGGGCCAGCTGCTGTCGTCGCTGTAGCTGAGGGTGGCAGTATCTGCACTGCTGGCAGCTTGTCAAGCTGCGCGGATGATGATATGGTCGACAGCGGATGGCGAAGAAAGCGAGATGCTTTGGGTCCCAACTCGAGGTAGACGTTGACCGTGTATGCAGTTGCTTGGTAGTTCTGCTCGATGAGCTGCGACTGGATGGCGTGAACGATCAAGCGGTCGACCACATCGCGATGCAGCGTGATCTTGCCACCAGCTACTGCCTGTACGTCGACGACGCCAGCCTTGGTTGCGTTCGAGCTGCTCGACTTTGCCTTGGCCTTGCTCGAGTCGGTGAGGTTGGGATCCAGGTTGAATTTGCCGCCTCCGAGACCACGAGCAACATCAGATAGACTGGTCAGAGTGATCCTCCCGCCTTGCCGGCACATTTCGGCCAACACGGCGAGAAGTTTCCACATCTCGTTGCGTGCGTCGATGAGCAGCTTAGAGCGCTCGCCTGTGCAATTGTCGCAGATACCGCACGTCTGCTGGCGTTGAGCATCACCTTTTTCAAACATGTCGGAAAAGTAGTCTGCAAAAAGCTGACGTCGACACCGAGCCGACTGGGCGTATTCGAGCATGGCAGACAGCTTCTCCTGACCCGTGGGCTCACTGGCTACGAGTGAGCTCATTCGAATGGCATCCTGAGGTCGATAGAACAGGACACAATCAGACTCTTGTCCATCTCGGCCAGCTCGGCCCGTCTCCTGATAGTATCCGTCGATTGATTTCGAGATGCATGCGTGGATGACGAAGCGGACGTCGGGCTTGTCGATGCCCATTCCGAAGGCGATGGTGGCACAGACCACCTGGATGTGCCCCGTACGCCAATCGGTGTGGATGAGCTGCTTGCTTGCATCGTCGAGACCTGCATGATATCTACCCGTGGCGATACGACCATTGCTGATCTCTTTGAGCGCGGTCGCTGTGGCCTCGGTATCTGCTTGAGAGAGGCAGTAGACAATACCGCTGTGACCTGCATGATGCTGAAGGATGTAATCGACCATGGCCTCGGCAGCGGCTTTTGCCTGTTGTGGACGCTGCACCACCTGGTAGATGAGGTTGGGTCGGAAGAGCGGAGCGGTAAAGTATATAGTGCGTAGCGGCGCTGCGTTGTCGGGCTCGGTGGTAGGGGGCAGGTTGATGATTTCCAGAATCTCTTTCAGCACCTTTGGGCCGCACGTGGCCGTCAGACACATTATAGGCACTTTGGGAAAAAGTCGACGGAGCAAAGAGAGCTTTGCATAGTCGGGTCTGTAGTCGTGACCCATCTGAGAGCAACAGTCTGCCCGGAAGAAGTTCGTCAGAAAGCCTCCTATGTTAGTGTGTTCCCCACTTTGTGATAGCTATACATAGGTGTATACGTTACTTACGGGCTTCGTCGATCACGATGCGTGACAGTCTTCCTTGCTCGTAGGCGCTCTGTAAGGCGGACAGACATGTTTTGGACTTTGCGATGCGCTCCGGCGTGACGTAGAGTAACTTGATGCCGTCAGTCTGATGCTGATTCCTGCGGGTTTTGGACGCAGTCACGGTAGCTTGTTGATCATCGGAGGCGGGTCCATGTCGGATCTGCTTGAGAATGGCATTGGAGTCCTCTCGAGAAGTGCTTCCACACAACAGCTCAGACTCGATGCCGACTTCTTGGAGGTGGAAGACCTGGTCGGTCATGAGCGAGATCAGAGGGGACACGACGAGGGTGAGACCTGGCTTGAGGATAGCGGGAAGCTGATAGCATAGCGATTTACCGCCTCCTGTTGGCATGACTACGACGGCGTTCCGACCGTCCAAAGCGGCATTAATGACCGCCTCTTGACAAAAGCGGAAGGAGGGGATGCCAAATACCGACATGGCGGCGAGTCGGATATCGTCGCTCCAGGAAAAAGTAGAGACAGTATAGTCGGTACCTAATATGCGACTGGAGCCAGAGCCTTCCGGGCGCAGCGATTTGAGGTAGGCGTTGTACACATTGCGCCTTTCGCGCAGTACAGAGTCTTTGAGCTTTTGCAGCTCGACGATCTGCTTCTGGACGGAATCGATCTCGGCGTCAAGATCTTCGAGCTTGGCAGCGACCTCTTGATCGTAGATGATCTCCTTTTGTTTTCCGTTGGATGCGGAGGGATTCGAGCCGTTCTGTCCGGTACCGTCTAGCGTCGGGGAGACGACTTCGAAGTCGTCGTCGTCCATGTTCTCTGAGCGCGATTAACTTCTTTCAGTACAGCAGCGCATCAAGCCATTGGATTACGAGCAGGACCATGCTGCGCTCGAAGCGATTGTATCTACTCGTGCTGCCGATGTGATGAGCTGGACAAGAACAAGTAGTGGATGCCAATGTCGAGCGAGCGGCAAACGGTATTCAGGGTCCAACGAGTTTCGAGTGGAGGCGAAATGGGAGACTGAGCCGCAACTGCAACACAAGGCAGGAATATATTACCTTGATTCCAAAAATGTGCGATTTCTCGGACTTCGGAGAGCTGGCTTGAGCGTCCCTTAAGCTTGGACCCTGCTCTCGTCCAACTCCTTCTTCTCATCCAAGATCAGCAAAAGCATTATACCGTCCACGCACCTCAAGCGCTGGCCATGTCATCTCCGCAACAGCTCGCTCCAGAGCGCTCCATATTCGCTGTCGACCCATTGGACGACTTTGTCACCATCGTAGGCGACTGGATCTACACCAATGGAAGGGGCAAACCAAATCTCGAGGTAAGCATCGGCATGTGTCAGATACCAAGCGTGCTTCAACTTCTGAACAAAAGCTCTTGATGCCTTCTCTTCAGATCGAGGGAAAGATTGGACAGATCATCGACCAGGAAACCGGTGAAAGAATACAGCTGCCAGTGCGCAACGAGACCATTGTCGATCTAAGCCGCACCAGGTTCGACAGCCGCATGACCATCGTAAGCACATCAAGACCAACGAACCATTCGTCGTCAACATGTCTACTGACCGTTACCCTCATACTGCGATCTTCACTCCCACAGTCACAACACGCCCAATACAACCGCATCCTCAATTCTCTCGTATCAAGATCAGGGGAATCCTCCTACACTGGAGCCAAGATCAGCTATCAGCGAAGAAAAGAGATCGACTACTTCCATCCAGCACCCTCTGGCAAAGTTCGCGTCACACGGGACGCAGAGACGCTCGCAATCAAACCCGACGGGATCGTCCAGAAGCAACGTATAGCCGACCTCAACATCCACTGTCCCAATAGGCTCTTCGACTACCGCATCAGCATCAACGTCGAGAACCCAGCACAAGAACCCACTTCGGACCACGTCTCGATACGCGAAAAGAACCGCCTCTCCTACGCCCATCAGAACTTCATCGTCGACCTCACGCAAGTCACCGTTCCCGAAAAACCACAGGAACCCATCCACGAGCTCGAGATCGAAATTCGCGACGTCGACCAGTTGATGCAAGCCGCTGCGAATGCAAAGACCAACAACAACTCGTCCAACGGTTCTACACCCAACGCTAGCCAGGATTGGTCCGCATTCGACGATCAAGTCCTCATCTTTTTGAACAACATCCGAATGCTCATCAGAAACGGCTCCGCCGATGAAAGGCGCTAGTCATATTCACTGGACCGTGTGTCTGGACAAATGCACAGACAGTCACGTTTTGTCCTGGCTTACATAGTACAAAGCAGTATCCATTGCAAAATTGCGACAATACCAACAGATTTCCCCCTCATATCTTGCTCTCCTCCAACCGCTCCAAAGCCGTCTTGACCAATTGCACCTGCTGCAAAGCTTCCTCATCCGCGTCCGCATCACCATCACCGATGTTACCCAGTATCCTTGCTAGGGGAGCGACGAACCTTTCGCTCAAGGTGCTCCCCAGCTGAGAGTGCACCTTCTGAACGATCGACGAGCGTTGATTCTGCACCCGCAACCAGTAGAGAAGCGAGAGAAGTTCGACGAGCAGTCCACCCTCCTGCGCCACCCTTTCAACGCTTGCCTCTGCTTCCAAGCTGTCAGGAAGCACCGTGATCTTGTCGAGCAATCCTATCAGTGCATCCACTGGCACTTGATGCTCGTCTGCCTCTGACCTGAGCCACGCCACAAGTGCTTCCCGCAGAACCGACACGCCGCCCGCGCGCAGCTGCGCAAAAGGCGAACTCGTGATCAGCTGCTCCACCACCTGCAGCGCAGCACCTCTTTCGCACCAGTGCACCAGCAGATCCGTCAACAGCTTGAACCGTGCCAACCGCGCCACCGAGCTGGGCGAAACAACGCTTTGCGTCGCCAACGTCTGCGCCAGACTCACCGCCAAGTCGGTCGGCAACACGCGTTGGTCCGCAGATGCATCCTGATGCAGCCCGCGCAGACACCACTGCATCCACAGCAAGCTCGCATCGGCCAGTGCGTCCTCCTTGCCCTCCTGCAGATCCGGCGATGCCGCCGCTTTCGTCTGACCGCTCGCTGCCAGCAGAGCTACGGGAAGCGCCGCCTCCAGCTGCGTCTGCGCACGTACACCTTTCCATTCGACAGGACGATCCCTTGCAAACCCCGAGTAGAGCAGATGAACGTGCAGCACAAACCCCGCAATCCCCAACGCGGTCAGCGTCTCCCTCGTAGCATCATCCTCCGGATCGCGCGACATTCCCATCAGAGCATTCGACCAGATCGAACCCAAATCAATCTCGAGCGATGCGAGCGTCTTTGAAATCTCGGCAAATAACGACTCGTTGCGCTTGACTGCGCTAGGCTCGTCCTTGCCGGTCAGAGCGTACCGTGGATTCTGCGTGTAAAAGTACTCTTCCGCCAACGTCGTCTTGGCACCCGCCAGGTAGGGCAAGCACACGGTGACGCCTTGCAGGAACCTGCTCAGCGCCTCACGGGAAGTCTTTCGCATCGGTTCGCGCTCGGATCCGGACATGCAGCGCGCTTCCCAGTCGACCAGGATGAGCGCCGTCGAGCAGCACGTCTTGACCGCTTCTTCCGCAAGATGCTCGCCAACGTGCGTACTTTGCTGCGATGCGGCAGCCAGTCCAGCCATGAGGCACTGCGGCAGTCGCACAAACACCTGCGAGAAGCTCTGTGGCTTCTTGGTGCGGATGCGTGGAAGCACTGTGTTCAGCAGACGCATCAGGTAGATGGTCTCGGCCGCCGAGCTCCAAGCCTGCTCCGCCTCGGGCAGCTCGATGCAGTGCGCCTCAGACTGGAGCATCTCGCCACAACGCATGTCGGCTGCCATGTAGACCTCACGCGAAGATGCATGCTCGCCGAGCAGGTCCATCACCTGTCTGGCCAGAAAAGCGACTTTCACAAGCTGTCCGGACGACCGGTCAACCAGCCCAGTGACAGGAGACATGGCCTTGAAGAGGTCGAAGGAGATTGCATCGAGTTGTTGCGAGAAGCGAGCGGCATCCTCGGTCTGCAGTCGCAGCAGGTACGTTGCGATGCCAGACACGGCCTCTAGCAGGTCGGAATGGTTGGGCAGGCCTTCCTCATTCAGCATTCCAGCAGTCGTGGCGGTGAGCGATACGACTGCCTGAGCGAGATCAAAGTCATCAGAGCCCGAAGCAACTGTGTCGTCGTCCGGCGCGCTCGGCGCAGACTGTGCAGCGTTCGACTTGTCCCGTAGATCCAGCATGGTCTTGGACTGCGAAGCTCTAGATTGGGACAACGACTTGTCCGTGTTGGAGGGTGAGGATTCTTCCTGGACGACCGCAAACGCGAGGTTGGACGAAGCACGCATACGTGAAGGATGCGCAGCATAAGGAATGCCCACAGGAGGAGCTGCGCCCAGACTGCCAGCGGGACCGAGAGATCGTCCTCGTGTGTATTGCTCCTGGTCGTCGCTGCCGTGCGAAATGGTGCTTCTGGGCTTGCCGCTTGCGCCGGCGGGAACGTCGGCCCATGTCGGACGAGATCGATGACCCGCGTCGCCACTTGAAGCGGCTTCTTGGCCTTCTACGAAGGGCCCAGTCAGACCGGAAGCATGACGAAGAGATTGGGCTCGGTGCCGACCCGACGCAGAGCGTCGCGGCTTCGAGTCGAGGGCTCCGGCAAAGAGGCTCGATTCGTGTTCCCGGCCAGGCGTCAAGTCTCTCGTGCGAAGATCGGGACTGGTCCACAGCGTCGCCGGATCTTCATTGTCTGTCTCCATGTCCGGATTGTAGTCGGTGGTGGTGCCGCCGATGCTGAGCGCGTTGCGCACTGCATCGAGTGCGCGAGTATCGGTGACGTGTACGAAGATCTTGTTTGATCCACAGCTCTTGTGAGAGGTGCTACCAGCACGCACGCGGCTCGATTTGCGTGAACGCGCACGACTCGTCGATCTCGAGTTGGGAGCTGACCGTGGTGACCGAGTGTCATTGGCATGAGCTTGCTTTTCGGCGATGCGCAAGAGCTCTGGTGACGTTTCGATTGTGAGACCAAGGTCGGAGTGTGCCGAGTCTGCTGCACCCTTTCGGCGACGTTCCTTGGCATCACGCTTTCTAAGCTCGCCGTGCGCTACCACGGGGCTCGACGTGCGACTGGCGCGCGGCGTCGTGTGATTGGAATCAATCATAGCTTTGCGGAGCGGATGGATGCCCGTGACGAATTCGGCCTGGTTACTGTGCAATTTTGAAAGGCGTGTGAGGCTGTCGGTACTGACGTCTCTCTGAAGACCACCTGCTTCCCTCTCAGCGCCGACAGCTGAAGAGGCTCGTGAGCGGTTTCGATGCGAGTAGCTGGCGACGCTCGACGATCGGCTGTAAGTTGGACGCGGCGAAACGAAACTGACCTGGCCAGAGGGTCGTCGGGGGAAACGAAGCACGAGGTAGAAGGTAAGGCATTTGACGTCGCCCGCCTTGCCTGAAGCGCTGCCGGAACCCGACACTGGTGCGTCTGCCGGCGTTCCAGGAGGTCTGGGCATTCCTGCCGGCTGTAGAGTTGAGGGTTTCGGAGGCGTAGAGAGACTACGTCGGTTCGCGGGACGACGACCGAAGCTGAGTGCGCTGAAGATGGACTGTACCAAGCTCTGCGGCTCTTCTTCATCACTTGGGGGCGGATCGGCGATCTCGAGGACGCACTCGAAGACGTGAATGTGTGAGTACGGATCGCGCTCGGAACGTGCCGCCTGGATGGGGAACGGTGTGCTTGGCGATGAAGAGGCAGGGACGTGACCATCCGTATGTGCCGATGACAGCGCCAACAGATTGTCGCTCGATCGAGCGCTGTTGTTGAAGTCTCTAAATGCAGCGTCGAACGGACCGGGTGTGGATGGCAGGCTTGCGGTCGAGCTTGTGTCGGGCCAACAGTGATACAGGATGCCGGCGCAACGCAGGCAATACTTGACGTACGATAAGACGCGTTGAGCCGGCTGGCAAGTTGGATTGCTAAGCAGGAGCGTGGGCGCAGGGGAGACGTGGGCATCTGGGGCGTCGGCGTCGGTCAACGTTGGTGAAGTGGGTCCCGAGCTGATGGGAGTGGTGCGCTTCGAAGCCGAAGCCGAAGCAGTGGCGCCGCTGGGCAGGAGCGGAGAGGTGACAGCAGCTTCGGCAGCCGGGCCGATGACGAGCGGCAAATTCATCTTGTGTTGAGGCTCGACAGGGATGAAGGTGGTGCTCTTGAACTCTTTTATACCACGCTGGACAGGTTCTTCCGCCGATGCTTCGAGCGCCTTAACCAGATCTTGGAAATTGCGCATCCTGCGTTCGCCGTTGACTTCGAGCAACTTGCCCACACGATCACGGAGCTCGGGATCCTTAATGGTCGCGACGGCGCGCTGGGCTCGGATGCTCATGGATCGAACGCTTGTGTGCGAGGCCCCAATGGGATAACGGATGCCGGTGAGCAGTCGTAGCATGGTGATACCGCAAGTCCAGGCATCGACCTCGGGTCCCCAGTAGTGTACAGTGCCGAGCGGGTTGCGAAGGGCTGTGACGATCTCGGGACAGTGGAAGGCAGGACTGCCACAGCAAGTTGACAGCTTAGCTTCGCTGCGACTGAAGTGGGTTGCAAGGCCGAAATCGAGGAGTTTGAGCTGTAACGTGTCGGGATGTACGAGGATGTTTTCGGGCTTGATGTCACGATGACAGATCTGCAGCGGGTGGTGGATGGCATGCACCGCTAAAAGGAGCTGATCTAGGACGCAATTGGCAACGCCGGTGGGTAGAATCGGATGGTGCGGTGGTGACTGCTCGGAGCGCATGGGTAGGAGGGCTTCCAGAGTGACGTAGCCATCGAGATACTCTTCGACAAGGTAGAAATGGCCTGGTGTGCGGATGGTCTCGTAGACATTGACGAGGTTGGGGTGCGGCGGCAGCTCGGCCAGAAGGGTGGGCTCACGGAGCAAGCGGGTCGCGATCAGAGGGTGGTGCGGAAAGAGAGGGGTATGTTTGATCGCAAACAGCTGCGGATCTCCTGTAGGACCATAAGGCTTGGAAGCAAGGAAGACGCTGGAGAACTTGCCGCGACCGAGGATCTTGGGCAGAAGGGTATATTCCGAGATGCCTCTGCTGAGCAGCTTGTCGGCGGAGGAGACGACGATGGGATCGTGCCGACGCGCCTCGACGTCCTCGAGCGCTGGAAGCACGCGTTCCGCGTCCCATGTGCGCTTGAGCATGGTCGACTTGCGTTTGGAGACGGAAGAGCGGCTTGAGCCATCTGTATGAGACGAGCTTGAGCTGCTGGAATGAGCATTCCCATTCCCGTTGCCGTTGCCATTCCCGGTGCCGTTGCCGTCTCCGGTCGCGATCGGACTGACGCTGCTCGTGCCTGAGCCCGAGGCAGACCCTGGTGTTGTTGCTCGACTCCGACGATCTTGACCTCCCGAGCTTCCCGATTGGTCGTCGTCTGCGTCATCGTCGCTGCTAGGAGGAAGCTTGAGCAGGTCAAGCACCGCACTACCCGCGCCACGGGTCTTTTCCCACGCTTCTTGCTCCGCCAGCTTGGCTGCGGCAGCGGCCTTGAGGCGCTGCTGCTCTTTCTCAAGCTCTTCGGAAGACGCGTGATGCGCCGATGGCTCGTGCGGAGCAGCTGAAGGAAGCTCTGGAGAGCGTGAATGTGGCGGTGCAGCCGACTGGGTCCTGGAGAATCTGTAGGTCTGCGCGCGCCGAAATGGTGGCGCGGTGGGTGCAGGCATGTCGCCCGAAGGTGGAGCGGGACGTGCTTCTGAGGATAAAGTGTTGCCGCTCGGTGTACCAGCGCCAGGTTGCGAGGGTTTGGAGGTCGAGGCCCAGGTCTTGATGGTGGCGAGCGAGCTAGAACGCTTGTGAGCTCTCAGACTGTCTGTGATCTGGCGTCGCTCCGAAGAGGTCAGAGTGGAGATGGTCGCATCAGTGGCATTGACATTGGCGGTCGAATAGGGTCCTTGAGAGAGCGTGCGTAGCGGCGGCGCAGGTGCGGGAGAAGACGAGCGACTTTGCCTGGCTGATGAAGTGGCAGAGCGGGAGGAAGTGCGTAGCGAAGCGTCTGCAGGAGATGGAGCGATGGACGGAAAGGCGACGGTCGCAACGTGGCGATGCTTGGAAGATGAGGCCTGTGACGTGGGTGCAGCGCTGTGCTGTGATGCTGTGTGCGATACTGTCGGACTTGTGTGCGAAGAGGTGGTTGTGGTGGTGATGGTGGGTATCAGAGAAGACGGTTTGTGAGAAGAGCCAGGCTGAGAAGGCGGGGAGCTTTCGAGAACGGGAGAGGGAGGCGCCGAGGAAAGGGCGCTGAAAGCAGGCGGCGGTGGTGGCGGCGCATCGTCTGTCATTGAGAGCTCCGTAGCTGGACCAGCATCCGCGGAAGATCCGGGCTGGTCATGCTGATTGCTGTGGTGCTGCATGGCGCCCTGTCTGTCCGAAAGGTAGGCGGAAAGGCGGTGGCTGGCTCAGGGCGAGAATGGCATGAAAGTGATTGTCGCCGGGCGTGTTTGTTGAAAAGTCAAACAAGGCTGCGATGGCATGTCGGTTCGGGTGCTCGCTGATTCTGCGCTTGAAGGTGCGAGGCGATTGCAGTGTAGTTGGCTGTAGCTGCGGGTGTAGACGAGCGGAGATTGGAAGATGCTGATTATTGGAATGGGAAGCGAGAGAGGGAGATGGTCGACTCGGGAGCGATAAAGCTTTGACAGCTCAGCTGCTGACAGCCTAGGACGCCGACGATGGGCAGAGAACTGCGCCGGTCGAGACCATGTGAGGGATCGCTTACGAGGTTGACGATTGCGCCGAGCAAGCGAGCGAGGCAGACGAACGAACAACGACGAGATGGAAAGACTGGTCCAACGTGGCGGGCTGAGCCGGAGAAAGTTTCGAATCCAGTCAACTGAGCGACGGTTTTACGCGATAAGGACAAGCAGGGATCACTGAGGCGTGATGACCAGGGAGGGCAATCCGGTGGACTAGTTGGTCGCGCACGAGTTTCCGGGACGGGTCGAAGGGATTACCCGAAACAGAGACGCTGGTGCTGCTGCTGGTGCTGCTGGTTTGTGTTGCGCAGTGAGTGAGCAGCAGAAGAGGGCGACGAGATAGCGACCGAAGCGACAGCCGTCGAGTGTGTGAGAGAGAGAGAGTCAGCCGGCAGTCGCGATAAGTGAAAGAGTGTTGATTCGATCCGATAAGTTGGCAAGACAGCGTGGTGCAGTGATACACAAACTGAAAGAGAACGCCAAAGAGTGCCAACCCGCAGCGCGCTTGTTTGATTCTCCGCTCGATGCTTCCTCGCCAAAAAATCTCAAAAACAAATTCCTAGAGATAAGGCGGGCACCGATGATGCTATGCATCGTCTCACTGCAATTCTGCACTGCACACCTTGTTCGATACCGACCAGCGCTCGGTCTCGGCTTGCGCGAATCTTTGTGAACAGGCAGGCACATGGGCACCCGATCTGCGCCATCATCGTGCAGCGGTCGGCCCGACTTCTAGATGGAGTGAACAATAAAGCGTCGTCGCTCCTCCGTCCGACAATGGGATCGGAGCAGGATCGACGTCGAAACGTTCTCGTATGGTTCCACAACCGTGTTTTGTCTCGGCTCGTGTGTTCGATTGGTGTTTGGCAGACGTTGTGAATTGAGAATGTCTTTGTAAAAAGAACCCGATTTCTGGCTCAGATCGACGGCGTGGTACTTCTGCACCTCGCATCCGCGTGTCGACGAATCAGAGCTGCCAATTCGCCCTGCATTCCGATGCTTCTGCAAGACGCTGCAGCTTGCAGGCGGATAATCCGCCTTCTCGGGGTGGGGGCGACGAATCGGACCCAGTGACCTTGACTGGACTCCGGAGGTCACGCTACAGTATACAGTATCCCTCGACCAACGTTGACAGTCGGACCAAGCTCGGTCTGAGCACAATGCCATTCACAGCATCAGGCTGAGACGCTTTCAAGAACGCGCACAACAGAATAACCCTCTCTTGCTCACGATCTTTCGAATGTGACCGCTCAGCTGACCCCTTACGCGCTCGCACGCTGCCCACGCAGAAGCACTCTGCAGATCGCTCGCGCACATCGCATCGTCGGATCTTCCGATTGGCTAACGAGTTGGCGCCGACGGTAGACCCGAACAAGCGCGCCAGACCTTTCCGGTACCAATCGCCGGATCTTTTTGCATACGTCTTTCCCATGTCACATACAAGCACACGTCTTTGACGTATGTGCCTCACACAAGGCTCTTTGCGGCTATTCCGGAAGGCTGTAACCTCGTGTCGTTCCTACGCCTCGGATGCCAAAATGCTCCACTCAAGATGGATAGAGCTTCAGCAAATTCGGTCGCGGTTGAGCTTGAGCGAATGTCGACATCGCGGTGTCAGATGATCAATCGCGTGACCAACACCCTTCGAGTGCTTGGTTCGACCATTCGTCCTCGCTGTCAAGGGCTGTGAAGATCAAGTTCATGATTCGGTTGTAACGGTCAAGGTCGCGTGGACAGGAAGTTCAGGGAAGCAGAAGCAAACAAATGCGCTCGCCAAGAACAATTTGGCTCACATCCTTCTGCCTGAAAGCAGGCAAAGTTTCGCCTTCAAATTCAAAACCTGGCTTTCGCCGGCGAATTCCCGAGCTTCCACAACCTTAAATTTTCACCACCTGCGATTGGCTCAACCGGCGACAAGACAAGATTCTCACTTCGCACACGACGGCTTTGCAGGCAAAGAAAGGTCATGTCCCTTCCGCCGCGTGGTTTCTCTGCCGCGACAGGCATGTGCCGCGGTCCGACTTCCTTGTTCAGAGCACTTTTAAATCGAATACAGTATCGAGTTGATTGGGCGACGCGAGATAAGATACGATCGTCGTTTGTCGAGCCGTTCCGAAGACGGTGATTTCGAAGCGTCGGCTGGGTGTCGAATCAAAACTCGAATCCATCGTCTGCAGCAACCGCAGCTCGGTCACGATCCTCATCGAGCTCGTCTCCGCTTCCAGCGTCCTGGACCGCTTCCTCCTCTCCAGCCTGCCCCGGCGCAGGCGCCGCCTTCTGCTGCTCGAAGTAAATCTTTGCCAAGCTAGCAGGCGTGCTCGCCTGTTCGATCGTCTTATCCTCCCTCCTCTTGATGAAGCGCGGGAAACGAATCGACAGCCCTCGCTCCTCGCTCACTAGCCCGATCGCCGCAGTGTAGTTTGGACTGATCGTGACGTCGGCTCCTCGAATCTCCCATACCTCGCTCGGCTTCCACCAAACGTCAGGCCAGAGGTTGCCCGTCTCGAGCTCGATGCCGAACGGTGAAGGCTCTCCCCATCGTGCTGGTACACAGGTTTCTGATCCCTCCGCATAGCGTACGTTGAGATCCTTGTAGAACGCATCTGTGAAGCCCGAGATGCACTTGCAAACCGCCTGCAGCACGCCCGTGGTGGGATCATACAGCGCGAGCAGCATCGGTGACCACCACGTCGCCTTGCGTCCCATTCCGTGCCATGCCCCGATCGGAACCAGATCCAGAGAGTCGCCCAGTCCGTCCACGTAGTCCTTCTTCACCTTGAGCCACGATTCGCATCGTTTGTCCGGCTCATACGTCGATAGTAATGCCTTACCGCGTCCATTGACACCTTTGCCTATATCGGCTGGGATCGACACAAGATCAGCCCCATTGCGGCCGTTGCGCTTTCCGTTGCTGCCATCGTCGAGTGTCTGAATCGCTTCGTCTTCGTTGTCCATGGCTAGGTCATCATCGACCACGTCGGCGAGCTTTTGAAGTCGACCCGAGCCATTTGCGACGTCATCGTCTTCCGTCGTCTCGACTGCATCATCGTCTTCCTTGCTGTCCGGTGGAGCTTCCCAGTGATGGTCGAGCGACTTGACCATGATCCCTTCGCACTTGTACTCTTGCGCCTGCGCAAAGAAGCGCGCAACCTCGTCAGGATCCGTGCTCTCGCACGATCGAACGTGTGCGAATCGAGCGATCAGTGGATTCTGCGGCGACAACGGAAGAAACCGGTTGTGCAGGAGCCTACGCCGCGTTCGGAACGAAGATTTGAGCAGCGAGTCGCCATCGAGGTACATGAGGTCGAAGGCAAACACGCCTACCTTGACCTTGATGTCGTGCAGATTGACGTCCTTCCGACTACGATTGGCCAAGGTCTGAAACGGCAAGAGACGTCCTTCCAAATCCATCGCCACCACCTCGGCGTCCATGATGAACGAAGTGATCGGCTGACGACCTCCCTCGGTCTTCTCTTCACTCGCCTCCTCTCTCTTGACAACCTCCTCCTCCGTCGAACTCTGCGCTTCACGGCTGACTGACGAGGCTTCCCCGAAGACACTCGCCCCGATCATGGCATCCGACTCGCTCTCCTGTCCCATCAAAATAGGCACCATATCCGTGATATCGGGATACTTCTCCGTCATCTCTTCCAAATGCCTCGAGAAGAGCCTCACATACACCTCGCCGTTCTTGCCCACCCATTTGCCGCACTTTGCGTCGCCGTCCTTGATGCTTTTCCGAGCCTCTGGTCCGGCACTTCTCGGTACGTAAATGGCGTGGATCTGACATCTTTGTCCGTCGTACTTGAACTCGGACACGTAGGCCCTCGGTCCAAGCTTTTCGTGCATCGCACCCAACGATCGAGTGATGGAACCCAGCATGGGCGAGATAGGCGTGCCGATGCGAAGCGGGACGTGCTCCGACAAGCCCGCCAGCCCGTGCTGCAGCAGCGATGGGACGATGACGCCAAAGTTGGGATGGCGAGCTCGCACCTCGCGCACTAGCTTCTCGGCTCTTGCCAGACGCTCCATCAGCGCGAGCCGCTGCGGATCTTGCCTCTCTTTTGGTTTGGTGGCATTCGCGAGTAAGCCTTTGCGTCGGTGCGGATGGACGAGAAGCAGTGTCGCGCGTTCTTTCTCCTTCTGACTGCGTGGTTCGATCGATGGTGCGTTCTCCTCCACTAGCGCGAATGTCCGCGCCAGCGCCGTCGCGATGGTGGTCCTGACCGCTTGGATGCGCAAGTGGCTGATAAAGGTTCGCACCAGAAAACGCGTCTCTTCGCCACGGCTCGCCACGAGCAGCTTGGTCACGTAACCAAGCTTTTGATTGGCACTTCCCGTTCCACTGAGTCGAGCTATGCTGTGCAGGTTCGCAAACAGTCGTTGGACCGTGATCGGAGCTGGCCGAACAAGCGCCTTGACGTCCTTCTTGGCTTCGTACGCAACATCGCCAGGATCGCCCGTCTTGTCCCACACCTGTTTCATGAAGCGCGCCGACTTGCCCGTGACCGACTTGATGGCTTTGTTGATGATGGATCCGCCGAGTCCGAGCTCGACACCGTCATAGGGAGGAGCGATGTGGTTGCTGACCAAGTAGACAGTCGGCAGTAAGGATTCGGGATCGTGTGCGCGCACGGTGCGAAGCAGGTTGGTGAGCAGCGTGGTGATGGCCAGGCGAGATCGAGTGGCAGTGATGAGAACAAAGGCTTGTGTCAAGAGTGCATAAGGGGTGGTGGGCACAACTTCACCGTCCTTGTTGGCTATCGTGGGCCATGACGAGGTGTCAACGGTCCAAGGGTCAAAGACAAAGATGTCGTCGCCCAGAGGTATGGCCTGTATGGATGCGTCGAGTGCTGCCAAATTTACAGGTTTCGGCGTCGCTGGCGGTCTCTTGGCGGGAGAGGGAGGGGACGATATCGCTTTTGTCGTCGATCGTCTCGATGGAGATGATGGACCTGGATGTGAGCCAGTATCATTGTCTTTGCAATCCTTGTCATGCTGACCAGACCATTCCTGATGTAGTCGCCTCGCTAGGTCTTCATCACTCTGCATGCGCGACCGGTACTCTGCGGTCGATACGCCCGCTTCTTGAGCTGCTAGCTCTATCGCAAACGCGGCATCTTCTTGCTCTTGCGCTGCCACTGCTCCGGCGGCTATATTCTCGTTGACGTCGTCGTCGTCGTCATCGATATCCACGAAAACCTGCTTCTGTTTGGCCTTGGCCACGCTTGACGTCGGTGAGGTTGGCTCAACGGCAAAGGTTGCCTTAGACGAGGTTGAAGGGCTTGTGAAGAAGGATGTCAAAGCTGATTGTTGCCCTGACTTGGGCTTCTTTGTTGGCGTCGAAGGCTGCGACGACCCATTGGACCGTTTCTTTGACGGCGGCATGCTGCTTGGAGCCAGGCTCAGAGCCTGTACGAGGTGCGGGTCTCTCTGTCGTCTATGATGACCGTTTCGAGTCTATGATGAGACTACACATATCTTGAAGCGACTCCGTGGATGTCCAGTGGGTCCATGTGCGGTAAACTGGTGGATGAAGGTCACAAAGGAAACGGCTCGAGCATGTTGTGCGGGGGAATGTGGAGGCTCAACCTAAAAAACAGACTCGGCAATCGGAAGTGCGGTAAGCTCAGTTGGACCCTCTTTCTTCCATCCTCTTGCTCCTCCTACTTTGCCTTCCTCCCCAGTCCGTATCCGGACGCTCACTGATCATCATGTTCGCTTGTACCCAAATTTCACGGCTCGGTGCAGTAATGCGCTTCTCAGAGCTCACAACACGCCCGAACAGACTGCAGGCACTCACCCGCCTTCCGCAGCTCAGAAACTTTTCGTCAACTAGACCCGCCTGTTCACACGAGAACCCCCTCGGTCTGCCACGAAACAACCTACGCATACCCCCGACCATGCCACGGCGAGGTACAGGTCCACCACAGCCGCGTCGCATCCCCAACGTCAAGCAGGTCGTCTGCGTCTCGTCCGGCAAAGGCGGGGTGGGGAAATCCACCATCTCGGCCAACCTCGCCGTCGCACTCTCCCTCACCGACCTCGCCGGCAGAAAGCCTCGAGTGGGACTATTAGATTTAGACATATTCGGTCCGAGCGTACCGAAGCTCATGGGGCTGGAAGGCATGGGGGAACCCGAGCTCACATCGTACGGGGGCTTGATTCCGATGAAGAACCACGGTGTCAGCTGTATGTCGATGGGATTTCTCCTCGGCAACGCTTCGCGGTCCGGTGCAGGAGAAGAAGAGGATGAGGAGAGAGTGGTAGCATGGAGAGGAATGATGGTGATGAAGGCGACGCAGCAGTTGCTTTTCGATGTCGACTGGAGATTGAACCCGCTAGCACCCACCCCCGAATCGCCCGACCAGATAGACGCAAGCAACACCCCGCTCGACGTGCTAGTGATCGACATGCCTCCCGGTACCGGCGATGTAGCGCTATCGCTCGCTCAGCTAGTCAAGGTGGACGCAGCACTGGTGGTCACAACACCCCAAGAGGTCGCCTTGATCGATGCGAAGAAGGGCGTCGCGATGTTCAACAAAACCAAGGTTCCGATCGCAGGCTTGGTGCTCAACATGAGTCACTTTGTCAGTCCTGATACGGGCAAGGTGTTCGAGCTGTTCGGCAAATCGACCGCGGTGGAAAGGTATGCCGAGAAGCAAAAGCTGGACATCTTGGCGAGGATACCGTTGCAGCCGCAGTTGAGCGCAGGTGGCGACGAGGGGATTCCGGCCACGCTGAGGGAGAGTTTGCCCGCGTTTGAGAGCGGATCATCGGAGACCGAGCAGCAGCAGCAGCAGCAGCAGCCGAATCACATTCGAGCGGCATTCCTCGATCTGGCAGACAAGGTCTGGAAGCGATTGGGACCGTAGTCGGCGACGAAACAACACTTTGTACAACACACCAACACAGCACATTCCTTGGCAACACAAACCAACCAGCCATCATCTTCTCAGACCGAACTGTATTCTCTTATTTAAAACTGGACTCTACGACACGCTGAAGCTTGCATCAAGCCTTTGCCGTCGTCACACCATCCCTCTCCTCCAACTGTCTCTCGAGCTGCATGGCGTCCTTCAACTCCACCTCCAGCATCTGCCTCACCTCCTTGCTCGCCGGTTGCAGCGGCATCCTGCAAACGCCGTACTCGTAGTACCACCTGTCCAACGCGCACTTTGTACCTGGAATACCTGCCTTGAACAGCACCCAATCGGCGTGGCTTACGACCTTCTGCAGTTGCTGGGCCTTCTGCAGTTTATCCCAGCTCTTCTCGTCCGCTGCCTGTTTGGTCAACGTGTAGAGTTCGACGAGGGTTCGGGGGATGATGTTTCCACTACCTGCGATGACGCCCGTGAATCCGGCTGTAGAAGCGGGGACGATGATGTCGGCGAAACCGCTCCAGACGTGGAAGTTGGGTCGGGAGATGGCAGCGGCGATACGACCACCCTTTCCCACGTTGGCGCAGGTGAGTTTGGCACCGCAGATGTTGGGATGTTGAGCGACATCAATGATCAGATCGGAATCCAGATCGATCCCGCCTACACAGGCGGGGAAGTTGTACACCATCACCGGGATCGGAGATGCATCCGCCACGCGCGTGAAGAACTGCTTGATCGCAAACCTATCCTTCCCCAACCCACCTGCAAAGTAACCGGGGAGGATGACGATCGCCGCATCCGCACCGGCTTTCGCCGCATCCACGCAGTTGGAGATGGTCTCCTTGACCGAACCGACACCGGTTCCGGCGATGATCTGGGTCGAAGAGAGGCCGGAGGAGGCGAGGTGTTGACGCGCGGTGGAGACGAGCTGGAATCGCTCGGGTGCGGAGAGGTGGATGGCCTCACCGTTGGTACCCATAATGACGAGACCAGAGCCGGCGGATGCGATGCGCAGGACGTGCGTCTTCCACGAGGCGTAGTCGATCTCTTCCGAGGCGTCGAAGGGTGTCGCGAGCGGAGTCCACACTCCCGGTTGGAGGGGTGTGGGTTGATATCCGTTGGTGGTTTGCGTCATGGTCTGGTGCTCGTCGGTGCCTTGGTTAGGTAGTGTTGGTAGTTTGAAAGAAGATACAGATGGTGGAAAGAGGAGGGAAGAAGAAGGGGGAAAGGTGATCGCAACGAGCTGATAGCCAGGCGAACATATATACAATCGGCGCGGGGGAAGGACGACTGCCCAAAGAACGACGGCGAGTGGGCTCGGTTGGGTTCGGTTCAAACGCGAGAAAGGTGGGGTAAGCCCGGACAGCGAGGGCTTGTGCGCGCCCAAACAGAGTGGGGGAGATGAAAGTATTCCGGCCACTCCACACTTTGCACCTTGAGAGCTGCTCTCTTGTCTCGCGGACCCTGCGTAGAAGGAACGCGCTGGGGTGCGGCTCTCTAGTTCTCGGTTTTCTCAACGGCGTGGGGGGAGTGCTCCTGCGTACCAAACATCAGTGCCAAACATCGACTCGTATTCACAGCAAAGCTAGCTGCTACCTTAGCAGGAATGGCTCAGTGTGCCTTGCGCAGAGCCAGGGCGTCTTGCTGACCGACCGTTGTGGGTTAGTGTCACATGAAGTCTCACACGCCGAAGCTAGCAGCGTGGCACGATGTGGGTATGAGCGAAACAAACTACCTACGGCATCCGCATCCTCCGGACCGCTGTCCATACCATATCGCCTTCACTTGCGCATCTCATCAAACTGTGAGAGCCGAAACACTGGCGACGACATGAACTGATACAGCTGACCGGTCAAGCTGAATAGGGAGACGTTCGCACAAGCCTGGTTGTTCCCCCACGTTTATCAATCAGCACAGAGTCGGTTGGCGGGGAAAGCGCAGCGGCCCTTGCGCGAGAAATAAAGGCGCAAAAATGCATGTTAAGAGTCTCTCAGTTCCGGACGAGAAGAATTTCGGCTTTTCGTCGAGACCAACACTCTTTATGCTTTGTCGAAACCCCACCATCTTACAGTAGCTTCTTCCCGCATTTCCCCCCTCTTCACTCCGCTCGGGCGTTCCCAAACATGACCGTCGCTCAACCCTCCGCGTGTCTACTCTTCGTGCGTCGAATCTGCCGCGGGTTCCTCACCGCCTCCGGTCACGACGCCACCACCATCCCGCAACTCTCCATCTCCCACGCACACCCCGGTCTCATCCACGCAACCTTCCGCATCGCCCCGCACAACCTCAATCGTCTCGGCACCCTCCACGGCGGCTGCATCGCCACACTCACAGACACCATCGGCTCCCTCGCAATCGCAAGCCACGGTCTCTACTCGACGGGTGTCAGCACAGACATCAACACCACCTACGTCAAAAGTGCAGGCGGTACCGGAGACGAGGTGAATGTGAAGGGGGAGGTGATCAGTATGGGTAAAACGTTGGCGTTTACGAGGATGGAGTTGAGACATCCGGTGACGGATGCACTGTTGGCGTATGGTTCGCATACAAAGTTTATCGGGAGGGCGTTGAAGCACGCTGAGAATGTCAAGTTTGATAGAGATGGTCTGGAGGTGGTTGAGGGGAAACAGCCCGAGGATTGGTCGGAAGAGTCCAAAATGTAATGCTGCAGATCCAATCGAGGAATGCTTTCAAACAGATTCAGAAACAAGTGAGAAATCTCGTCTAAGGAAGACTCAGCACCCACCTACCATCCACCAACCTCTGCTCCGCCTTGACCGCCGGCAACTGCCAACCCAACCCACCTGCCATTCCATCCCCTTCACTCCCCACGGCATACGTCGGCGTCACCAACACCGTCCTCCTTGCCTCATCCCCTGCCTTGACCGCCTTGACGTTCGCCTTCAACCTGTCCAACTCTCCCCCACCCGCCACCGGCGTAGGCTTGCTGAAGCTGCACAACCCTCGACCCAGCTGCGTCAGCCACACCGGGTTGATCTTCGTCAGCGTCTTCAACCACACCGTTCCCATCACCTCCTCGTCTCCCCCGGTCTTGGCGAACTTGGAGTTGCTGCGTTGCACCTCGGAGAACACCACCCACGCAGGAGGCGTGATGTGGTAGAACGAACTGGTCGGGTGGACGAACGCGAATCCAGGCACACCCATCGCCTTGTACGGCACGCCGCGCGTCGACTGCATCCGATCGCCTCCGCCTTTGGTCCGCAGCTTGAACAGCATCTGACTCGTTCGCTCGTCCGGATTCACCGTCGAGCTCGCCACCACGCTCTCGTTCGAGATCAGATCCGCCCGCACCGCAACCTGGTCGATGTAGGCCGACGCGATCAGCTGTCGAATCACCTTGAGCTGCGTCTCGCTCGGCGGAGCGAGTTTCGGGTTGGCCAGCGCAGCTGCTAGATCCGGGAACGTCGACGAGATCAAGCTGCACAGCTGCGCACGCAGCTTGTGGATCTCCTCCATCGCTTTGGGTCGCAGGAAGTTCTTGTCGCAGAAACTGACGCTTCCTCCGGCGTACTCGTACGCTCCCACAACGCTGAGCAAACGGAACGTGTCGGACAATCCCGCGCCCAACGCCTCGAACTTGCGCATCGTAGCAAAGTACTTGGCCCGCCGTGCTTTTCGGCGCTCCTTGTCCAGCATCTCGCTATTCGTAAGATTCTTCAGCTCGGCATGCAATTCCTCGTCGCCATCCATCTTTCCAAACGCCCTGTCGTAGTCATCCCCTTCCTCGCCGCCTTCTCCCTCCTCCGCACCGCCACGTCTACGATCGCAGTACTCCTCCTCGATCAGCTGCTCGCGAACAAAAGGATCGCCAATGCTCAGCGCAGCTACCATGGCAACAATGTACGGCAGGCACCCGTGCTGCTGACCCTGCGCCAGCATCTTGCCGTACCTCGGCGACACGGGGAACAGCGTCATCGTCCGTCCCAGTTCGGTGACCTGCGCGTGGTTGAGTTTGCGTTTGTTCTTGCCCACACTCACCGACGCCACCGCTGGAGCTTGCAGGGCGCCCAGGTGCGTCAGTACCTGTTCGGCCTTCTTGAGAGCGACACGATCCGGCGGCGTCGGGAACGGGAAGTTGGCCACATTGTCGATGTTCATCGCCTTCATCGACAGCACTAGCCCATCCACAGGTGTCCGTAGAATCTCCGGGCTCGAGAATTGGCTGAAATGATCTTCGTAGACCGCAGAAGAGTAGAGTCGGTAGCAGTGACCGGGACCCGTTCGACCTGCACGACCGGCTCGTTGCGCGGCGGACGCCTTGCTGATCCACGAAACCTCGTACGACTGGACGCCGCTGACCAGATCGTACTTGCGCTCTTTGCTTCGACCGCAGTCGATGACGTACCGGATGCCGGGGATGGTCAGCGACGTTTCGGCGACGTTGGTCGAGACTACGACCAGACGCGTGTCGACGGGTGGAACATCGAAGATGCGCATCTGCTTTTCCGACGGTAACAGCGAGTAGAGCGGCAGGATGTGCATGGGCACGTCGCTGTCGTCCTTGAGCTCGTCGGGAAGATCGTCGTCGTGGCGATTGTCTTCATCGTCGTCATGATCTTCGTCGTCAGTGTCCAACGCTTCCGGATCGACGTCGTCCGCCATAGCGCCATCGTCGACATCAGCAGCGAGATCGCGGTCCAGTCCAAGATCCACCTCTTCCGCCTCAACATCGCCATCTCGCGCCGTGATCTTGACTCGAGCCGATGCGTCCTGTTCGGCGTGCTTTCCCTTGTCCTCCTCGTCATCGTCGCCGCGACGATACTTGAAGCGGCCCTGAACCCGCTCATGGTCCTTCTTCTTCTTCTCGATCGCCTTCCTTCCGAACCGGCTTTCCAGCTTCTTGCACACGGTGGTGATCTCCTGCTGACCCGTCAGAAAGATGAGGATGCCACCCGGTGGCAGTCTTGCGTGGATCTTGGTGGCCTTGCTGACCGACTCGGTGATGTAATCCTGCACCGTCTTGCGATTGAAATGCACAGAGACGGGGTGCTGGCGCGCGTCGATGTTGATCACTGGCGGTGGGATCGGGAACAGCGTGGTGTTCTCGGTGAAGTCCGACACACGCAGCGTAGCACTCATGATGATGAGTCGCAAAGGCCGAGCGTCTGCGACACCTTCGAGCCATCGTTTCTCACGAAGACGCACGACACGACTGAGCACGCCAATGAGCACGTCGGTGTTGATGCTGCGCTCGTGTGCCTCGTCGACCATGATGGCGCTGTACTTGGTGAGCAGGAAATCCGTCGCCAGCTCTCGGAGCAGGACACCATCGGTCATGAACTTGATGGCTGTGTCCGGGCTGACTGTAGCGTCGTACCTGATCTGATGCGAGACGCGATCGGCGGGCAGGCTGAGTTCCGAGGCGACGCGCTGAGCCATGCTGACGGCCGCAACTCGTCGAGGCTGAGTGACGCCGATCATGCCCGGATTGAGGCTGCCCTTGGTGCCGAACGCTGCTTCGTAGAGGAACTGGGGGACTTGGGTCGTCTTGCCGGAACCGGTCTCACCGCAGATGACGGTGACGGTGTTCTCCATGATGGTGCGGACGATGTTGTCTTCCTCGGCCACGACGGGCAAACGCAGACGAGCTGCAGTGAGCTGTTCTGAGCGCTCCACTTCTACATGCGTGACTGCTTTCGGCGCAGAGGTGGAGTCTGCCGACGAGTCGTCTTGGTTGGCAGCCTTGGCAGCCTCGAGCTCGGTGTAGTGCTTGGCGGCGAAAGCGGAGCTCTCTCGGACGTTCTCTTGGTCGCGACCGAGGGGACCACGGGCAACGCCGTCCTTGGGCATGATATCGCCGACTTTGACTTTGAAGCCTGCAACGGGTTCGAGGTTGTATGCAGTGTCGTCTTCTTCTGCATCGATGCCATCAGCACCATCGGTGGAGTCATGCTTGGCAGCATTGGTGGCAGACCCGCCGATGCCCAAGGCGGCACGTGCCCAATCTTTGAAGCCGGAGCTGCGCTTCGTGGTGCCGATGCCCCTTCGGCGAGATCTGAATTCTTCGTCATCATCGTCATCATCTACGTCATCATCCTCGTCATCATCCTCGTCGTGGTTGTCGTCGTCATCCTCGTCATCATCTTGGTCGGAGTCGTCTTGCTCGACATCGTCCGAGTCATCGACGTCGGCGCCTCCTCGGTCATCGATCTGTTTGGACGAAGCTGGGACGGAGCCGCTGGCAGATGCAGAGCCAGAAGCATGCAAGTCGTTCTGTAGCAGACCTCGTCGACGCATAGCCTCGAGGAAGACGCTGTCTTCCTCCTCATCCGTGTCCGGTTCCTCTGATGCCAGATCAGAGTCTTCGTCTGAATGGTCGTCGTCATCCACCTCTTGCTCGAGCTCGTCAGCATCTTGCGCTGCTTGAGATTGGAGTAAGTCGTCATCGAATTCTTGTTGGACCCAGTCTGGACCTGAAGCGACAGCTTTGCGTTTTCCTTTGAGGTCAGCTGCCTGTGCCAGGCGTTTCTCCTGGTTCTTTCTTGAAAGAGATGCGCGAGGAGCAGGACCGATGAGCTCGTCGTCGAGAGCCAATGCGGTCTTGCGTCTGATTTCTGGAGCAGAAGAGGACTCGGCCTCGGACTCGGAGCTGTCAAAGCTAGAATCGCTCTCGCGCGCTTGCTGAACCCTGGTGGCGGCGTTGACACGGGCGGCTTTTGGCTTCTTGGTGCGCTTTCGCATGGGTGGCATGATGGGATTGCCGTGCGCGTCCCTCGCCAAGGTAGAGCCGAGAGCCGATGCGAGCGCTGAACCTAGCGCAGGCGCTGAGTGGGTCATGGATGAGGTTGCCGTGTCAGTGTTTGGCGCCTTGGACTTGTCGAAAAGGCTCGCTGCAGCGAGGATCCTGGCTCTGCGTGCTGGATCCTCCTCGACTTCGCCAACGGGCTCATAATCCTGGCCTTCTTCCTCGACATCCTCTGGTGGAGTGAAGTTGGCCTCATCGTCGTCCTCATCGACGTCTCCCTCGGTGGCTTGCATGTCGTCGAGGTCCGCATCGTCGTCGTCCTCTTCGATCTGCATTGCGGCACCGTTCATGGTCCTCCTTCTTCGCTTTCCGCTGCTGCGATCCGTCTTCTGCCCAGCGGTGTCTATGCGCTCTTCCATAGTCTTTGCTCTGCCAGTACCCAGCGTGGCTGCGGACCTGAGGGCGGTGCGATCGATTTCGGCCGACGTCTGTGCGAGCTTGTGCATGATCTGCACCCTCTCCTCCTTTTTGAGGCGGGAAGCAATGTAGGCGTCGAGACGCTTGCGCTTCTTGGACGACATGGGAGCCGAAGCATCCTGACCGGAGGCTTCGAGGAGCTGTTTGCGTTGCAATTCTGCCTGCTTCCTTTGAAGATCCTCTTGACTTCCTGGTACGATGAGCTGTGCATTGGAGTCGTAAGCGTCGGCCTCTCTTTGGCGTAGGGAGCGCTTGTTCTTATGGGAAGAGCCGCCGACGGACGAGCGCCGCGCTTTGGCGTTGTAGCGCTCCTGGACGGGCTTCTTCATCGTATATAGCTGAGTGACAAAGATTGACCGAATGGTGGAAGAAAGGTCGAACAGCACCGCAAGCAAGTCGAAAGGGTCTTTCGACCTTCCTTCTCCACTTGACGTCTCAAAATTTTGGAACTCTGGAAAAATTCTCGGCACACAGATCACATCACAGCGAGCGGCGAAAGGACACGCTGGGAGTAGGAGAAGAAAAGAACGAAAAAAAGGCGAGGAAAATACTGGCACAAAAATCACCTCGAAAATCACACTTCACTTTACGCGAGATGCCAAACGCGACCAGACGCCAACAAAAGATGCGTGCGTTTCCTTTCGATCGCAAAGCTCGAGTGTGGTCGATGGAGCATTGGAGATCCGGAGGGTTGAGGGCCTGAGACCATGAGATCGGCTTTTGGTGTGCATCGGATATGTGACAAAGCAGCCGTGGACCCTGAAAGCTCAGGGCGCGTCGTGACAAAACTCAGCGAAAGTGAGAGCCAAGTGTTGGTCTGGCTGCGCATCACACTGATTATAAATAAAAATAAGGGCAGTAGTGTGTGGAGAGGCGAAATTTCCGATCCGCGGGCCAGCCGAGAGCCCAAAGCTCATCTCTCTCGCTCTCTCCAACCTGTCAATCTTCTCATCACGCTTGTCGGCCTGCCTCCGTCTCTGCTGCTGCAGCAGTCTCAGCCATCCTCTCTCATCTTGCTACCGCACCACCCCATCCCTTCGCTGTCCCGAATCCACGCTGCGACTGGCGCATCGCTTGCTTCGATCCATCCGTCGACGCCTTCAGGCCGCATCGGCCGCCGACCTCTCTACAAATAACCCCAAAACTCGATCGCGTCAACTCCTTTTCAATCATTCCCACTTCTCGCCGTATCCATCTCGTCTCGCCGCGAGCGTGGTTTGGGCGGCCATGAACTCTCACGGCGGTGGTCGCGATCCATACCATCGCGATGGTCCCAGCCGAGACCCGCGCGCACGGTCGCGCTCACCTCCTCCTCGACCCTATCAAGAGCGCGATAGAGTCGCAGCTCGCATCAATCGGATGGACCACGACGCACCCGCCAAGTCGCTTCAGCGTAAGCCCGGAGCATCTGCTAACCTCACCTCGGGCAATCCAACGTCCGGCTATCCCCTCAACTACGCTTCCACATCCGCAACCACCCTCGATCGCAATGCTCCCACCAGCCGCGCTCAATTGTCAGATCGATCCGACTCATCAGCAGCAGCTCGCAGGAATTCATCTGCGTTGACCGAATCTGCTGCCGACCTTGTGACTCGATTGTATGCATCCGCCCCGGAGCGCCAGCTCTTCGACCAAATCTCCCTCAAGAGCTTTGCAATCTTCGAAGATCGTCGCACTCTCGAGGACCAGCATAAGAAGCTCAAATCTGTCCAAGACTGGCTCAACAAGGCAGGCTCCAACGATCAAAAGAACCTCGCCAGACTCACCGAGCAGCAGCAGACTGTGGCCCGTTTGCAGCAAAAGATCAACTCCGACTCGGACGACCTCTACCGCATGCAGGTCCGATGGCAAGTCGACTTGAATGCGCAGATCATGCCCTCGCTACTGGCCTCTCTTACCGCACCGTTGGAAGCTAAGCTGCAGGATCTTAGCCAGGAGGTCAGGATCGAGCGCGAAAAGGATCGCAAGCGTCACGACGAGCTCGATCAACAGGCGCGCACGGTCTCTGGTCAGGTCAATCGTCTCCATAGCGACTGTAGCAGAATCAAGTCCGACGTCTCGGCGCTCACCAAAGACAAAGACCGCCTTCACAACGAGATCACAGACACGCGCAAAGAGCTTCGCAAGGACGTCGACAAGGACGTCAAACAGATTTCCGACCATTGCGCACGCATCAAGCGTCTCGAGCAGAAAGTGGACGCCTTCGTTGAAAATGCTCCCCGTCCATCTGTCGCACAGCGCACCTCCACCGCTAGCGCCTCGGCACGTGCGCCATCAACCACTCCTTCCAGTCCCGGTGCAGCCTCGATGGCAAGGCCGCGCGTCACCTCGCCTGCCCATGATTCACGCCATCGTCCTGCTCTACAATCCGCCTCCGCCGCAAAGGATGTAGCAGCATCGACCGCCATTGTCAACGGAACTTCTGCACAGGATGACTCCTATGCAGCCGAGAGATCTGCTTCGGCTTCCGGTTCCAGACCGGTCACACAAGCTCAGTTCCGCAAGTGGGTGGCCAACAACGAGCAGGATCTTGCATTGCGACTCGACGAGATCAAGGATATCGCCGTTCAAGATGCTACCGCAGAGAATCAGGCCTGCATGGAACAGCGCCTCCGAGCGCTCGCACGTGCATGGAAGAAGAAGGCTCTCAAAAGAGACGATCCGACAGAGGATCAAGATCAGGCTGCGTCACATGCAGATACGCGCGAGTCCACGGCAGCGGCCGCAAGAACAACCGCCGCTGTCGAAGGTGCAACGTCCATGGAGGTGGAAATAGTTGTTCCACCTGAACAGCAGCCAATCAACTCCGACGCAAGGCGAGCAGGTACAAACGGGGCAAGTCCGTCCACCAACTTGCAGCCTGACGCAACAGTCGTCGTGGATGTCTCGACGCCTGACGCCACATCGCAGGCCTCGCCCGTCGCTGCATCCACTTCCGATCAAGCGAAAATCAGCACCGACAGCGATGCGTCGGCAGCAAGGCCCGGTTCGGCTCCAGCGACAACTCAAAGCGCATCGTCGGGCTTGACACAGCCAACGAATCTGCAGCAGTCGTCCGCCGAGAAGGGTAAAGATACCAAAACGCAAATCGTGACCATGCCCGCGGCAATCGTGAAGGACATACGGCTCTCGCTCGAGGATTGTCAGTCGCGGCTCGCTACCGTCGAGCAAGTGATTGACTCGCTACGCTCGATCGAAAGCGAATGGGTCGCAAGGCTTATCGAGTCCCCCGACAAGCTGCAGCAACTGCTCACAGCGCTCAAGGACAATGGTCTGGGCAACGTGGCCGAAAATGCGCGCATTGCGCTCGTCCGGCTCGGGAGTGAGGTGGTGACGATCCAGTCCGGAATGGAGATCATACGGAGCGCAGAAGACGAGTCAAAGGCGCGCATCTCGGCAGTGGAGGAGCGCGGACAGCAGATCATCGATATCGTCAACGAGAAGGTCAACTATCTGCAGCGGCAGTTCGAGGCGCTGGACGACCAGGCTGCGTTGCAGGGTGCGCTTCTGGTGCGTCTGTGCGAGCACGCGAATCCGCGAAAATCGCAGCCGAGAGCGATCACGGCGACAAGTGGCACATCGAGCCAAGCTGTGCGAACAACTCAGTCTCCCGTAGTTCAGTCGCCATTGGTCCAGCACGCCCAGCACGTTCAGCCTTCCGTGCTGCGACAGGATCATCAGCCACAGCCGCAGACACATCTTGCAGCTGGGCAGCACCAGCAGTCTACGTTGTCCGGTGCCATGATGAGACCGCGAGCTTGCCTGGACCAAGTTGCAACGGCATTATCGGCGCACATGCACCCAACGGCTTATGCACAAGAACACGCGCAGCCGACCCTGCTGAACAGTGCGCAAGCGCAAGCCTACCAGCAAGCTCAGCAGCAGGCTCAACAACAGCAGCAGCAGCAGCAGCAGCATTCATCATTCACGGTACCAGGTGTCGCGTATCCGTATCCGAACCCGAATCAGCGCCAGGGCTTCCACTAGAGGAGGAGGCGGCAGCGCCGTCCAACAACAGGCAATCAAGAGGATGACGTCGAACGAATCTACGGGTGCGGACGAGCAAATTTCCTTGATCCCATGTACCACGTCTAGCACAGAAAGCGATTCGCATCTGTCACTGTAATGTTATACCACGCACGCAGCACCCGTCAAATCATCGCCGAGCGTCTCTTCCGAATAGACACCCAGCCACAGAAATGGCCTGCCCGCCGCCTATCCTCACTTCCACGGCTGCCAAAATTCAAAAGCAGCGTTAGACCGCGAGAGAGTCAAGAGCGAGATCAAAAATAATGTGAGACAAGTCACTCTCAACCTCGACTTGAGCCTCCAATTTCGGATCCGACAGAATTTTGAAAAGTTCTCACGAAGCGTCCGTTCCAACTCGAGATTTCAACCGTTTGTATTGATGGTCTCGAAATTAGAAGGTACTTGTATTTTTCAAGCCGGTGCAATTCAACTTGCCGGGCGTAGCCCTTCGTTTTTGGCGGAGATTGCGAAGACGATATTTCAGGCAGGAGCGCGGCAGAGCCAGGCAGCTTCAAAGAGTTGGGCTTGCCCGCCTCTCTCGGGTTGACTGAAGCAGGTTGCAACGCCTCTCGTGGCCTGGAATGAATTGGCAGTCGCCGTGTGCAAGCAGCTTTGGGATTGATTCGAGTTCGAGCTACGAGACTGTAGAAAACGAGGGCAGCAAAGCCAGTCTCCGTGGCGGTCGAGTGAGTAGGTGCAGTTGAAGGAAACTGGAACCGCGCGAGCTCGAGGTGACTGACTTTGGCACATCGTCTTCGCCATCAACCCTTCTCCTCTCCACTTCAAGACACATACATCGCCCATCATGCCGAAGTACGTATCAGCACCACCCGAAACAAAGCATACGAGAAGCAATGTCGTCGTCGCCGTCCCCAACCTCTCGACAGCAGCATCAGCAGCACCAGCACCAGCACCAGCATTCGCAGAGAGCAACTAGGAGCAGAACCAGCAACAGCAGCAGAACTTCGAGCTGCGATTCAGCGGCCGCAGCATGACACCGCGGATCATCCTCAGCAATACAGATGGTCATATCAGCAGCGTCTGTCTTTCACCAACCGTTTTCGACCTTTCGTCGCAGTCACACAATCCGACAGAGGCGGATTTTGGACGTTGATGTATCGATGCTGCAACCGTACCACAACGTAGAGCCGGCTCTATGCCAATTCAAATTGTCAACAGCATCAATAGCAGTATATGTGGAGATGATACGGGCCATCACAAGCGTCAAATAGCTTCTGTTGTCGATCGCGCAAGCGCGCCGCTGGCTACCTTCGCAGGACAAACACGCAAAGCCAAGGCCGCCCGTAGATGGTCTATCTGCGCAATCACCAGCCCGCACCATCACGACCTTTCGCCGTACACCGGCTCTGTCCTCGCATCCCGCTGCCCACTGCTGCTTGCGCTCAACACGTCGACATCCGCTCGAGAATCAAGGATGCGGACACGTATTTCGCGAGCGCAATGCCCACGCTCGACTCGCACCGTCGACAGAATGCGCTACACCGCCTCTCTGTCTGCTATGCTGCTTCTTTTGTCAAACGACGTTCCTCGACATACGACGAAAACATTGCTTCTCTCGATGCGACAAGATGCTCCTGACTTTCGACATGAGGCCGACATGCTGACTTGATCTTCCCTTACCACTTTGCTTCGCCCCCTTCAGCGTTCGTGACGTCGACGCCTCTACCTTCATTGACGCTTACGCGCAACACCTCAAGCGATCTGGTAAGTTTCCACATAGAACATCCTTGACAGGTCCAACGTCGCACACGAATCAGCTATGCCTGCAGGAGAGATCAGGAAGCAGCAAATTCCGACATCACTGGGTCGGCCTATGAAGGAGGAAGAGGAGCCCGTCCAGATTAGGTCGAATGTTCGGAGAGGACGGCATTACTGCATGGAGACGAGATAGATGCAAACAGATTCGTTCGAGACGAACTCGGCATGTTTCGCTGCGGCCGGGTCCTGACATCGGAAGGTTGCAGAAAGGCTACTCCGCAGTCGCTCATGGCGTACGGAAAGATGAAGCGTTACATGCGGGATAGAGGGCATGGTATGCGGGCACCTCGAAAGCAAAGCACTGGACCTGTTAGAAGTGGATGTCACCTTCGACCTCAACTAAGATGCATTGTTCTGACCCCTCCCTCGCCTTCTACCACTCTCTACCGCCGCTCAACAGGCAAGATCGAGGTGCCCACCTGGGTTGACATCGTCAAGACCGGTCACTTCAAGGAGCAGGCCCCTTACAACCCAGACTGGTTCTACGTCCGCGCCGCCGCCCTCGCCCGTCACATCTACCTTCGCAAGGCTGTCGGTATCGGCCACCTGCGAAAGTTCCACGGTGGTGCCTCCAACCGCGGATTCCGCCCTTCGCACCACGCTGACGCCTCCGGTTCGGTTCAGCGCAAGGTCGTTCAGGGTCTCGAGGGCATCGGTGTTCTCGAGAAGGACCCCAAGGGTGGTCGTCGTATCTCGCAGGATGGTATGCGTGACCTCGACCGAATCGCCGTCGCCTGCCTCGAGGCTCTCGCTGAGGAGGACGAGTCCGAGTCCGAGGAGGAGGCGGACGAGGAGGAGGATGACGAGTAAACGCATCGACCTCGAGTCCTTGCATCGCCCGCTTCTCTCTTTCGAAATGTTGTAATGACGACATGATCAGCTAGATCAGTCGCCCAAACAACCCCTCCTCTTCTCGTCTACGATGCCTTTTGCCGGTTCCCATGTCTTTTCTCTCTTTCCCCTCTCCCTCAAAATTTGAAGGATACAGTCCTTCAGTGGGTCAACACGGCAGAAACGTAGCTGGAAGAGGAGTTCTCATCATTTGCATTTTGCAGGCACCTTCGCCTTGCACAAAACACGCACACCTACCTATCCACCATTTGAGATTTCCCCCGTGTCCCCAGACCGGCCCTTCTCAATCTTGTAACATCTTACACACACTACAAAAACGCAGCTCAGATACTCTCGAACTTCCACACCAGGCTGATTGTGTGCGTTGGTATTGTGTGTCGCCCAACGAAGAGGTTTATTCGATCTGCCAGTCAAACACCCTTTGACCCGCACTTCTTCCACTGATCGCACGACTGTCCTGCCCACCATTGACCCTCACCACCTTCCCAACCTCGTCCACACCAAACGTATCACGTTCGACCAACCTACAGCTACCATCTTTACCTATCAGGATGACGGTGCTTGTTCTTGTTGCATAGGCATCTTGGACACCGGGTAGCTGCAGTGGAGAAATGAGGATCGAATCTCTCAACTCGGATCGTTGGGTGGGTGGGGGGTGGGAAGATGTCCAGAGTAGATCGAAGAGTTGTTCTTGCAGGTCCGCTGAGTTGGCGGAGAGGATTGAGGTGAAGGTGTGAGAGCCGAGGTTGATTTTGGACCAGGGAGAGGTGATGATGCTATTGGACAGACCGTTGGGAGAAGGAGTGTTGGAGGTGGGGGAGAAGATGGTAGGAGGGGTGTTGAGGGATACGCTCCCGCTGGTGGTGCGGTTAGTGGTGTAACCTACGACCACACCGGATGAAGACAGTGCGGCGATGAGCAGGTTGAACCCGGGATATCGATCCGCTCTACTCCCAACTTCCGAAAGGTACTCCTCGATCTCGCGTTGAACTTCGTCCAGCTCCCTCGCTTTACCCTTGAAAGCGGTTTGAGATACAAGCCAATCCCTCACCAATGCACCTCTGGATTCAAAAGCGGTCAACCCCGCAGGGAGTGGTGCAGATTGCTCCGTGAAGTTCGTCAGGCTCGCCCAGGACCCATTGCGGGTAACTCCCAACCAGGTCCCGCCTCCCGTTGAATCTCGTGCCGACAACACCAATGGAGAGATCGACGATGTAGTAGTGGAAGAAGAGGTGGGCGAGGAAAAGTCGTGCCAAGAGGCAGGCAGGGTAGGTCGAGATAGATACTCGTCTCGATTGGATGCGATGATCAGGTGGTAGTGAGGATCTTTGGTCGTCCAGAATATCACACACATGGCTGTGGTAGCGGTGTGAACAGACACTACAAGAGAGAGATGGAGGGATGGTGATGGTTGCGAGGATGTGGACGGATGTCACTTTCAGGGTCCAGCTTCGGGAAAACGCAAAAGTGGAGCGTTGGATTTGGCGGCCGAGAAGGAAAGGCTTCGCGACACCTCACGGCGCGACACTTTGCTACGATCTCATGCATCTCTCAGCAGACGAGTCACACGGAGCAAGAGTTGATCGTGTTTGATTGATACTATTACATATGCAGAGAGGGGACACGATCCGCTGTGCTCAGCGACGAATTTATCAAAAGTCGTTGCGCGCGGACGGTCGGGTATATTTGAGCTGGGCTTTGGGTGAGATGCTTCGTCTAGTTCTCCTTCCACTGGTACGCACACTGTCCATTTGTGCAGCGGTAGAACGTCGTCACTGTCATGACCAACCAACAAGCGATCCGCAAATTAAAGTGTTAGTGAGACCACCTCCAACCATTTGATGCAGATGTGTGTGTGAAAACTTACTCGGTTCGTCAGCAGATCGAATCTGCAGCTGCATGAAGAATGCCTTTGGATTCTCGCACTTGGGACATGGGACTGTGTAGCGCACCATTGAACGACATTGCCAGACATCGAATATCAGTGATCCTGTACAATCTCTCAGAATAGACCTCCAGCAGAAGAGGAGATACGCACCATCGATCGAGTCGACATTCTTCCAGCTCTCTTCCCCACCCATGACGTCGTCCACCTCTTTGCGCTTCAGATGTTGTCGCGTTGTCATTTGTCGTATGATGGGGAATTCGTATGGACAAGTGTGACAGGACCACTTGTTGTTGCCTTGATCGTCGAGTTGGATGATCAGGCAGTTGGCGCACGTTGGACAGAAGAGCATGCTTGAAACGGGTGGGAGAGGGACGAGACCAGTGATGGATGCCAATATCGATGCCGAGTCGATGCACCGAGATTGAGGGGTATAGGTTGTCGGTGTGAAAGGTAGGACGTCGATGATTGCCTTAGATGCAAGCAGCACGAGGAAGAAAGCTTCGCAAAAAAGTGAGTGCGATGCAGTGCGACTTCCGAGACGGAACGACAGAAGATCATGCTTGTTAGATCCTGGATGTAAGATCGGTGAATTTTTGATCGCAGTTTGAAAATCGACGCTCGACCGGTCCGGCTTCGTGACCCAACGCAAAGGACAAGCCAAGATCGAGGGTACAGTGTATCAGCTGGATACACTTGCACTGCATCATCCTCGAGCGGATGATGGCAACTGCCACGGAGGATAGGGTTGACGTCGATGCGAGCAGATCGCAGCCCATCTCAGAAACAGAAGGGCGAGGCAGCGTTGATCTCGCCCTGATCTGCGGTAGTGTCCAGCATCGTCGATCAGCTGACCGGATGAACCAAGGAAAAACGGCAAGGCAAGCGAGCAAGAGAGACTGCAAGCGAGCAGGCCAAGGTGATTCATCCACAGTCGGTCTTCTTCCGAGTCCGGATTGAAACGCTGGTTGGCTGCTCGCACTTGCTCGGACAACCCGGGCCGTAAAGTAGCAGAGCCAAAAGAAAAATAATTTACCGATCAGGATCGGATGCGCCTTGACCATGTTGCTCCCCGAGAAGGCCAAGCCGGCTTGCTGCTGCAAAGTCGTGTCAAGCCACAAAACACTGCTACACCGTGCATCTGGCAGCTTGTTGGCCGGCAGATCGTGGCCTTCTTAGCAGCTGCGGAGCTAGAGCCCGCCAAGTCCTCGTAGCGAGACCCGATGGGCCCTCGTGTGAGTGCGTTGGCGCAGTGTGCTTCCGGTTGATTGTCGTCGGGCAAATTCTCCGAAGCAAGCCAAGGACAGCGGCAGACCCGACCAACAGCTCATTGCGGCCTCCCCACTCTGACTTGAACCGCACGACGTCCATCTCTCGTATGCTCACCTTGAGAGCGATATCGCTTACCTTCCGACCACAATCTCGAAACAGTCTCAGCCTGCTCAGCAACCACATCCGGGGCCCCTCCTACTCCTCCATTCGATCCTTCCACGCACCATCTCGGACCTTTGCCCGATTCTCGCATAGGGATCAGAACGCTAACCTCTCCGCTCGACCTGCCCCTTCCTCGCTCTCCTATCCCAAGATGCCGCAACTCGTGGGCTCGATCGACGCTGGTACCACCAGCGTCCGCTTCATGGTGTTTGACGAGTTCGCAAAGGTGCACGCCTCGCACCAGATGGAGTTCAACCAATACTACCCGCACCCAGGCTGGCACGAGCAAGATGCGCACGAGATCATCGACTGCGTATACGAGTGCATCGACAAGGCGCTAGAAAAGCTCGAACAAGCCGGCAAATTCAGCAAGACCGACGTCAAGGTCATCGGCGTCACCAACCAGCGAGAGACCACCGTCGTGTGGGACAAGAACACCGGCAAAGCGCTCACACGAGCCATCGCCTGGCCCGATGCGCGCACCACCTCCACCATTCGACAACTCGAATCAAAGCACCCGAAAGGCGTCGATGCCGTCAAGGAAGAGACCGGCTTGCCGCTCTCCACCTACTTTGCCTCGGTCAAACTTCGTTGGATGCTCGACAACCTGCCCGAGGTGCGAAAGGCGCACGACGACAAGCAGATGCTCTTCGGTACCGTCGACAGCTGGATCGTCTACAACTTGACCGATAAGCAAGTCCACATCACCGACGCTTCCAACGCTTCGCGAACCATGTTCATGGATCTGCGGGCGCAGACCTGGGACAAGAAGCTGTGCGACTTTTTCGAGATCGACATGGACATCCTACCCGAGATCAAGAGCTCGTCCGAGGTGTACGGCAAGGTGTCGCATGGTATGCTCAAGGGTGTCGAGATCGCAGGTATTGTGGGCGACCAGATGGCCGCGTTGGTGGGCAACAAGTGCTTCCAGCCTGGTGAGGCGAAAAACACCTACGGCACCGGCGCTTTCTTGCTGTACAACACGGGCGAAAAGGTCGTCTCGTCCAAGAACGGGCTGCTTTCCACCATCGCATACAAGGCAGGCCCCGATGCACCCGTGCACTATGCCTTGGAAGGCTCTATCGCTGTGGCTGGCTCGGCCGTCAAGTGGGTGCGCGACAGTCTAGGCCTCATCAAGGAAGCGAGCGAGATCGGCGAGTTGGCAGGTCAGGTCGAAGACACAGGAGGAGTGTACTTTGTCACGGCATTCAACGGTCTCTTCTGCCCCTACTGGGACGACACAGCAGCAGGTACCGTCGTTGGCATCACCGCCTACACGGACAAGCGTCACTTCTGCCGTGCCACGCTCGAGTCCACGTGCTACCAGACAAAAGCCATCCTCGACGCCATGTCCAAGGACTCGGGCGTTGCGCTCAAGGCGCTGCAGGTCGACGGCGGTTTGACCAACTCGGACGTGGCCATGCAGATCCAAGCTGATATCTTGGGCATCAACGTCGAGCGTCCCGAGATGCGCGAGAGCACCGCGTTGGGTTCGGCGCTGCTCGCCGGCTCGGCAGTGGGGCTGTTCGGCTGGGACATCAACAAGCCAGAGACGTTGAGCAAGGTCAACACCGCAGGTAAGCAGGTGTTCGAGCCCAAGATCGATGCCGAGAGGCGAGAACAGTTGCTGCACGGCTGGGAGAGGGCGATCCAGAGGGCCAAGGGTTGGAACGAGAACCCTTGAGCAGCGAATCCGGGAGGAACAGTGTGACGACGGAGAATGTCGGTACACAACATGCTCACAAAAGAACGAGAAATGTAGACGTCTTAGTTGTGGCTGTCATCCCACTGCGCTCTGCGGGACAAGGTAGCACTGAGAAGGAATGTGTTCGGTCGGGACGTGAGCCAGCCAGCCAACCACTTTCAGAGGCTTCTCGCTGACAAAAGGATGCCGCTCCGCAGATTCAAGCCACCAAGGTCCCGCATACCTTGGGATGCTTCTCCTTCCTTCCTTCGCTGGTCTCGTCGGTTGCTCCAACCTTGTGATGAACTTCTGTAGGTCCCTTCGTTGTATGCTGTTCGGTATGTGGGCTCAAACTTCCGCATGAATGGCTGGCGAGAGCAGCGGAGAGGGCCAAGTGGATATTTAGCCAAAAAACGTTTAAATCCGGGATCGACGTCAGTGTGCGTGCCTTCGGATCGCATCCGCGTTGTCGGACTGCCTGTGTCTCCTGTGGCTTGCAATTTTCGGCAGTTCCTATTGACCAAGCCTCGGATGCAGAGTGGTTACAGTAAACCGAAATCCTCAGCAGGGCAGAACACACGACAAGACAACGTTAGCTGCCAAGCACATTGTAACCTTCTACTTTCTTTCGCTGCTCTCTCATGCAGACTGCATTAAAGTTGACCGACCTCCGGCTGCATCCTTTCCTCCTGTTTGCCACCTTCCCCTCGTTCGTCCCGTTTTCGAAAGTCAAGAGCGTCTGAAAGGAGCGCTGGCTACGGACGGCTCGCATTCATCCCATCAACATCATCAACATCGTCAACATCATCAACAGCACGTAGGGGCGCTGTCTCTAGAACAAAGCTCGTCAAGCACGATGACACCTGCGACGACCACAGCCACGGCGAGCGAGCCAGCGTCTGCCAACGCGAAGACGCCTTCCCTACACTTGCTCGCTGATCTCGCGGGCCACTCGACTGTAGCATGGCATCTTGCATGGAATCCACGCATCCCCGTCTTGGCATCCTGTTCTACCGACAAAGACGTTCGGCTGCACGCATACTCTTTCGTCTCGACCACATCCGCAGACGGCCCCTCATCCTCGAAGCGCCCAGCCTTCAACCTGCGAGAGGTGATTCCGACAGGTCACCAACGCACCGTAAGGCAGATTGCATGGTCGCCAGACGGCAAGATCCTAGCCACCGCATCCTTTGATTCGACCGTGGGTATCTGGGAGAGGATACAGGACATCGATGGCTCAGCCGAGCAGGAAGACGACGGCGACGCTGGTGGACCTGTCGCGCTCAGCAACGGCGGTGCGCATGTGGACGAGCCCGAGTGGGACTGCATCGGTACACTCGAAGGCCACGAATCGGAATGCAAATCGGTAGCCTTCTCCCACACGGGCGGCGTGCTGGCGTCGTGCAGCCGAGACAAGTCGGTGTGGATCTGGGAGGTGCAGCCGGATGCCGAATTCGAGTGTCTTTCGGTGCTGATGGAGCATTCTCAAGATGTCAAGGAGGTCGCATGGCATCCCACCGACGAGATTCTGGCCTCTGCATCCTACGACGACGCCATCAAGCTCTACATCGACGACCCCTCGGACGATTGGTTCTGCTACGCCTCGCTTACAGGACACGGCTCGACCGTGTGGAGTGTCTCCTTCTCGCCCTGCGGCAACTACCTCGCATCCGCATCCGACGATCTTTCGATTCGCATCTGGCGCCGTCTAAACGCGGATGAGTGTGAGACGCATGGGCTGAAACCCGATGGCAAGATGCCGGGCAGGAGAGGCGAAAAGTGGATCCCGACCAACGTGCTCAAGGGACACCACGTCCGCACAATCTACACGGTGTCTTGGGGAGCCGACAAGTCGTCGACACGTGCGGGCAATCTGGGACGTATCGCGAGCGGCGGCGGCGACGGCCGCATCTGCGTCTACGAGGTGACCGCGTCGGACGACAAAACGTCGTTGCAGCCCACAGTGGAGCTCGTCGCCAAGATGGAGAGAGCGCACGGAACCGCCGATATCAACTGCGTTGCGTGGGCGCCAGAGAGTCTCAACGCCAGAGCTGGTGCAGCGGCCAAGATCGAGGAGCTGATGGAAGACGGAGAGACACCGAAGAGCGGCGGTGGACGGGGATCGCATCACTTCATGTCGGACATGCTGGCGAGTGCCGCTGAGGACGGAACCATCAGGGTGTGGACCATGCCGACGTCGCCGTATGCCGTTGCGAGCGACTAGTAGTTCCCATAGGCGCTGGCTGCACTTCTCAGCTCTGCTTGTTCGGCCAGTGCAAGCACCAGCTCATCTACACAGTAATCCGCTACCACCTTCTATTTGCAATGTCACAAGCCACTCTAATACACATTGTCGCTCTTCCACTACCCTGTCTTGCCACCCTTCACAGATGTTGTGTCAGTTCCAATTGCGCTATGGCAGCGAGCTGCATGGTTGTCCAGCCTTTTGTCCCAGTTGATCAAGGATGGTGCGCGACACGAAAGGGAACTTTGACTCAGGCATAGGCATGAGAAGCCAAACCTTGCGAGGCAAGTGGAGCTACTGACGATTTCAGTATGATTTGCTGAGGCAGCCGACGGGCGTGTCCCTAAATCTCGAAGTGTTAGTTCTAGCTTGGGCTGGCTCGATCTCTTTTGCGAAATCTGCGTGCGAAGCGCGAAGCCAGACGCGGATGTCAGCGTTGGACGAGGCAGAGGAGCGCAGTGCACCGAAATGGAGGAAAATCGAAGGAAAATCACAACGCGCCGCTGTCTTGCCTTTGCGTCTCGTTTCGTGGCTGATCCGCCGCTGTTGCACCTCTCTCTGGCTGAAGCTCTGCTCGGATGCTCTCCGAGACCGACAGCACGCACAGATTCCAATGCACACTCACTCGCTCAGCCGCTTTCGTTCTTCTGCACTCATCACCCCATCGCATCACCTTCCATAACGTCACTTCTACACATCGTCGACTCTCCTTCCGCCCTGCTCTGCTTGGCAATCTCATTCTTTTCCCATTGCATCAATAGCTGCTCAGATCAAGGGTAGCGACGACAGAAAGAAAAGCACTCAGCGTTTTCGGGATTCGTTCGGCGACCTTTCCTCGTGCGTTGACCTTTGCGACGCGTTCTTTCGTCTGGTCGTCAACCCCCTTCTACACGCTGATCGGTCAATCGCACCAGTCAACGGCATCCCGTCGTCACTCGGAAGCAGCAATCGCCACGGTGTCCATCCGATCCTTCATTCGAGCTGGGATCTCATCTACATCGACGTTCTCGAGCTGCGTGCTGACATGACCGCACCTTGACCCTCGACTCTTAACCTCGAAGGTATACTCTCAGTATACGATCGATTCGCTCGCAGGTCTTCCACTCTGCACACCGCGTAATCCGCTTCCATGTCTGGCGGCTCGCAGCATCCTTTTCCGTTTCATCCTCAGAGCAGCAACCCGCACGACGCCTCTTACCATTCTTACACGCCAGCGATTTCAAATCAGTCGCCCCCCTTCTACGCACAGCACTCTGGCGACTATTCCAATCATCCTCAGCACAGCAGCGCGTCACCTAACCCTGCTACCTCCGATCAATTCGGCTTTGGAAATCACCAACCAGCATTCCCGCACAACTTTAACGCTCAGTCCGGCCACCACCATTCCCACCACCCCAACAACCACAACACACAGCCTGAGCTCCTATCGCATCAGCAGTACGGATACCCTGCTGCCTCGGCCGCGTTCGCTCCCAATTTTGCCAACTTTGCTCCTGACTTGAACGCAGTCGGGGCACATCTGTCTGGCAACCCATCCTTCCCGCGACCCACCTCGTCGTCGACAGACCATCTCCAACCTGGTCACTGGCACCAGCAGCAGGGTCTTTCTCCCGCCTCGTTTGACGGATCATTTCGCTCGCCTGCACACTCCCACTCGCCTCAGCCTGTCTCGCATCCTTACGAGAACCAACCGGGCTTAACACTCGACCAGTACCAGCAGCAGAGCCCTTACGCACCGGCAGCACAGACTTCGCCTGCAGTGCCGTACCAACCCAAGATCGAACCAGACTTCGACTCCGTCTCGACTCCGCCGCTCCCTCACATCGACTCCGCCAGCTCTTCGCCGCAGAAGCCCGCCTTTCGCATCAAACTCAAGCGCACCGTCAAGACGCACGAAACCAGCTCCGGCGGTCAACAAGCCCAAGCTCAACTCCAGATCGACCCGACAGCAGTCACCAACATGGCCGTGGGAAGGCCTTCCAGGAACGCTGCAGCTGCAGCTTCCGCCAATATCCACAGCTCCTTTTCCGTCAGTCCTGTCAATCGTGCCCCTCGCGGCCGCCAGATCAAGCAGCAACCAGGCAGCGATGAGGAATTCGAAGAAGTAAGTCAATCGCGACGAACGGTATCTCACCAAGCCAAGCAGCACGGGCATGAGGACAACAATGATGTCGACGACGATGATGATGAAGAAGGTGGAGGAGAAGGAAAAAAGGAGATGGAAGAAGTAGAGAACAACGAGGACCAAAGCTATGAGCAGAACGGGCGGTTGCAAGCGGCACTTCCAAGGAGAAGCTCGCGCACTCGATCCATTCCGCCGTCAGCGCAGCAGACACAGCAGGCACAGCCGCAGACCAGGACTAAGACTATCAACGTCAAACCCTTGAAGGCGGCAAAGCAGAAAGTCTCTAATCTTGGCAACGGCAGCAGAGCCAGCACTAGCGTCAGCCGCAGTGCGAGCCGCACTCCGACCCGAACATCCAAGAGAGGCTTGTCCAGGACCCCATCGGATCCAGTGCGCCGCAGTTCCAGATTATCTCGCGATTCGCAGCCTCCCTGGGACCATGATATCGGTTTCGCACCCGCACCCCCGCAGAATTCAGGGCGGTCCTTCGAACTCGTGGACGAGACGCTGAGACAGCAACTGGTAAGCTCATGTCTGGGACGTGGACTCCAGCAAAGGGGCGTCGGGCGACGGCAGCTTGGGCAGACAGGGCGGAACTAGGCAAAATCACGGTGCATGGCCGCATCATCAGGGAAAGTTGGCAGCAAGAGCATGTTCCTCGTGCTGCCACAACCCGCAAGTCGTACTGACGAGTCCAGTCTCGTGCGCCGTGAAACGAACCATCACTGACATCTTTTCTTCCATCTTCACCGTTTCGATATCGACAGGATGCAGACGAGCATGACGACGAAGACGAGGACGCCGAGGCAGAGCCCGATGAGGATGCCGAAGGCGAGCAAAATTCTCGCGTCAAGGCAGAAGTGTATGACGAAGAGCCGGAGCCTATTCTCTCCACCAGTCGCTCGGGACGAGTGCGCCGCCAGAGAGTGACCAACATGGCAGAGTCCGAAGATTCCGACGCTGTGGACGATGACGATGAGGAGGCAGTAGGACCGCGACGCTCCTCTCGGCGACTCCAATCCAACGCACTCGACGGCTTCGTTGCTGCTGATGACGATGAAGAGGAGGACGACGAGGGAGAGTACGGTTCGAAGCGCACCACGCGATCCTCTGGCCGCTTGCAACGCGGCGGCAATGCCGGCAACAATCGTCTCGTCGAGATGGCTGCCAAGAAGCGTGCTGCAAACGGCCGTGGTCGACCCCAAAAGCGCAAGCCTCGCGACGAAGAATACGAGATGGAGGGCGAGGAGACGCCAGAGGAAGAGCAAATCTCTGGAGCTGAGGACGACCCGCTCGACATCCACAGTGACGAGCCGGAAGGCAGCCAGGGCAAGTCGTATTCGCTTCGCCAACGCAAGAAGGTCAACTACTCGCTCGTTCCGCCTCCGCCCTCGCCGCCAAGGGACGGTTTCGGTCGTCCCATCAAGAACAATCGCGGCCGCAGCGCCAATGGAGCCTACGAACTAGATCCTAGCGGTGGCGATCCTGCTTCTGGTGCACCGGGCGCCGGTTTGCCAATGCCATTCCCTGGTCGCGGCAAGAAGGGCAAGGAAGGCTGGGACGCGTTGCCGTCCTCCATGACTGGTAAAGACTACGCGCGCATTTTCGGCGACCCCGTCGACAGCTCCGACGAAGAATTGCAGAACAACGCAATGCGCAAGCCCGGTGCTCCCGCCGCGCTCGGCGGTGGACCTGCCGGAGGACTGTTGGGTGGTGCTGGCGGTGCCGCTGGACCTCCAGGCGGCTTGACCGGCGCCGGTGGCACAGATAGCTTTGGCCGAATCAAGAAGAGCGGCGACCCTCTGGCCGATATCGATCCCCTTGGCGTCGACATGAACATTGACTTTGACAGCGTCGGTGGTCTCGATGGCCACATCCAACAGCTCAAGGAAATGGTCATGCTGCCCTTGCTTTACCCGGAAGTCTTCCAACGCTTCAAAGTGACGCCACCGCGTGGTGTGCTTTTCCATGGACCGCCCGGTACCGGTAAGACTCTCGTCGCGCGCGCCCTCGCTGCCAGCTGTAGCACCGAAGGCCAGCAGGTTAGCTTCTTCATGCGCAAAGGCGCCGATTGTCTCTCCAAGTGGGTCGGTGAAGCTGAAAGGCAGCTGCGTCTCTTGTTCGAGGAGGCGAGGAACTCGCAGCCCAGCATCATCTTCTTCGACGAGATCGACGGTCTGGCGCCCGTTCGTTCGAGCAAGCAGGATCAAATCCATGCCAGTATCGTCAGCACCATGCTGGCCCTCATGGATGGCATGGATGGGCGAGGTCAGGTCGTCGTCATTGGTGCCACCAATCGACCTGATAGCGTCGATCCAGCTCTGCGTCGCCCCGGTCGATTCGATCGAGAGTTCTATTTCCCCTTGCCTTCGCTCGAGGCCCGCAAGAGCATCATCAATATCCACACGAAAAAGTGGGAGCCTCCGCTTGACGACGATTTCAAGGCGAGGTTGGCCGAGGTTACCAAGGGCTACGGAGGTGCGGATCTACGCGCACTCTGTACCGAGGCCGCGCTGAACGCCATCCAGAGGCGCTATCCGCAAATCTACTCGACCACCGACCGCTTGCTGCTCGACCCTGCATCGATTCAGGTCGACGCCAAGGACTTCATGATGTCGGTCAACAAGATCGTTCCATCGTCTGCGAGGGCTAGCGCATCTGCGGCAGCGCCGCTGCCCGAACGCTTGGCACCGCTGCTAGGACACGTTGTTCAGGATGCCATCAGCGTGCTCGACAGGATCCTGCCACCAGTGTCTAAGCGGAACCCGCTGGAAGAGGCGCTCTGGGAAGACGACGCCTTCGCACCCCAGGGACTGACATCTGGTCTTTCGGCGGCTGACAAGCTGGGCGGCGATCGCGGATTTGGTCGCGAGATGCTGCTGCAGTCGTTCGAGGCGCAGCGTGTCTACCGCCCGCGCATGCTTGTCCACGGTGATGTCGGCATGGGCCAGGGCGCCGTCGGTGCTGCGCTGCTGCAGCACCTCGAAGGCTACCACGTGCAATCGCTCGACATCGGCACGCTGCTCGGCGACAGCGCGCGTACACCCGAAGCTGCGATCATCCAACTATTCGTTGAAGCCAAGCGACACAAGCCAAGCGTGCTTTACATTCCCGGGATCGTACACTGGTCGCGCTCCGTCTCGGAAAGTGTCAAGACCACCTTCAAGGCGCTCCTTGATGGACTCACAGATGCTGATCCTGTTATGCTCCTCGGTATCGCCGAGGCACCGCTGGATGAGCTCGACGACGAAGTGCACTCGTGGTTCAACTTCCTCGATGACGATATTGTCGAGATCTCACGACCTGACGACGAGAGTCGACGCGGATTCTTCAAGGAGATCTTTGATCACATCATCCGGCCTCCAACTGAGTTCCCCGATGCTCTGCCACGACGCAAGAAGGTGCTCGAGGAACTGCCAAAGGCACCGCCTCGGCCACCGCGCAAGCTCACCCAGGCCGAGCTGCAGCAGCAGGTCGAGAACGACAACAAGCTGCTCGAACACCTCAAGTACCGCCTGGGACCTGTGCTTGCCGAGCTCAGGAAAAAGTTCAAGAAATTCACCCGCGACGTGTGGGACGAATACAACCTGCGAGAACTCACCCAGGCCTTCGAGTGGAAGCGCGAAAAGGGCAAGATCACCGTCGAGCTCCGCTACTACGAGCCTGGAGCCGCGGCTCGACTGGCAGCAGAGGCAGCGGCGGCCGAGGAAGCCGTGGAGGATCAGACGATGCTCGAAACGGAGGCGGAGATTGCCGCAAAGCGCGGCATCACTGCAGCTCAATTCATGGGCCCTCCGGCAGCGATCATCAGCGAGATTGCTGCAGAAGAGGCTGGCGAACTTGCCAACGGCGGAGAAGCGATATCTGCGGGCGACGTGGAGATGACCAATGGCGATGCGGCTGCCAACGGGGCCATTGTCAATGGCACAATCAACGGCGTCCATGTCGCTGGCGGACCTGACGGCCAAGTCGTGACTGCTATCCAGCCTCCGACTTTCGACGACGACGAAGTTGTCACTGCTGATGCTGTCGATGCAACAGCATCGGCTGCGGCGGCTGCCGATCCCTCATCGAGCTCGGCTCTTGCAGACACGTCGATCGCCTCGGCCGCGGCCGCAGCCAACGGAGCGTCCGGGGACGATCCCGACTATCGCACGCGCACCATGCCCATCTGGACGATGAACCTGGAAAAGATGCAGAAGCACCTCTACTACGGCAACTATCGATCGTGCTCGGCCTTCCTGGCAGACATTCAGAAGATCGTCGACAACGCCGAGCAAGCTGCTGAAGTGGACCGAGATCGACTCTTCCGAGCGCACCAGATGCGCAACCTGGCGATTGTGCTGATGGATCAGTACATCGACGCTGGGTTCCGCGAGGAATGCGATCGTATGGCGTTGCGGCAGATGGCGCGGGACCAGGAGGCGGACGAGGCGACGGAGAAGGCGAAGCAGAGCGCCAGCGAGGCGGCTGCGAAGAAGGCCGAGGGGGCGAAGGGCGAGAGGGCGAGCGCTAGGATTGCGGGCAAGGAGCCGGAGTTGGTGGGTGGTTTGGAGAACGGTGATCGGTCGGCCAATAAGCGGCAGAGGAGTGTCAGTGCTCAGGTGGCTTCGGCTGATGCGGAGAAGGCGACCGAGCAGTCGGATGCGATGGTGGAGGATGACGAGGCGAGAAAACGAGCTCGTCTCGCCTCGCCTTCCTCTACCACCGACGGTCCGAACACTACCGATGCTTCCACCGCATCGTCCCTACCTACTTCTCTCGCCCCGATCAGACCTGTCGAGCCGCAACCGCAGCCGGAAGTCGAACACCCACCGCTCGTCTACACCGCGACGTCGTACGAGAACCTCAAGAACTACATCATCTCCTCTTCGGCCCGCTACAACATCGATCAGCTTTCGCGGCTGAGAGCGGCGTGCTTCAATGCGATCTGGAGCCATCGCAGCGATTGGGATCGCGATGCACTGATCGGCAGGCTGATCGAGATTACGAACAAGTCGGAGGAGGCGGTGAGGAGGGAGAGTCGGATGGGTGCGAGGGTGGGAGTGTGAGGTGTGAGAGAGGAATGAGAAAGGTTGGTTACGAGGAGTAGAATGTGTGTGGGTGTGTGGGCGGGTGAGAAGAAGGGTGTGATCGATGAGTCTGGTGAGAAGAGAGCGGGATGTGTAGGAGATGTCTTGGATCTTGATGAGGAGCGGACGGCTTGACTGGAAGTTTTCAATCCATGTTCTCACGCTGCAAACACGCGATCTCGTTCAGAAGAAGTCACACACCTGTCGCTCGCGATGAAGGAAAGTTCCGTGACAATCAATATCCCATTACCCTCAACGCTAGACATTGTCCGTATATGAAACGATAAACCCGCAAAGATACAAACCCCTTGGCAAGGGTCAACAAAAAATTTCCATACCCACATCGTGCATCTCCGCCTCAAGAGCGGTTTTCAGTCGTCGTCGGCCTCGACGACTTCCGACAGCTCGCGACGCGTGGTTGATTTCTTTCTGGTTTGAGGTGAGTTGAGGAGGGTGGGAGATGTCGGTGAGGCCAGTTGGTGGGAAGATGAGGGGTGGTCGGGGGTCCAACCTGTCCGGCTGAGGAGGGGGGATGAGGAGACGGACGACGGGCCCGAACCGGCTTGGCTGGTCGATCTCGGCACGTCCACCGCTGTCGAAGCCGAGACTGCGCGGTCTACTGAGGGGGAGCTGAACCTGCCCGTCGCGTTTGCACCCGTCAAAGTGACACCGCTGAGTTGGGACGTCAATCCGTCCGTATCCACTGCTGCTGTTCCACTCGCCATCGTCGTCGTCCCGGCTGCTGCAGCCTTTCCTCCAATCGCAGCGTTCATCGGCGTAAACCCAGACCGAAGATTCGTGTTCGACCCCAACCTTCCCTTTGTCAACCTCAAGGATCCGGACGAGTTCCTACCGATCGTACCCCTGCCGAACCCGGTTGGTGCTCTGAACCCATCCCTCGAGGCGATACTCTTGCCGGTCGTACCCGACTTTCTATCGCTCTCCGCATCCCCGTTGGCGGAGGCCCAGTGTGAAAAGTCCGAATTGCCCGACTCGAGCCTCCTGTGACCCGTCAACCCCAACCCGCTCGTCACCGAAGGACTCCTACTCGACGCCGCCTCTTCTCTGCTCCACTCGTCCACCAGCTCTTGAACCCGGTTGACTTGACCGACGAAGCTGACCTCGTCAAAGATCTCGTAGTACCTCTCGATGCAGAATCGGAGTATGGAACCCAACGTCGTCCCCCCACTACCACCAGCGTCTCCGTTCGACAGCGACATCTTCCTACCCCCACCCGGCGAGGCCCGGGGAGAGTTCTGAACCGAGTTGCCTCCTGCCATGGAGTTGATCCCTTCAACTCTGCAGATCAGAACGTCCTTCATCGCGTTCCCACTCGAGACCAAATTCGGTGCTACCACAGTAGCCAGATTCGCCGCATCCATCTTGTTCTCCTGCTTCCGCAGGGACACCTTGTGCAACATCTCGAGGACGTAGCTCAAGAGAATGCCTGAGCAAGCGGGTTGGAGGGCGGGGAGGAGCTTGGTTCGGAGATAGTCGATGGTCTCGTTGGATCTCGCGGTTTCGTTGGGATCGGAAGCAAAGAGCGGTGGTGGTGGACACGACTGGATGAGGGGGTAGAGGGAAGAGGGGAAGATAGGTCGGGGGAGCGAGCGGAGGAACATCTTGAGGAGCACGGCGGGGATGTGCGGGTCGCGGTATTGAGAGAGACTGACTGGATGGCCTCGATCGTAGCTTTCTTGGGCAGTTTTGAGGAGCGCGGACGAGGGAGATCGTCGAAAGATTCCTTCCACTGTTGCGGGAATGATCCCGTCGTTATCGTTGAGGATGGCTTCGGCGCAATCGCGCACTACACGGGGTACTCCTCCGCTCTCGCCGAATTCGCCCATCAACTGCACCAGATCCACGCCAAACACTTTCTCCCCTCCATCCTGTCCTTCCGCATCTGCAGATCCAGTTGCAGCTGCAGGAATGACGACTTTCGCCTCGAACCGGCTGTTGTACTGCAACACCTCGGGCGGAATGTCCACCTGCGTCAATGGCACCAACTCGGCCAACCTACTCAACGTCTCCAATTGCACCACCTTTTTCGAAAACTTGGGCGAGACAAGATACGACCCCGTGGTGACTACCCTCATCAAACCCTTGGTGAACCACGTCGGATGGACAATGTACAGCTTCTTGAGATTCTTCCTGAACCTCCTGTCCAGTCTCTGATATGCACGCCAGAGCCAACTCCACCCCGGTCGGTGCGAACCACCGGCATTGAAGTAGATGACGGTGTAGTCGTTTTCGACGAAGAGGTCGAGCGTGTCCATGATCCGATCGAGGAGAGCGTCGTAGTCCACTTCAGCGGGGGAGGGGAGGCAACAGGCGGCGAGGACGACCATGGGTCGCGTCTCGTAGTCAAGTCCGGCTTGGAAGACGATGCGGCGGACGTAGGTGTCGAGGCGTTCTGCGCGGGCGATGGCTTCGGTCCAGTCGGCAGCTGGTCGAGAATGTGCGCCGGGTGACGGGGTTTGGTCTCTGCCGGTGTTGGTGGAGAAGCTTGACGACGGAGAGAGGAAACCGGAGCCGGAGCGAAGTTTGCTGACGGAAGGTTTCGATTGAAGACGAGAGAGCGTGGCGTACGCTCCGCTGGGAGACTCGTTCTTGAAGGTGGGTGACGGCGCAGCAAGATTGCGCGAACGGGAGGAAGGCGATCTGGGGCTGGGTGTGTGCGGTGGCGACGTCGACGTTGATGCCGGCAGATCCTCAAAGATGCCAGCCAGCGGTCTACGTCGAGGCGAGCTCGTGGGTGAGAAGTTCGAGCTCGTGACTGTATGATCCAGTCTAGTCGGTCGTTCTGTTGCCAGCATTGCGCCCTCGACCTTTTCCGCGTTGTTGCCCGCCTCCAGCGGCGCCGATATGTTGAAAGGTATCGCGGCTCTTGAGCGACCCTGTCTGGCCGGAGACGCGCGTGATGGAGAGGCCGACTTGCGCAACGTGCTCGTCTTGGTACGACCAGCGGCGGGACCCCAACTTAGCAAGTTGCCCCAGCCGCCTGGAATGGAAGGGCTTGGAGAATCGTGAGGTGTGTGCGTCGACGAGGACGGAGGTGGTTGAAGTCTCGACGGTCCGCTCTCTTGTTGCTGATTGTAAGTTTCCCAGAGTGAGGCGAAGACGTTGGAGAGGGTTGCCGTTGCGGTGCGGTATCCAGCTGCGGGTGTGCGGTGGCCGGAAGGTGTAGAGATGGGGGTGTTGAAGTTGGAAGTGCCAGGAGACTCGTGCTCCTGGTCGAGATCATTTTGAGATGGCGAGGTATGCATGGCTGCGATGAGCGTTGCCATTGGAGCTGCACCGGAGCCGGCGAGGATACCTGCTGGGATTGACCCGGTTCTCTTAGGAATGCCAAAGTGCTGGGATGTCAGCGGCCGGATTCGCAGTCTCGAAAGCGTGGCTCGATACGGGGCAGCTGCTGTGGAGGGATTGTCCACATTCGTCGGGACGCGATGGTCAGAGCCGGATGGAGACGTTGATGTGGTCGGGAGGCAAAGAATCGATCAAAGGGCGCAAGGAGGATGAGCATGCAAAGATCCCCAAGAGTGCAGAATGTGGAGAGCAGCAGCTGGCGAAGGGGGAAAGGAAAAAGCAGGCACGAAACAAGTGTTGCTGTGTGCATGTCTCACTTCGCCTCTCCTTCTCGGCGTGACGAGTGGGAAATTTGAGGGGCGCGTCTTCGGCTTCAGCCGCACCTGCAGAGCGGCACACACACACACACAAAGAGGACCCTGAAATCGCCGTTCCACCAACTCTGAACTCGCTCGCAGAGAGCACACACAGCGTTCGGCTCAAGTTCTGATTGTGGCTTCGACGTCGACGGCTGATTCACACGCAAACCTCGTTCCGTCCACCGTCATCGAGAGCGGGATAGGCACTGTCGTCATGTCGGATGGGCCTTGTCGAGAGCCTTAGAGTTGCTTCCCACGCCTCGTTCGCGCACCAACCCTTGACGCTGCGATCGCAGCATGTTTGTACGGGTGCAACAGGTGAGTCGGTATGGTCCCGCGCGAACAGCGGCTCATCCGATATTTGTTGGGGTCGAACATCGGTAGCGGACGAGTGATGATGTCAGTCGCAGGCTAGCAGCTGGATGGACAGGTCCCGAGTCAAAGGACGGGTATGAGCGAGTTGTCGGCCATACAAAGAGCAAAGGGTCTCGTGATGCGTGCAAGGCAAGCACGAGCAGAGCAGAGCAGGGCTTCATTCTCTGTTGTGCCTGATAAAGGCAGGCAGGCAGGCAGACAGACACATAGACTTGCCGCTGATGCCGCTTTCCAAGGCCAATGGAGCATAATAGTCGCTCAAGCGCCACGTGAGCCGAATAACAAACACTCGAGAAAAGACGCGTTGAGGCTAGTGTAGAGTGGCCGTGTGTCGCAACAATTCACACGCCGTCACGCGAAATAGGGGTCTGCGCTTGGATAGCCGACCTGCTGTTCTGACCTGGCCACGCAGCTCGTGACAGAAACACTCTTGTCCTGCCTCATCTGTGCTGCTGCCAAGGTATGACAGATTCGCAATAGGACCGCATTCGTCATTCTCATGGTCTGTCTAGCCCTACTAGTGACAAGCAAACGCAGCAACTGCGACTGGAACGCTTTCTCGTGTCAGGGTATACTGTATATTGCATCAGGCCTCTACTATCCGCTAGCTACATTCATCTTTCGCCACATGAATCCGATCAAGCAAGTTCCAATCAGCGTGACCGCCAGTTCGAGCGAAACGATGCCGAACTGACCTACCTGAAAGACAGTGGCACCCCAGAGCGCACCCCAGATACGCCCCACGTTGTTCGAAAGCTGAATGACGGTCGACGTCAGACCATTGTACTTTGCCGGTATCTGCTTGGACAGCAGTGCCAGCGTGATGGTCGTCAGCGCATTGAAGCCCAGAGATACGAAGAACCAGCTGGTGAAGAACGAGCCAAAGGTAAGCTCCTGCAGTGCTCCTAATCGGTCCACTGCCGAGTGGGAGGGGCTCTCCAATGCTCCCAAGTGAAGCGATAGTCCGAGCAATCCGAACAGCGTTCCTCCAGCCAAGATGAGACGATCCTGAATGTACTTTGCTGCAAACACGAGTGCGAACAGGATGGGCATAGTCGCCAATCCACCGAGAGCGATCACATTTCCAGCATTGTACTCGCTCCATCCGAAGCGCAGATGACCAAAGATCGGGATGTTGACTTCCCAAGCACCTAGGACGAGGAAGTTGACCATGCTGAACCAACACATGGTCATGACCGAGAACTTTTGCGTCGAGTTGAGCTCGCGGAACATGCCTCGTAGCGTCGGTTCTTGCGAAGACAATGACTCTTTTGATCTTGTTCGTTCTGCCGGGGAGAGCGTCGAGAGCTCGATTTCTCGTTGGGCTTGGGTGGGTGCTCGAACAGGATCGCGGAACACGATCCATGTTACGGTGAAGAAGACCGCAAAAACTGCTACCATGACCCATCCTGACGCTGTGAATCCGTTCCACAGCCTATGCTCGTCCGTCATAGGCCTCAGCTTCTTCGTCAACAGTCCTCCTACATACGGCCCCACTGCCATCCCTGCAACCTGGCTCGTCACCAAACATGCTGCCATCATAGTCCTCTTCTCGGTCCCTACCACCGCCGCATCGGTAAAGTAAGATTTTACAAAACGCCACACAACGAAGCCAGCGCCGATTATAGCACGTCCTACAAGCATCAGCCACGCGGTATCGGCTACACCTGCCAGCGCGTAGACCACTTCCCCGACCATGATGCACACGGCACCGAACAGGATGGGGAAACGATAGACCCGATCGTACCGCATGGAAAAGGGAACCAGCAGCAGTCCCGAAACGACGACCGAGATACCAACGGTGAGACCGGAGAACCATGTCGATGCTCCCAGTTCGTTGGAGTAGTTGGCTGAACTCGGAACGATGATGAAGAAGGTCATGTTGAGGAGGAAGTTGAGGGTGAGGATGATGCTGCTTTGAGAGAAAGGGGGGATGTGGTCCGGAGCTACGGTCGGGTAGATAAGAGCGTCGGACGTTGCAGCGCCATCGGCCAGCGACACTGCGCTTTCGACATGGTCGATCTTGGTGAGATTGGAAGGGACATTGCTTGCCTTGGTGTCGATCAGAGGTGAAGGCCTGGGTGTAGTTGCGGTGATGGCATCAGAAGCGTGGGCGTCCAATACGCCTGGTGCAGGCAAGGTTGTCATGGCGGTCATGTACTACAAGCTTCACCGATGGATGGTGGTCGAGCAGATCATTTATGCCGAGGATGTCGCCAAGGTCAAGCAGGGAGAAGGCACAGTGTTCGAGTCATGGACGAGGATATCTCCGCCGGTGAGGAGTTGTCGTTGTCAGGACATGTGCCTGCGTGTCAGGAACCGCGAAAAACGCCGCTGTTTCAGCTCCCAGAGGGAATCTCCAACGGAAATAGGCGCGTCCGACACCTCTCGACCCGATCTGCATCGGGCCGAAAGTCTACACAGACTTTTCTCACCACACATGACACGAAGTAGAGAGCATCGAGGACGAAACGATATGATTGCAAGTCCCATATTGTTCCAGAAGGCACAGAAGAAACTAAACAAGAATGTTGCCAGACTGACCAGAACCCGTCGACTAGGAAAAGCGAATCCCATACGCAGCAAGCACCTGTTACAGTAACCCACTCAGAATCCACCCAAGTATCCAGTGCCGAACTGAAGGCCAACAGTGAAATCAGACATGGCTAACATGCCCAGCAGCGTAGCGAATGTGTAGAACGCCGTAACCACTGAACACGCCTCACCTGCCTCGTGAAAGACAGATGATTTACTCTTGGACCCTCACCAGGAACCGCTACGGCTTAGAAGAGCGCATGGCGGGCAGAATTAGGTCCAGATATTGGAAGGAGGAAGAGGGAACGGGGCGAAACGAGAACAGGAGATGGGTAGAATGGGTATACTCAAGGCTGGGATAAAGGGGTGGAGAGGGCGGGCGAGAAACAGAGACGAGGTTGGCAGGAGGAACGGCTCATGTGAGACTGGATGCGAGGCATTGATGTCGAGGATGCATCGATGGACCGAATTAGACGGAAGCAGACCGCAAACGAACCACAGAGTCGGTGAAAAGTAGACGATGTCGAAGATGGCATGAGAAGATGGCTTTGTGGTGGACGAAGGGAAGAGGAGCAAGGCTGTCGAGCAATCGAGGCTTTTATGCATTTTGTCGAAATCTTCTCGACCAATTTTTCTTCTCCTTTTCTGCACTCGCTCACGCACCGCACCGGGATTCGGCCTCACGTGACGCGTAGGCGCTGTTGGAAGCGTATTGGTGGAATGACAACTCGGTCTTTCTCCACTTTGTATCGATGGCAACCTCCTCATCATCGCGGCCGACCACAGCGACCAGCTTGCCCGCATCTCAAGCAGAGAAACAGCTCCCAAAATACCGGCTAGAACCAACAAGAACCGACAGCCCAATCGCGTCGTTCCCATCCGCAACTAAGCAGACAAGGAAACTCTCCTTTGCGCCCCCGGATTTCAAGACTGGCGACATCGTATCCTTCGCCGCCTCAAGCTTGTAACCCTAGCCTAGCTTGACAGCGAAGCATATCGAAGCGTATATCCTAGGACCATCGCCCATCCGCCGCGTCGATGAAGCTCACACCAGAGCTCCTCTCACGGAGCAGCTCTTCCATCAACACACTCCGAGATCGAGAGCTCGACCTTCGTGGACTCAAGATCCCGGCCATCGAGAACCTCGGCGTGACTCGCGATCAGAACGACACATTAGACTTGACCGACAATGACATCCGCTATCTTGGCAACTTCCCACTCTTGCGACAGCTCAAAACCCTGCAGTTGGCCAACAACTTGATATCGCGCATTGACCCTCGCATAGGCTTCTCGCTGCCAGCGTTGCATTCGTTGAATTTGACCAACAACTCGATATCCGAACTGTCGGAGCTAGTACACCTGACCAAGTGCAGTCGATTGGAGTATCTGTGTTTGATGGGGACACCAGCGAGCAGGGAGAAGCATTACCGAGAGTTTGTAATCTGGAAGTTGCCTCAGGTGCGAGTATTGGACTACCAGAGGATAAAGGATAAGGAAAGAGCGTTGGCAAAAGAATTGATGGAAACAGAGGATGCGAGACCGTCAGCGTTGGCAGCGAGTATCCTCAAAAAGTCGGATGCGATGGATGTAGAAGGAGATGTGGTCGTGGGCAAGCAAAAGACATTCGAGCCAGGCAGGCTCAACGGATCATCAAGACGGTTGCTGACAGCGGAAGAGCGCAAGGCTATCGAGGATGCCATCGAGAACAGCGAGAGCTTGGAAGAGATCCGCAAGCTCGAAGAACAGCTCAAGATGGGTCACACCTTCGCATCCTAAAACGTCCTGCTCCATCTCCTCGACCACAAACGCCTACGTTGCATCAAATCGTGTTCTTGTCACTGCCTTGTACTTGTATTGTCTATCTCACATTAAAGCATTGCTACTGTCCTCGCCCTCACCGCTGTCATTGGCATCGCCGCTTGCTCGACCTGAGTTCCCATACGGTATAGCTCTGTCGAGACGGAGAGAGCCGAAATCCCGGAATGAATTTCGCCATGAATTTCCGGTTTTTTGGCCGCGGCTGCTTAGGCATTTTCTCTCGCCTCAACACTTTTTTAGGTCACAAGATCTTGAGGCAGCAGAGCGCGATGCTGCAGGAGATTTTCGGGTTCGGATTTGGTGGCGAAACGGTGAAATGCTCGAAACGTGATTCGGCAATTTCTTCTTGTTGTAGCTTAGCGGCAACGCGAACTGAGCCTCGCCTCTTTCCATCGTCGCCATCATCATCGCCCATCAACCTCCCACAAAGTCAACGATGAGCTGCTGGACCCCTTCAGCCGCATCTATGCGCGCAGTCGCGCCACGGCTGCTGCGTACACGATCCGCTGCTGTCGCTGCTACTCTCCCAAAGCAGTCGCTCACCAGCGCACGCAGTCCTGTCGCCACCTCAGTAGCATCATCTTCACGAAACATCTTCTCATCGGCCACTCGTCTCAACAGCGCCACTTCAAGCACCGCATCGGCAGCCAAAACTGTTTCTGGCCAAGACCTCTCGATCGCACTCGACGACAATGGGCAAATCCCCTCCGCACCCTACTCGCCTTTGCCACTCGCAGGCACTTCGCCCTCGTACAAGGTCCATCTCATTGTGCATCCTTACGATCAGACTAGACCCGTAGAATCGTGGCCATCACACCTCGAGTCCGTGTCACCCTTCCTCTCAGAGCTCGAAAGCCGCGCCAAGAAAGGCGGCAGCCTCGAAGGCTATGGCATCTCCTTCTCCGCCGGTGACGGCCGCTCCAGCAAAGACGCCGCATTGAAGCCATGGGACCCCACAACATCCCGCATGATGCGAAGCGTTCTCAACTCTGCTCAGGAACAGGAGCAGTTCATCGTGTACGCTTACACCACCAACGGCACCATGGCCAAGGTTGGCCCTGTCTCGCTTGCCAGCCTCGACTCTGACTCTTCCTTCCGCCAACGCATCGACGACGCTCTCGCCTCTGCAAAGCCTCAGACAGGTCGAGCTACACCGGACGACGAGACGCATGTTTACGTCTGCACCCACGGCGCCCGTGACTGCCGATGTGGTGTCGCCGGAACTGCCGTCTACGAGTCTTTGAAGAACGAGGTTCGCTCCCACCAAGCTTCCACCATCAAGAGTGGCAACGACGCGCCAAAGAAGGTCAAGGTCTACCCTGTCAGCCATGTTGGTGGTCATGCCTGGGCAGCCAACGCTCTCGTCTACCCACACGGCGACTGGTACGGCAACTTGAGGGTGACCGACTCGAAACTCGTCCTGCGTGCTGCGCTTTCGCCCGCAAGCTCGGTGCACGATCTCGAGGATATGCGCGAGAGACTCGTACACTGGCCAAGGTGGCGAGGCAGGCTGGGTCTCAGCAAGGCAGCTCAGCGCGATCACTACGCCGAATGGGGACCTCCAACCATCAATGCGGCACACATCACACCCAGAAGCAGAGGTCTTGCCACTTTGACGCCGTCCCGACCAAGTCTGGCTAACATCTCAACCCCCACGCCCGCCAGCGCTTCCATTGCGAGGACCTATGCCACCGATGCATCCGACAGCAACAAGAAGCCTCCGTCCGCACGAATGAACGCCTTCCGAGAGAAGCTCGCAGCTGATCTTTCTATCGACGACTTTGCCGCTGGCGACGTCGATTCCATCATCACCTCGTCCTCTTCCTCCCCCACCGGTCGAGTGCAGATGGGCCGCACAGGCGAAGCGCGTCTTCCATCGCATCTCAAGACCAAGATCCCTACTGGCGCCAACTATACCCGCATCAAATCCGATCTTCGCGGTCTCGGCCTGTCGACCGTGTGCGAAGAAGCAAGATGTCCCAACATTGGCGAGTGCTGGGGTGGATCTGGTGGCAAAGACACTGCCACCGCGACCATCATGATCATGGGTGATACGTGTACAAGAGGATGTCGGTTCTGCGCCGTCAAGACGTCTCGCGCACCGGCACCGTTGGATCCGCACGAACCGGAAAACACTGCCGAGGCCATCTCACGCTGGGGTCTTGGATACATCGTGCTGACGTCCGTGGATCGGGACGATATTGCGGATGGAGGTGCCAGCCATATCGCTAGTACGATCAGCAAGATCAAGTACAAGTCGCCCAAGATCTTGGTCGAAGCGCTGGTGCCGGATTTTGCGGGGGATATGGAGTGTGTTGATCTGGTCGCCAATTCGGGCTTGGATGTGTTTGCGCATAATGTCGAGACGGTGGAGAGGACGACTCCGTTCGTTAGGGATAGACGGGCCAAGTATAGGCAGAGTCTGGCAGTCCTCAAACGGGCTAGGGAGAGCAAGCCGGGTCTCATCACCAAGACTTCCATCATGCTGGGATGTGGAGAGCAAGACGCGGAGGTAGAGCAGACGCTCAAGGATCTGCGAGAGGCAGGCGTGGATGTGGTCACCTTCGGTCAGTATATGCGACCCACCAAGAGACACATGAAGGTCGAGCAGTACGTCAGTCCGGACAAGTTCAAATTCTGGGAAGAACGCGCCAAGGAGGAAGGTTTCTTGTACGTGGCGAGTGGGCCGTTGGTCAGGAGCTCGTACAAGGCGGGCGAGTTTTTCATCAAGAACGTGCTCGAGCAGAGGAGGAACAAGGACGTAGGGGTGTTGCAGCAGGGCGAAGGGAAGGAGATGCTGGTGGAGGATGTTCAGCGAAGTTGAAGGTGGGGGTGACTCAGAAGAGTGAATTTTGGACATTTCCTATTTCGCTTGTGTGAGAAAAAGGGCGATACAGTGGGATGAGTGGTGTGTGGAACGAGTCGAGAACTGGTCAGGAATGGATGGGAGGGGCGGTTTAGAGCTGGGAACGTGAGTCGTAGAGTAGGGAATCGTGCGAGTCTGATACGAGTGAGGGTAGCGAGATCAGCTCGTCGGATGAGACGCTGTGCTGCAGCGCAACTACTTGCTCCGTACTGGAGAGAGTAGGCGTTGTGACGCGATCGAACTGCGACGATCCTTCCAGGTCTTCGTGAACGTACGACAGGTCCAAGCCTCCCGTCCTCTCCCTACTCTCTTCTTCAAACACACACCACCCGTCAATCCCAAAGTCAACCCGACTCCTCACCACTTCCTCCACATCCCGCCTTTTCCCTCTAACCATCACCGTCCACGTCCCCTCCTCCCCCTCCATATCAACGTCCTTCACCAAGCCCGCATCCCACAACACCTTCAGCACCGCTTTCGCCTTGAGGTACCGACGATGTTCGTACTCCAGCGCTGTGGTCGCATCGTGCAGGAAAGCTGAATCGAACAATCGTGGATTGGAAGAGTTGGTGGGTGCGGAAGGATGACGTCCACCTAGAGCGAGAAAGAGCGGATCGATGAGTCGGATGGTGACAAGGGTGGTGGTTGAGGTGATGGTGGTGGGAAGGTCGAGTTGTGGGAATTGGAAGTAGAGGTCGAGCTGGGCGGGGGTTTCGCTATCGCTGGTGGTGGTGACGGAGCTGCAGCTGAGACTGGTAGTGTTGGTCTGCTCCACAGTGTGTTTGGCTTTGGTAGCGAACAGCAAGGCCTTCTTGGCGAGCTTATCGCCGGAGAACGTTCCTGCGGTGCGTCTTGCGCCGATCGTTTTGGAAGCAGACGCCGTCCTCCTTGCGCTACCGATGGGCTGCTTCCTCGCCATCTTGACCTTATCCTCCACCTCATCGCCGGCCAGCCTCAATGCCAGCGGAGCATTGACGATCAGGTTGTCGAACACCCTCGCCCCACCGCTCGAGAACTTCCTAGCTGTTTGCAATCCCACACCGCCTCTAAGCGGCGAGATGGCCAGAGATCCAGCTGCTGGTCTAGCCCCGATGCCGCTGAGCGTTCCTCGAGCGAAGCTGACGGAGGTAGCGTTGAGTTGCGAGTAGGCGGTGCGTGTTGATTGCGCAGACGTGCGCTTTGCAGTGGACCGAAAGGCGTTGATCGCACCTTTGAGCAGCGGCGATCGCACACGGTACGACAGATGAGGCGATCGCAGACTAGAGAGAAGAGTGCGGAAGTTGATGCGGTTCGGCTGAATCTGCTTGGCGAGACTGATGCGGACCGCCCGTGTAGCTCGAGACAGGAGCTGTTTGAGCAGCGCAGTAAAGGTTGCGCTGCGAGCCGCGGTGGCAGTAGAATGGATGCTTCTCGTCGAGGATGCTCGGAAGTTCGCCAAACGGTTCGCCACACGGATAGAGTGGAACGAGCGAGGCTGAAGCGGTGAAGGTGCAATGGCGCTGATGGGGCGAGGACGAGACTTCGCCTGACCAGCAGCGCGCATCACGGCGCGGACCCTGCCTGGGTTCGGCCGCAGCAGCATTTTGAACGGAAGAATGCTTGCAGCTGACGATGATGGTGGAGCTCTGGAAAGTGCGGGGTTGGGTGGCGAGACTTGTCAGGGTCCAACGACACTTCGCTGCGTGCTGCAGCCTCACATTCACAAGTCAATCATGCATGCACCGCTTTCTAATTTCTCTCGCACGACAACTCGGCCCCCCTTTTTACGCGTTGTGTTATACTCGCGCAAGCGTTTCCAACTTCAGACGGCGAAAAGTGTTGTTCTCACTTGCTTTCCCCTCTTGAAACCCCTTCTTGCACCTCGCTATCTCACCACCACTTTCTCGGCTCGCAAACATGTCATCGGAAGCACTCACCTCACCACCCGCCACATCGGCACCCGAATCCAACACCAACAGCAATGTACGAGACCTCAAACCCGTCATCAAAAACGTAGACATGTCCGACGACATGCAGTCGGAAACCATCGAGATCGCCTACGACGCATTGGAAAAGTTCACCGTGGAGAAGGACATGGCCGGTCACGTAAAGAGGACCATGGATCAGAAGTTCGGTCCCACTTGGCATGCTGTGGTGGGCCAGAGGTACGGAAGCTACGTGACTCACGAGACGAAGCACTTTATCTACTTTTGTGAGTTGGAAAGCAGCGAGATCGAAGCGAGAGCGGGCGATTCCGACGAGAATACTGACTGCGACTCTTACTTTCGATGGCGTTTGACGGAAAGCAGACTTGGGACAGATGGCATTCCTGCTTTGGCGTGCATAGACGTTTCGGTTTGTTTCCTCACAGCACACTGTCGGGCTATCCGCGTCATTGTCGTAATGCAACTTTCTATCTTCTCCGCTCGAGTCTTCGATGGAATGCGTGTGTGTGTGCAGAACCTCCGCACGCAGAACTAGGATATCAACAGAGGCGCATCAGCGCCGTCAAAGGAGGACGACTAAGCACCAACGATCCGCTGTCTTGCCCAGTGCAAACTCTTCTGAATCGCCGCCAACAATCCCAGATTCTGAACCTCGACCTCTTTACCACTATCCATCCCTCTTCCTCCCTGTCCACCCTGCCCAACCGCATCGCCGCTCCTCGAACCAACATCGCTACCCAACCATCCATCCAACCAACCTTTACCCATCTTCTCACCATTCCCACCCTTCTCCCTCCTAACCTCTCTACCCCACACATCGTACTCCACCACCCCTCCTTCCTTCATCAACATCTCCTCCCATCCATCCTTCCTCCTCCCCTCCCCTTCCACCTTGGAACGCAGTATCGACGAGATCTCGAACACCAGCTTGGGCAACGTCCTGGCGTACATGTTGGCCAACTCGATGTCGAGCACCATCAGCCCTTTGCGCGCCGTGAAGGGTGCGAGGTGGTTGTGCTTGCGTATGAGGTCGTTGAGGCGCTTGAGTTCGAGTTGGTGGTAGGAGGTTTCGCGCGCCTCCCATTCGGCGTCTCTGTAGCGGGAGGCTACGTCGAGCAGTCGTTGAGAGCCGGGGGTGGTGGCGCGCGGGAGGAGGATCTGTTTGCCATCGATCCACGTGCCGCTGTCCTTATCAGAGGGTTCGATGGTGGTGTCGAGGGGGAATGGTTCCAGACCGTCGGCGAGTGTGCTGCTGGTGGTGATCATGCGACTCGCGCGTCTGATCCACCCTTCGTCCAACCTGCCCTTCCACCCACTCACTTCGGACTCCAACTCCATGTTCAGCTCGACCCACGCAGGTGCCGCTCCCTGCCGCTTAACGATCCGATTCATAAAGTACTCCTCTCTCGCCAGGAAAGGGTTCTTCTCCTCCATGTCTCGTTGGATCGGTTTCCCCCTCAACTTGTTCTCCCGGAACCCGGGCGAGGAAAGCGCCTGCTTGATCCTCTTTTCGATGACACTATCCCACCCCTGAGCATGACCCAGTTGAAGCTGCAGGTTCGAGGAGACGTCCGAAACCTCATCCCCCTTCATCTCCTGTCGGGGCAGGGAAAGTTGATAGTCGAGCACGGATTCGCGTGCACGCAGAAGTTTGCCCCGACGCTGTGCCGTCGCTATGGAGGAGCGAAGTTTCGCCAGTGCTTTCGGATCGTCCACGGGTACCGTGGACGGGTTGATACCAACAGATTTGAGTTGAGTTCGGATATCACTCTCCCTAGGTGCAGAAGAGGAGGAAGAACTGTGCAAGAACTGTCCGTAGTAGATGCTCGGTTGAAAGTCCTCCGCCGCTTTCCCACCCATGAGATGAGCTGGTCGAACGTACACCGCCCTCCACGGTTTGGCGTCGGGTGTCTTGGGAAGTTTGCGACCGTCTTCGTGATCTCCGGACGTTCCTGGCTCCGCAAACAGCTGAAATTCCTCCTCACCAGTGGTAGGGGAAGAAGACGAAGTGGGAGTTTGAATCCCAGCTTTGATCTTTTCGTCGGCAGGGTTCTTTTCGGGGTCGTGTGGGAGGCGGAGGGGTTTGTACTTGTCCATCACCATGCGGAGGATTGTGTCTTGGACGCGCTCTTCTCCGGTCCAGATGGGATCGGTGGGATCGGGTTGGCGCGATTTGGTGGAGAGGATGGCGGATTCCGATTCTTCGAGACGAATGGCATCGGCGAGCAGTTTGGCTGATCCTGTCAGTGGTTCGGAGTCTGATGTGGAGGAGGATGGGGAAGAGGAGTGCGATGAGGAGTTGGAGTGTATTGCGGTGGTCGAAAGGCATCGCTGCAGTGGAGAAGCATTCGATCTTGATGGGGAGGTGAGAGCGGACGATCGGATCGCTATGAGTCGAACCCGCGACGAGGAAGGTGTGGACGCCATTGTGAGTACACTGTGACTTCAACAGGGGGTATGAGATTGGGGAAGGGTCGAGGTGGAAGTATAGGAAGAAGTCGATGATCGCCTAGGAAGATTGGCGGTGATTCAATTAGAGGGAGTGGAGGATCGTCTCGCGCTTTGCCACCGCTCTGCTGCGCGTATTGCATGTGTCAGGGTCCAATTGCCGTTCCTTTTGCTTTGCCGAGTACCCAAAAAGTCGCCGTGCCCTCGTCTCATCTCATCATTCCGTCTCTCCATGGCACTCAATTGTGGTTCATCCCTTCGGTCACAGTGCCTTGATTCGCTCCTCACGGCTCGATCAATCTACAATTTCGAATACCACCGGAAGCAAAAAGGGGACACCGGAGACAATACAGTAACCGGATGTCCTGAAAGAGGGTAAGAAAAAAAAAAAAAGAAACGACGCCTACAGGATTTGAACCTATGCTCCCAGAGGGAATGGCATATTGTTGTTGAGTAGGAAGATACTCTAGAATCCGGAAATTCTAGTGCCACGCGATAACCACTCCGCCAAAGCGCCTTTGATGTCTGCAACGAGAGGTGGTAACATTATATAGCATTCGAAAGTCATAGCTTGATTGTATTATGTCGAGTGAGTGTTTTTTGGCGACACACGAACGCATCACATCTACAACCTACCGGCTGATGGCAGGAATAGCTCTGCTTGCATTGAAGGGCCAATCAAGATGGTCCAGGAGGTCTGGATACCTGGATCGCCGGGATCGAGTCTCCTTCCCTCCTACGAGCGCGATCATCTTCCATATCGTCCAAGCCGGTGATGCTGAACGGATGCTGCTGGTGTGCTGCTGCTGCAGTACCACCTTTGCTGACCGACTTGCGCTGTCTGAGACCCTTCTGACTCTCTCCTTCGCTCGCCAGGGCTGCCTGGCTGACGAACTCAAATCCGGCCTTGGCTGAACTCTTTTGCAGCGTGTTGTCTTCCTCAGCGTGCTCCTCCCTTTGGCTGTGCACATCGACCGCGTGCTTGTTCTTGCTCGGACTTCCACCATCACCACCGCTGATGGGTGAGTCGGAGCTCGCAGCCATCGTGTAACCGTCTCTGTCCCTCGCCCGTCGTTTGAGTATTCCAGCACCCATCGAGTTCAGCTTGATCGCCGACGTACGCACCAAGTCCCTATCGATCGAACTTTCTTCCTCCTCATCCATTGCCGTCCTGGGATCCAACAATGGTCTCATCACGTGCTTCCAGTTCCCCGCCCACGTACTCCTCCTACTCCTGGCCGCTTTCACCGCATCGCCGTTCGACCACGGTGCGTAACCGGGACTGTGGACGAGTGTCAAACTCGGGTTCGGCGACATTGGTGGTGCACTGAATCTGCCCGGTTCCGACAACAGCATGGTCGGCGTATGCGTTCTCGGCGTAGGCGGGTCGAATGGTTCCTGCATCCCCGCACCAGTAGCCAGCCAATTCTTCTCGGGATGGTTGGCGAGCAAGCTCTCCCACTGTCTCGCGAGCCCTTCGGCATCCCGAAACACCACGCCGTTCCACCGCTCCACCACCAGCTCGTCGAGGCACGCGAAATCCAGCGCACACACGGGCAGCCCGCATCCCAACATATCCACCACTTTCATCGGCAAATCCAATCCGCTGCTCGACGTATGCAGTGATACACCGATATCGGCAGATCCCAACAGAAGAGGGTAGTCTTGCGTCTCCAACCACGCCGTTCGAATACGTACGAACCGCCACGCCTCCGTCGATTCGAGGTGTGCGATTTCGGCTAGATAGCGTGTTTTGAGTTCGCCTTTACCGGTGACGATGATGAGAAGCTTGGGGAGCGAGGTCGCGGGTTCGTTGGGGAGTGTTGCTGTTCGGAGCGCGCCGATGGAGGGTCGTCGACGTTCTTTGGACGTTCGGATCGGCTCGACGTCTGCGTAGGAAAAGTGGGAAGACGCCGAGGCTGAGGATGAAGGCGAAACAGGTGACAGGGTAGCGGAGAGATTCTCCCCGGTACTGCTCCTTGAATGTACCAACTCTTCGGGTTTCTCCAACACTCGCGCTCTATACTCGTACAACCTAGCAGACCTCAACAGCATGCCAAAATCTTCATCCGCTGTCCACGATGTGCTGCTTACCACCAACGCCGGTCTATCCTCCCTCCACTGTACTTCCCCTCCATCTCCTACTTTTGTAAACGGTGTCGTTTCCACCAAATCGTACTCCGGCAACCAATCGTCGCCTATCCTCGGTCGGATCTCCTCCAACAACTTCGTCATCAACCTGTGCGTCTCTCCCACATTCGCCCTCCTGAAATGCCCTGGCGGTCTATCATGCAAAACCGCCTTCTCACCTTCCAACTTCCACTCCAAACTCAACCGATTCTTCATCGCCTCCGTCACAAACAGATGCGCATAGGCCTTCTTGCCACTCCACCTTTCCAACCACTCTGCCACTTTCACCAGCCTACTCTTCCCGCCCAGCCTCAAGGCCAAGATGGTGAACGCCAAATTATGCCAGTCGATGATGACCCTGGATTTGATCAATGCGGCCGCGGCTTTGACGATCAGAAGTGTGGGAAGGGCAGGTGGAGTTTGGACGAGGATCACCTCTGGTGGTGGGTGAACCTGGGTGGTCAGCTCGGCGAAGAGCGACACTGCTTGCAGGAGCAATTTAAAGGGAGCGATTGCAATGAATGCGGATCTAGGAAGGCGAGAGATCCAGGAGGGAGGGGAAAGCAGATGGTGCTGCTTGATCGACGAGCGAAGAAGGGCCGGGGGAAGGGCGGATCCGGGGTAACCGACGATGGCTACTTTGTAACCTTCATTGGCGAGCGATTCGACGTGGAAGCACATGCGCGGGCTGCGACCGATATCGCCGAGCACAACGACAGCTGCTGAACGTCCGAGACATGGTGTAGCGGTGTTGCGAGAGCACGAGTGGTAGGCGGAGATGTAGAGGCAGAGGCAGAGGAGGGCGATGGTGGGGATCAGGGCTGCGCAGAAGGCGAGTAGTACAAGCCATAGCAGCATCTTTGCGGTGACGAAGAGGAGGAAGCTATGAATATGATTGATGCATGTTGTGAAGGGTGCTGTGAAAGAGCGGGAGGATGATGTGTGGAAGAGCTTGTGAGAGAAGGTGGTGCGAGTGCAAAAGTGTTGGTCTCGTGCGTCACGCACCAGACGCGAGCTTCTTTATTAATATTTGCCGGTACAGTCAATCGGGAGAGCCGTGCGCTGTTGCTCAAATTTCGGAATTCGCTTCTTTTTTGTGACAGCTGCTTTCACCCTTCGCTCGAGCCTCTTCGTCGTCATCACCATCACCCATATCACACGGCATCATCGAACATCGCTCAAGATGCGCATGGTAAGTGCAGGCTCTCCTGATCCTGATGTGCCAACACTCGATCCTGTAGCATTCGCTCACCCATGCCTTTGTCCTCCCCCCTCACACAGCTCTCCGAACAAGAAGCTAACGAGATCGAAGTCACATGGGAAGATCAACAATCCATCAACGCCTTCTCCCGACTCAACTCCACCTACTCCGACCTTCTCGAAGACCTTCGCTTGCGTCGCGAGGAACGAGAATCCCTCGACGATCTCTCCCTTGAACTCGAACTCGCCGACGAAGATGAAGCGGTCCTCTACAAGATTGCCGATACATTTGTCAGCCTACCCCACGAGCAAGCTATGGAAAGACTAGAGAGCGACAAGGAACACGCAGACGGGGAGATTGAGAAGCTACAGAGCGAAGCCGACAGGTATGAGGAGGAGATGAAAGGATTGAAGGTGAAATTGTACGCCAAGTTTGGCGATAACATAAGTAAGTGGTCAGAGCACATCGGACACGACATAAAGAAGCAAGCTGACACAATGATCTCTTCGACTTTGATGCAGACCTCGAAAGAGATTAGCTCCGACTTCAAACTCAACCTCACAATTATTTCTTGTACTTGTACCCTCACCAACCATCACAATCCAAAACCTGCTTTCCACCTTTCAAGCACATCCACAGAAACCAGCCCCAACCACATCATAGCCTCCAAACCGCATTTGCAACACACACTTTGATGGCTCAGGATGAAAGTGAAATGCCAGGAGACACGGAGTGACGAATAGATGACAGCATGATGTGAACGATGAACAATGATGACGATGCAAAGTGAGAAACCCCTTCTGACCGAATAGGATCGCGACTAAGGATTGGCGAGGTGCAGTCCACCGCCGGCGTTACCACCGTTGCCCCGAGCCGCGCTATCAGGCGAACCAGCGCGCTGATCTGGCTGCTGCTGCTGATGGTGGTGCTGATCCGCATACCCGTACTGGCCCTGGTAGTACTGCTCATCCATAGGCGGCGACGGAGCTGCAGCGTGACCCTGGTAGTGTTGTGGGTACTGCTGAGGCGATGAAGCACCCAGCTGTGGCGACTGGTAGCCGTACTGACTGCCGCCGTGACCTTCCTGCGATCCCTTGTGGCTTGCCTGCGATCCGGCTCCGGCAGCGCCCACCTTGGTAGAGCCGACCGAAAGGTTGTGGGACAAACCGTGGTTGCCGTGCGCCTGAGACTGGCCGGGACTCGTGTAGCCGGGAGCAGCACCCCATGCCTCGCCCTGTGGATGATTGGCCCAGCCCTGCTGAGGCTGCATGCCGTACTGCTGGTACTGCGGTCCTCCGTATCCTTGCTGCTGCGCATAGTAGGCGTCGTAGCCGTCCTGCTGCTGATGCTGCCCGTAAGGGTCGTGGTGAGCATATGCAGCTGCACCGGCGACTCCCGCAGCACCTGCAGCACCCGCAGCGGCCCAACCTGCACCGTTGTCGACGTTCTGATAGTGGTAGGGCTGCTGCGACATTTCGTGTCCCATATCGTCCATCTGGATCTCATTGACGTTGGCGACACTGCCGCCTTTGCCCTCTCCACTGCCACCTGCCCCGCGACCGTAGACAGCCTCGGCACTCGACTCGTTGACGTGATCGTTCTCCTGGCCGAACGAAAGCCATTCAACCTCCTTGGCCTTCTTGGCGCGTTTGCGCAAGGGCAGCAGGATGAGCCAGATCAAAATGATGAGACCTGCAACACCACCCGCAACACCGCCAATGATGGCACCGAGGTTGGCACTGGATCCTCCACCAGAGCCTGAGCCCGAAGAGCTGCCTGCAGTGGCGCTCGGGTTGGCCGAGCTACTGAGACCGGTGACGACGGCGCCATTGCTGTTCGTTGTCGTGTACGTGACGACGACGACGGGGACGGACGTGGCCGAGGAGGCAGTGGCGGCTGCCGAGGTGGCGGGGGCGCTCGAAGAGGCTGCATTGTTGGTCGAAGCAGCTGAAGTGGCTGAGCTGGGTGCGGCGCTGGCCGAAGTGGTGGGTGTAGTCTGCGGTGCAGATGTGGAAGTGGACGTAGGTGGATTAGATGTGCTGCTGGTAGTGGGAGCGGCCGAAGAAGTGCTGGTAGCGCTGGTGGCGCGGGTACTGCTTGAAGTTACAGCAGTGTCGCTGTTCGGATTGGAAGCGTCACGAGTGGTTGCGCCGGTATCAGGAGTAAAAGCGGCATTGGAACCGGTGGTGTCGGTGGTATCAGTGTTGCCGGAAAGTTGAGGAGATCGTGGAAAACCCGCGACGTTCGTATCGGATTTGTCCGCAGGAGCAGGCACAACGGGTGGCGGTGGGGATGGTGGCGATGACGACGTTTTGTTGTTGTTGTCAGCAGCGAGGACCGGGGAGGCAGCGTTGTTCAAAGATGCCATCGTGTAAAGAGATCAAAGCAGGAGCGGTCGGGAAATGGTAAGAAGAGACTCGATGGTCAGTAATCGGTCTTGGATTGACGAGCCAGTGACGATTCCCAAGTGCAAAGCAAGTACACCTCTCGAGATGAGCGGCTCGCCCTAAGTGGACGAGTTGTGCGACAGAATCGGGTCCACCACAACTGTGCAGAAGGTGTGGAGACGACGACAAGGAAGAGGGATGAGGGATGGGGACAAGGAAGGAGGGTGATGAGGGTAAGAGAGCTACGGGAAGAGCATGCAAGGGCGTTGCAAAGCTTGCTTGGGAAGAAGATGAAGTTGATGAACGGACACGGGAGGGGCTGTCGCAACACATCGGCTGGGCTGGGCTGGGCTGGGCTGATCGCGCTGAGCTGCGCTGGGCTGCTATGGCTCAAGGTGGGCTCGACACGATAAGCCGACATGCGGCCTGTATGCTCTGCCTCCTAAGCGCTGCTGCTGACACATGCACATTTGTGCGTGTATGTGCACGTCATGCTTGAGCGCCAAGCTCGAAGCTCAACTCGAGAGACAGACTGGATGCGAAACTTACGTAGCCTGACGCTTGTAGAGGCCGTTAGGGGACCTGCGTTTCATGTTGAAGCCGTTTGTCATGGTCGTGGAGGCGCTGAATGCTGACATGAAGCTGAAGCGAGACGAAGCGGTGGGACCCCGAAGAGAAAGTGTGAAGCGTACGCTCGATACTTGAACGCAAGCTTTGTCCAAGGTGGGTTTCGGCCGCTCCGTGAAGCAACCCGAAGTTTGATGAGGATGTGACTTTAAGAAGAAGTGGCGATGGCTGCCGATGCGAAGAATTCCACGGTGCTGATTGATCCGGCCGGGGTGTGATAGAGCAAAAAGGCAACGTCGACGTCGGGTGGAAAGATCAGATGAAGCGAGCGATCTTGCGTTGCGGGAGGTCCGAGATTAGGCGTGTGTGCAAACGTTTGGCGTGTGTTGGCAGAGTGTTGTCAACTGAGTTTTAATTTATCGTAAAATTTCCCTCATAGCCTCCCGAGGCGCGAGTTGCAGCGTCAAGTTTGGGCGGCAAGGCGGTTTTGGTGGCTGAGGAGCAGTGCAAGTGCAGACATGATCAAAAAGGGCAAAAGAAAGGGGTTTTCTGCAGCCAGCAGCAGACGCGTGATGCTTGTCGCCGGCAACTGACTTACAGCGGCCTTCAACATGCGCTCAAGATAGCACTCTGTCCTTTGTCCAGCTAGATCCAGCTATTCATTGATCAGCAAGAACATGCCATGCCATACTGCTGTCCTATGAAGCAAGGTCGTTTGACACGATGGTTTATTTGATACGGATCGAATCGATTCGAATTTCCTTTGCTATGCCTCGGGTCCACTGCAAACACGCCTTGTCTACACTTCACGCAATCGACTGCAGAGTCGTTTCGCTTCGCTTCCACAGCTCTGGGGAAAAAGGACACATGGAAGAACAAAAAAAGGTGCAGCAGATGACGACAAATTTCTCGATGTGCAGCAGCGAAGCGGTGTGTTCGCAAAGATCGGAAGCAACGACAAGCAGCACAGCACAGCACACTGTGATCAAATCAGACGCATGCTGTACAGTACACTGTGAAGTGTAATATGATTCGGCCTTCTAGATGAATTCGAGGGCTCATCAGCAAGACCTCGGAAAACTGTAACGAAGCCTCTTTTGTGTGTATGACCCTGAGCTGACGTAGCTTGTCGGCGCTGCCGGGCTCTTAATCAGTAAGCCTCGATCGCCTGCTTGCTTTCTCCCTGCCTTATTTCCTAAGATGACACGGCCAGGATCGAAGCACACTCGACACAGCCCATGCCGACGAACCCTCGTTTGCTTCTTTTAAAGATCAGGCTCAGTGTCACCCGAAACAGTGTCGACAACCTTTATTCAATCTAAGCCGACCGACGAACCAGCAGAGGACATTCGATTGTCGATGGGGATCCGTAGCTCGTTGGCAGGCAGGCTGTGCGCGGTGCCTTCGACGGGCCGCGCAGCACCGCCTCATCGTCTTGCTACAGATTCGCATAAGCGAGCAACCTTTTTTCCCTCCCCTCATCTGTGTGCTGTTCACGTGGCTGACCGCGCTGACAAGACCGACTCTTCGCGTGGACCCTTGTTGTTCTTTTTTAGACTTTTGCTTTCTTCCTCCCAGACACATCTCACTTTCATGTCACATCGGGAAAGCCGATGGGTAGCGATCGATTTCTTGACGCAAGTCAGGCTTGAAATCACAACATCACACCAGAAGAACAAGCATCCGTCATTTGTCTCTCGAGCTCGCCATGGCAACTCTGAAGTTTGCTTCGTCAAGAAGCTCAGCCGCAGGCTAGCCGACCTCGTCACGGCAGGTTCGCCGGCAACTCGCCCTTGCGAGCAACCTTTCGCTGTCGGAAAGTCCGTTGCTTCGGACGACGGCATTTCATGCAGACGCTGCTCGTCGTGCTGGTGTGGAGAGGGTCCGTGTCAAACTTGGACCCTGAATTTCGCAAGAAGCTAGAATGTGTCACGTCTTAGCCGTTGCTCTTGCTCTTGCTCTTGCTCTTGCTCTTGCTCTTGCTCTTGCTCTTGCTCTTGCTCTCCTCCCTGCAGCTTGAGCTTGGAGCACACTTTGCCTCCATGCAACGCTGCTGGTCAGCCCACGGCTTCTCGTTTCGTGTTGCAGTTTCCAAATGTATGCAAGAAAGTATGCAAGAAAGTGGGATGCTATATGTGCTTGTCCGAAGTTCCGCAGCTACCACCACCACCATCAGTCTTGAGGGCACCGCAAACATCTTTAGATCCAGAGACATAGAACCATGTCATCGCCAGTCGATTCCACTTTCTCGTCGTCTACCGACTCGCGACTGTCGTCCTCCAGCTTTCACGTCTCTGGTGCAGCAGGTACATCGACTCGCAACCGCCTTAATGCTAGCCTTGGCAAAAGGCACTTTGTGCTCGAATCATTGCTGAATGACCCCTCTTCTAGCTCGAGCATCAGCAGCAGCAGCAAAGCCTTCTTCGACGCTGTCCCACGCAATGCCGAGTTTGATTCGCTCAAGCCCATCCTCGCGCGACTACCGGTCGAGCTAGATGATCAAGAATCGCTGAACGATGACGAAGCTGACGTTGAAAGCCTCGACTACGTTCTTAGCAAAAGCGGCCGTGTCATGTATACGCGTTCACGCCTTCCCTTTCTCGATCAGCAGAGCATCGATCTCTGGAAAGCCCTGCATCACTTCCAGCCGCTTACCGCAGACTACGCATCCGGCTACCTCGACACGGCACCACCGCATCCTCTCCTACCCACGTCAGACGTCTCCGCATGTCCTGCCTTCACCTCGACGTCGGCACGAGCCTTGGCTCAACTCCGGACTTCTTTCAATTGGTCCACCCTTCCGATTCCGTCATCTCCTGCCAGCACGACACGCAAATGGTACGGCGTGCTGTTCCTGTCGGTGCGAAAAGCAGGTTCTGAATCGCTCTCCTTCTACGAAGCTGACCGCCTTTCACACGAAGAAGCTACGCGCTCCGGTGGACTGATCATGTACTGGTACGGCTCGCCACATCCGACGACGGGTGCCAACCTTGCCACCTGCATCTGGGCATCCAGAACCGCTGCTGTGGCAGCCTCCAAGCTTCCACTCCACCACAAAGCCGCGCGGTACGCTGCTCCGAGCTACCAACGCTACGACCTTGTCAGGTACAAAGTTGTGAAGCATGCCAATGATGCTAGGCTGCGCATCGAAGCGTGGACGTCGCAAGACGATCGAGAAGAGCAGCAGGATCTTCAGTAGGTGTTTGTATGTGTTCTTCTGACGTACAATTACATGTGGGTTTTGACGACCGTACGACCGTTCGCGTGTGCCCTGAACTTGAGTGCGGTGCGATTTGCCTGGAATGAGCACAAGTGCAGGCTCAGATCTGGGAGCCGTCGCCACGAAGCGACTTATACGCATTGTCGACGCCGGGTCCGAATTGTTTGATGATCTCGTACACCTCGACCGAGTGATATCGCAGCCCTGATTTGGGATCTGTGTATGGTGCAATGAGACCTGTCACGTCGCAGTACTTTTTCGCCGGTCGTAAACTTGGCGGCGCTTCCACCGAAGAATCTGTCGAAGGACAAGAGCAAGTCAGATGTCATCGCTCGCTGTATAGTCAGCGATCTTATCCATGAGATCCTTTGCCTTGGACCCTGGTTGGACTTACACGTTGGAATGTCTCGCTTTGGCGCACCATCTTCGTTCTCGACTATCTTGTCCTCACCCTCTTCCGCGACGGCCTTTTCCTGCGCGTCCTCATCCTTCATCTCAGCCTCTATCACCTCTTCCTTCCCTTCGTCGGCGCCGGCAGCCTCTTTTGCCCGCCGCTCCCTCTCTTCTCTTCTCGCCACCGCTTGCAATGCTGCTCCTACCAGCCTCGACTTTGCCGGCAGAGCCTCCTTCCTCTTCCTCTCCTTGAACTTTGCACCTGCAGCACGCATGGCTGCTTCCCTCTCGCCCTGCACCAATTGCTTCAGGCTCTTGTTTCGTCTGGACAGGTTAGATGAGATTTTGCTCATGCGCGCGGTGAAGTCGTTCGACTTGAACGGTTTCGGAGCTGCGTGGAAGGATAGTGTTTCTGCGAGCGAAGGTGGGGCTGGAGTAGCTGATGTTGAAGCAGAAGCAGAAGCTGCAGCCCCCGAAGATCGTGATTTGAAGCCTGACATGATGCTACTGCCTTTGTCGTGTCGTGACGTTGATGTCGTTGGTGGTGAGCGAAGGAAGAAGACTACGAAGAGGCAGAGGGAGAAGGTCCGAGCTCCTCTTTCTCTTCCACCGCAATGCTGGAATGCGCCGCCGAGATCCGAACTTTCACACTTTCGCGCCGTGCGTTGAAAATCATTAAAATTAAATAATTAAATTGGCCCCTTTTTCAATGTTTATTTTTGGTGTTTCGTGTTGTTGTGCGACTTTGCGCGTCCGACGAAAATACGCAGGCAGACGAGCTCGCTTGCGGAGTTGAACAGCTCGCAGCCTTGCAGCCGTTGTCCGACCTCACCATGACAATTCACAAGAAAATTTCCAACAACCTGCCACCGAAAAGTGGCAACTGGGACAGCTGTTTCCGCACAGTTCGTACAACAGTTGTGTTTCGTGCTACCCATCGGAAGCTGAGGACCACCAGAGCAAACCGTAGTCAGTGGAGAGGCAAAGCACCAAGGCTCTGATCAGTGTCGTATCGAAGCTGATCATGAGAAAACACGCCTGGCCTAGACGTTTTTCCTGCCGTTAAGCGAGATGCAAAAGAGACGCCGTGCGTGTTTGTGTTGGTCTTGACAGCCTCACTGCCCTGACTCTCTGAAACCGCCTGCCGAGACCACTCTTCTATGCAAGCCCGGTCAAGATCCGCCTCATTGGCTTCGCTGAACCCTGATCTTGAAGGCAATGCCATTTTCGCTGAACCGTGTTCTTGTTGACAATGCCAGCCCTTCGTCCTGAGCCGCAATTCAAGGTCCGTCTTTTGCTTGCATTCGAGTGTTGGTGGTAGTGATCATGTTGCTCCTCTTCCATCATCTTTCCCCTCCTTCATTCCTAGAACAGACCCTATTTGAAGATGAGAATCCCCAGCTTTCGACACAAGGACAAGCAAGATTCTGTCACCGAGAAGCCCGTAGATGCGACATCACCCACGGTCGCTAGCGTCGACGACGCCGCCGCTGCCGCGGACGACGGTCACAATTCCATCTCGCTCAAGATTCACAATCGCACATCCACCGAATTCCTCACACTCTCGGTCTTCGGAGCGCTTCACACAGGCAATGGTGTAACACAACGGGTCGCATCTTCCAGCCTGCCCACCTCTCCTGTGCTCGGTGGTAGCGAGGGAGGCTTTGGCGCGACATCTGCGGCCGGTGTGGGAGCCGGTGTGTTCAGTGTGAGAAACACACCTGTTCGCGTTCCAGCAGGTCAAAGGGTCGATGTGCCGGCAGTTCGAATCCAAGCATTCACGGCGGCTGCAACGGGTGGCTACACTGTCTCGTTGACGCTCAATCCGAGATCGAGTCTTGCTGGTGTAGGTGGATACAGTGCTACCTTGTCTGCTCCTGCACCAGCACTCGTTCAGACCGAGGCCGCTCAAGCGGCAAGACGATTGTGGAAGCCTCTGCCTCTCACACCTACACCCATTCCCGTATCGAAGAAATCACCAAAGCTCGGCATACAGTCATCCACCACACCATCCGCTCCGACTGTCATCGCTCTCGAGTCTACCGACATCGCCACCAACACCCTCCACATCCTTCTCCTGCCCCAACGAGACCTCAACACCTGGATGACCTCCCTCCCCTCCACCGACCCGATCTCCTCCTTCTGCATCCCCGGCACCCACGAATCATGCGCTCTGTACGGCTGGCCCATCTCCGCATGTCAAGAGACCACCTCGTCGATCTCTGTTCAGCTCTCCCGCGGTATCCGTTTCCTCGACGTTCGACTCGCGCTCAAAGGAACACCGGGGAATCAGCTGCTGTACGCCTACCACGGCGTGACGGATCAAAAGATCGAATTCTCCGCCATTCTCTCGCAAGTGTACTCCTTCCTGACAACGAATCCGGGCGAGACGGTCTTGATGTCTGTCAAACAGGAGAACAACATGGCCGGATTCCTCGACACCGTGTTCGGGTACATCAACAAGAATCCGAATCAGTGGTGGCTGGGAACCGGTATGCCGAAGTTGGCCGATGTCAGGGGGAAGATCTTGCTCATCTCGAGATTCGGTAGCTCGGACTCTCAACCGGGTGGAATCCACCCTCCCATCTGGCCGGATTCTTCACCCACCCCTTTCCAGTACAACCTCCCCGATAACACCTCGGTCTACACGCAGGATTGGTACAACATCTCCTCGCTCTCGGCGATACCCCAGAAGATGTCGCTCGTGACTTCGCTGCTAACCCAGTGCGGAAACGATCCAAATGTTTTGGGGTTGAACTTTACGAATGGTTCCAGCTTCCCTTTTGCGTTGCCTCCGTGGGTGGCGAAGGGTACGGGTGATCAGAGCAAAGCAGCCAACGGCGGTGGTTGGTTGCAGAATGTAGGGGTGAATGCGCTGTTGGTGGATCTGGTGGCGACGAGATTGAAAGGAGGAGAGGCGGGGGTGAGGAGGGCAGGATTGATGAATGTGATAGCGATGGACTTCTTTGATCAGAACAACTTGGGAGCGGATTTGACTAGCTTGATGGTTCAGGCCAACTTTCAGTAGACTTGATAGGTAGATATTGTCGAAGCAACAATGTAATGGCATTCCAAACTGCACGAAAGCGAAGCGATCAATGTCGCCTCGTGAGCTCAGGCCCATAAGTGAGTTCGTGATGATGCGTATTGACAAACACGAGTGAGTCACGAACGAAGCACGACTGTTGACGTGTGTGAAAGTGGGTATGATTGCGTTCGATTGTCTTACGACGACCGACTCCTAACATTATGCAACTTGCGTCTTCAATGAGCCGACAGGGCGAACGGATCGGCTCTCGGCTCGATTCCCGGACTGTGACCCAACGGAATCGCCCTGCCATCGCCCAGATCCAACAGAAGCACCGAACAGAACTGCGCATGCAGGTCATCCCCCGCGTCGTCCACCTTCCTCCCCTTTGACTCCTCCTCCTCAGCACCACTGATGCCACTCGGGAAACTCGTCGTGCCATCTACACCCGGCGTCTCCGGCTCAAAGCTCGACGACAACGGCGAACAGGTCGACTCGAACTCCGCGGACAACAACCTGGGCGTCGGCGCATGTTCCTCCGACTCTTCCTCCTCCTCAAACAACTTCGTCTGTTCGTATCCCGGTGGCGGTCTCGGGAGAGAGTACGAGGTCCTCCTCCTCAGACTTCGCATCTCGAACGATGTTTCGCTGTGACCGAACGATCGCACCGATACGGGGGAAGCAGGCGATCGAGCGGGCAACACGATGTCCTGTGCAGGCTGCATCGTAGGCGAAGGAGGCATTTCGTCGACGATGGGTAGAGATGATGCGTCGTAGTACGTCGTACCGCGTCGAGCCGCTGCGTCGATCTTGGACGAGGGAGCGGATCTCGGGGAAGAGGGTGGGAAATCGAGCGATGTTGGGGAGTGATCTTGCGCCGAGTGGTAGGAGTTGCTTGCAGCGATGGATGGTCGGTGCGAGATTACGACGGAGGGGGAGAGAAGTGGTGCGTCGGGACGGAAAGGAGATGCGGTGTTCCACTGTGGAGTTGCAAATTGGACGGTCGAAGTTCGTCGTGATGCGTGGTGACCGATGGAAGCCATTTCCGAGCTCGGAGTGCGAGAAGAGGGGGAACGTGATGGTAAAGGTGAGAGTGCTGGATCCAACGCACCACTTTCTGTCCTTTGCATATCAGCACTGGTGCTCAGGCCGTCAAAAGGATCCGCGATCATCACTGCCGGTGCAGGCGAGAGTTCAGGCAGCCTTCCTTCCGCATCACCACCGACATTCGTCCCTCTACCGTTGATCGCCTCCGCATTCCACACCGGAAGATTCCACACAAATGGCGCTCCACCCTGCGCAACCCCATCAACACCTCCGCTCGCACCACTTACACTTGCTCTCGCCCTCCCCGCATTCTTCTCCACCGTCTCGACATCGGTCGTGTACAACGCTATCTCCTCGGTCAAGCTCAACGAGACCACGCTCACTCCATCGTCTTGCCCTTTGCCCTTCTTCTCCAGCCTTTGCTGCAACGACTCGTGCTGCAAACGCTGGTCCTCCACATCCAACCCTACCGCCACCGGCGCGGTGACACCGGAAATGCTTTTCCTGCCAAACACCGGTTTGGGCGGGACATGGTTCGAGTAGGTCGGACTCGTAGCGATGGTGCTTACGCTTCCCTTCCTGTCATCTGCCGTGTACTGGTGGGAGGCGTACAACCAAGTGTCTCGAATTGCCATTGCTGCGGTGACGCCGTTCGCTGTTGCATTGGTTTGAAGAGGTGCGGTGTACATGGTTCGATCGGCGGTCGGGTCGAGTTCGTTGGATTCGCGTTCACCACGACACACGATGCTAAGGCTTCGGCGTCGAGTGTCGTCGCTTGAGATCGAGCCGTCGTCCCTTTTGGTATTCCTCAACGCCGATGGTGTCAGGACTCGGCTCACGGCAAACGACGTTCTCCTAACGCCGGTCGATGCTGTTGGAGTGGTGGAAGCATCTCGAGCAGAAGCTTGGTTAGATTGGGAGGCGCGACGATTCTTCCACGCCTTGAATATCGCCGACGGCCTCCTCGCCGTCGCCATCGCCGCAGGAGGCTCGTATTCGCTGTCCAGACCATCTTGGCTCGATCTCTCCTTTCTCGAGTGGAGCAGCGTCGAGATGATGGTGGCCGCGGCAGGTCGTCGTGAAGAAGGGAGCGATTCAGGAGGAACGTAGACGTCGTCGGAACGATCCACGCTGAACGAAGCCCGACCGAACGGGTTGATCCAGGAGGTCGATGCGGAAGGCTGCATTCCAGGTAGGTTGTGTGAAGGCGCGGATGGGGAGTTGGACGAGAGGTGCTCGATCTCCTCTCCGTGAGCGAAGGATGTTCGTCTGAGAGTGTTGGTGAACATCGACGCGTGGGTTGGTGAGAACGGCATCGCGAAAGACTTGACCGGTTCTAAACAGATATGAGCAGGTGACGATCTCAGGAACGAGGTGTTGGGGTGATCAACAGGAGATGGAAAGGATGAACGGAGATCTGGATGTGATGGATATAAGATGATCGAGGAGGAGAAAAGAGAAAGAAGGAGGGGGAGCTTTACTGCTCTATGCCATACCCCAGCCTCGCTGTTCCTGATGAAGTCCCCAAAACCCGGACTGATATGAGCGTCGAAGCTCGCTTACAACTCTTGACAGGCTACCGTACTCCAGTTCTTTGCTCACGCTGGTAGCTCGGATATATGTTGACGGCACCGGCAACGCTTTGGTAATCGTTGTGGCGATTGAAAGTGTGATCCGTCGGAAAGGTAACCCAATTCGGATGCGTCTCGCCTCAGAGCTCAAGGGCGGGTAGACGGAGGTGTTGGCGGCTGTACCGAATTTGTTCGACGGTGTAAGCGATTGAGCCTGTACCAGGGATTGGTGGTGCGTGTTGTTTTCCGGGCAGAGCTGAACAGAAGCGGTGTTCGAAAATGCCGTCGCAGTGTATGCCAGGGGCGAGGGTGTGTGGAGAAATCTATGGAGAGAAGGGAAGGAGTAGGAGGAGGAGGAGGTCCGGATGCAGTCGAAAGCAAGACGGAGATGGATGGTGAAAGGGAAGACGGGGGAGGCTATGACGTCCGCGAAAGGAAATGTCGTTGGAGGGAGGTTGGAGGATTCAGGAGGAGTCCGAATCCTGCACCGGCTACCGGGCTGTCAAACGGCTCGCTTGAGATGGAAAGGCTGCAGGCATGGAACAAGCGCTGCACAAGCGAAGCTCTGTCTGCGTTAGCGAGAGAAGCACTTCGGAAAACAGCGGCTTCAACCGGTCCAGCAGCGAGAGGGTCACGCGGAGACAAGTCCTGATCAGAGAACCGACGGTTGTGGAAAGGCAGAGTTCCACTGCTAATCGCTCGTCGCTCGATGAAACCCCGGCCAGTCGACCGGGGAGCAGGGTTCGGAGTACGATGAGACAGCTCAAACGTTAATCATGTCCTGCTCTCGAGACAAAGCGGTCAAACCTTCCAGCGATGGCCATGCATCGGAGAAGGTGTCGGAGAATCAAAAGCATCTACACGCTGCTCTCCTCTTGCCCTACCTATGCTTCTCTGTCTACGAGGCTCACCTGTCCAACTTTGTCTCTGCCTTTCGCCTCGGTCGTTCCCATTGTACTCTCGGTGATCTCGGTGAAGGCGGCACCATCACCGCCTCTCTTTACGATACACATTGCGTCCTTGTGCAACAATGAAGACGACACCAACTCAAAACGCCCCACCTGCCAAGTACAAGATACTTGTTTTCTGACTCAGGAACACGAGCCTGAGATTTTTTTTCCATGCGAGCGCGCTTCGCCGAGAGAGGAGCAGACGACACCAAGCCTCGTGGGCCGCCTGCTCGGCGAAAGCAGAGAGGCTGGGAGCGGCGCAGAGAGACTGATCTGAAAGCTGCCTAAACTAGTTGCGATAAATCGAATTTTTCCAGGTTCGAAATTCAGCCACGGATTCTGCTTCGTACCTGAATCATAGCGGCACCAGAGCGATCCGGACACGCACTAGTCTCAGAGCCACCCTTTAGCCTCTTTTTTTTTTCTCGACGCCATGAGTATGGGCGAAATTGTTCCCACGGCTGATCGGCCTCTGCTCTTTCACCCACGTGGCGCAAAACGAAACCCTTTCCAAGAGCTTAGAGGGGTTTCTTTGCCCTTGGACAGGGTTCCAGGCTTGGAAGGGTCCTACGGCTCGTCTTGGATCCTATTCATTTGGTCAATCGCGGCAATGGCGACGATTCGGAGCTCGAACACGAGCCACTAGAGAGCTTACGACCGGGGTACGAACAATAGACGTCACCACAATAGTACCGCGGGGACGGGCACGGCGTAAACGCCTTGTTGGTGACTCCACCAAAAAAAAACCAAAAAAAACGACCGCATCGAGAGGAAAGGTCATGGCTTGGTTAGCAGAGCATCCAAATTGGAGAAAAAGAAAATCTAAATTTCTTTTTTTATTCCAGAGCGGAGCATGAAAAAATCACGACTTTTGAAGAGTGTATTCTGGCGAGGCTGCAGCGCCACCTTTGTGGTTCGATGCGTGGCTCGATACGGGAAATGATGAGCTGTCTTGATCGGGCACCGGTGATCTTGACATCTCCGACTTAGTCAAGAGCAGCGATGATTAGATCGTTTGGTCGCTTCCAGGATCGGATTCGGGTTCGAATTCGGATGGGTCCAGCCAAACAAACGTTTTCGATTGGAGCGAGGTGAGCAAGAGTGCGGTTGGGATCCATGTGGCAAACCAAAATTTTGGTTCGGATTCTTCTCGCTTAGGCATGTCAAGACTGGGCTTCGCCCTGCCTCGCTTACCTTTGACGTGGGATGGTCGATCGGCAGCTGGAGAAACTTCTCTCTCTCTCTTGATCGGATCGGCGTTCATCTTTCCCGAAGATCAAATCTAAAGCTGCTGGACCAAAGGCAGATCCGCTAAGCGCATCTCCGAGTGAGTCAGAAGTGTCGGCTTTTGAGACTGCAGCGACACATGCAAGTCATCCGAAATCTCGGTGCATTGCACACCAATCTTGCAGATCGACACGCGTGCACAACTTCCGCTGTCGATCCACCACGCTTGCTCATGGGCCTCGCACTCCTTCAGACATCTTGTAGATCTCTTTGCATTGATGAATGATCTGCTCCGCTTCAATCTCGTCCTTGACAGCGGGCTCATTTTCGACTCGCTCAAAACGAACCAGTTTGCCGGACAAGTGCGTCATACTGCATCGGTTTCAAGTTCGCCGAGACCCCCTTTCCTGAACCGCCTTCATCTCCGCTTTTCCTCCAGAGCGATACGGCTCTGCAATCACACGTCAATCTACGTCGGTCAACCCACAGACGTCCTACTAATTGACTGAATCTCAAACATGTCAGTTGTCTTGGCATTGGCACTGTGGTTCTAGAAAACACCCTTTCTTCCGAGCGTTTGCCGAATTGCCGGTGCACGCTTGCCGCGTGCCAAAGGGAGATCGTCGTCACACGTCCTCCTGTTTGTCGCTCTCGAGGCGCAGCGTTGACTTCTTATCGTTTGGGATATGTTGCCTTTTGCGGATGATCGACATGGTTGTTCCGCATTTGTTTACTTCTTCAAACCGTCGGAAAACGGCCTAAGTGTGTAGACGAGGTGTGTCAGAGAAGGAACGTGGGATGCCAACGGTAAGGCGGTGGGGGAGACTTACTCAACAACGTCTCGAGACTGTCAATCAATGCCGGAACTTTTGCCTGTTTCGTCATCGTCACATCAGAGCCAAGATTGCCGATCAGCATCGAGCACTTCTGTCGATCGACTCGGCCGGACGCAGGGAAAAGGTACATACCTCGCATTCAGCGGCTTCTCGACCAACCTGACCGCATCCAAGAAATGCAGAGACAGAGTGGAGAGGAAGAAGAACCAGCACATTAATCTCCTGCATGTGCTTTGTGTCGTATGGAATGGTTCAGACGCTTACGCTACGAGCCACCAACTGCCAGTCGACCTCTCTCTTGCGAGGGAAGATCTCGTGGAACAAAAACATCATCTCCTGTCCCGTCCACTGACCCTTTGAGATCCAACCAAAACCTCGGAACAGTGTTAGCTCTCTATCTCCAATATCAACAAGCGTGTGACTCGCTTACCTTTGGCTTTTTCGGCTGAGTCTTCTTCGTACCCTTGCTTGGAGTCGAAGGCGAAGGCTGAGTCTGAGTGACCGTTCCTTGAGGGCTCACACTTGCACGCGCCTTCTCCGCTGCAGTCATCACAGGAATGAGAACAGTGACTCCATCTGTACTCTCCTTCTTCTCATCCCTCGTCGGGACATCCTTAGGCTTGGGCATCTGCTTGTACATGCGCTTCTTTTTCTCGGGTGAAATGCAATCCTTCACCCCGTACTCGGGCTGAGTAGCAGTCGAGCTGCCATCGTTGACCTTTCGCTTTCGTCCCTTTGCAGGCGTCGTTTTGGGTGCGGTAGGGGTCGGAGAGACGGGAGGAGCCTTTGCAATGAACTGATCGACGGCGGCGAGCGATCGGAAAGTGGTGCTCTTGTTGGAGCCAGCGCTGGACGGTGTGCTGGGCGGAGTACTGGACTGGGTGTGCTTGCTTCCGGTTGCGGAACAGCAGCTGGAAGGAGGAGTGGGGCTGGCATCGACGATTGTAGCAGCGGCAACAGCGGTGGGGGATCTGGCTTTTCCACGAGGAGATCGTGCAGCACCGCCGGCAGAGGCACGGCCTCTGGGTCTACCTCGACCGCGGGGAGAAGGCGAAGTGATCGGAGCGGAAAGAGGGTCGTTACTTATTTTGACGTCGAACGCGGTCGGCGTGGTTGCAGCGATGGGGTTGTGAGGGTCGTCGAGGTGAGTCTGGAGTGTGGCGGCAGTGGTGGTGCCACCTCGACCACCGCGAGCGGAAGGGCCTCCACGAGTAGCACGTCCGCGGCCGCGGCCACGACCACCGGAAGTCACTTTGGCGGTCTGGTCATTCTTGGTGACGGCATTGTCGACGGTCTTCTTCTTCTGAGTTAGGTTGGGAATGTTTGAAGCGATCTTGGGGGGTGGGGGTCTAGGGACGACGTTCACTTGCTTGGCAGGCTCCACAACTTCTTCGTCGTCCGACTCGTCCTGCTCTCCACCTTCGCTCCAAGCAGTGACAGCGATGGGTGCATCGCGTGCCTTTTCCTCCTCCTCGTCCTCCTCCTCGTTCCCCTCCTCTTCCTCCTCCTCTCCCTCCTCCTCTTCCTCCTCCTCTTCCTCCTCCTCTTCCTCCTCCTCTTCCTCCTCCTCCTCTTCCTCCTCCTCCTCCTCGCTTTGCTCTCGTTCCTCCTGAATCTCGTCTTCATCACTGCCCTCTTCATCCGAAGCCTCATCACCTACGTCGTTCTCGTGGTTCTCATCCACCTCATCAGTCTCCTCGACGATCTCCTGGGCCTTCTTCTGGACCACGGCGCCAGGCCTAATCGCGGGAGTGGGAGGTGGAGGCGGGGGCAGCAGGCCAACCACAACCTCGTCGTCGGTCGAGTCGCCGAGGTCGATGAGTTCGTGCATATCGTAACCGCTATCGCCCGACACGTCTCCTGCTTTCGTCATCTGCTTGAGCGGGAACTTTTTGGCTCGGGACAGCGCTTGATCCTCGATCTTGTCTTTCTTGTGGTGTCAAAATTTGTGCGTCGATGGGTGAAAGTGTCGAAAGGAATGATTGGAAGAGGGGTTGAGGCATGGAGAGAAGGATAGATCGGTGGACAAGATGCGAGGACGGGCAAGACAAAGAGCGGTGTCAAGAGTATTTATGTATCGCTATCCATCACACAGTCTGGGCGGAAGCTTATTCTTTAGCCAGAAACAAGCCTTGTGCGGAAGACAAGAACCCGTCACTCCGCACAAAGGCTCCCTCGAAATCACATCCGCCACCCGCATCACATTGCCTTTTGATCACAAACTCAAGCTTTGTGCCGCTCCACGACGGACCCGCATTCACAAAGGCAATCATATTTTGGACTTGATTGCATTGTTCACGCGTGAGCTCTTTAGGTCAATCCTCGATGTAATTCCGCTAATCTCTTTACAGCTCCTGACCGTCCAACCACCTATTCAACATGGCCAACGCACTATCCGGCTGGTCGTACGGGACCATGTGACCCGCCTCGTACACGGTCGCCCAAGTCAACCCGCCACCGCTCTGCGTCCTGCCCGCTTTCTCGCCATCCACAACCCACTCGTAGTTCTTGCTCTCCTTGAACTCTTCACTTCCACTCCAATCCAACGTCTTGACCCATTCGTAGTTGCCGTTGAAGTTGCAGATCCAGTCCAAAGTCCCCACATATACCAGTGCCTTGATACCTCGCTCCAGCAACCCGGCCACGTTGAACCCATTATCATGGCTCGAGTCCAGGATCCTGTTGAAACCCATGGCGACATCGTTGTTGCAGCTCGCGAACTTGCCGATCTCTTCTGTGGGAGCTGCTCCCAGCAAAGAACGCACATCGTCACGGTCCAAGTATTTTCGAATGTCATCGGTGACATCGTAGCAGAGGTTGGGCTCGAGACCGGATTTGCAGTCGTCCTTGATGTTGTAAGGGTTCTGACCGGTGTAAAAGTAAGGAGCTTCAATCTCTTCCGAGCACTTGTCCATCCAGAGTTCGCAGAGATCCGGGTTGACTGAATCCACGCAGTGAGCGGCGATGTTCTTACGACACACGGGGACGTACGTATGCATACGTTTGCACGTTTCGATGCTCAGAATAGGCTCTACACCGCCACGACGCGTGCACGTCATGTCGTAGTATCCCGAAATTTGCTTGGATACGTCGGTGAGACCGTTGCCGATGAGAACACCTTGAAGATTGATGAGTTGGTCTCGGTCAACCTTCTTGCCTGCTTTGAGAGCTGCTCGTTCAACGTCGTGATTGCGATCGGCGACTTCAGAGGCAAAAATGGGGATGTATCTTCCACCGTAGGATTCGCCAGCCATGTAGAAGTCGTTGCGCTTGAAGCGATCGAAGGCAGAGAAGAAGACACGGAGGAAAGCATAGACATCCTTGCCAGCTTCTTCCGTAGTGTAGACCTTTTGTTCGGTCTTGGAGTAGGAGTAACCTACACCGACGGGCTGATCGATGAAGAAGACGTTGGCACGGTTGGTCCACGATTGAGGGTGCCACTTGGTGCCGTTGATGGGAGGGCCGGGAGTGAGCTTACCGCCGCGTTCAGGTACACGGCAGGGACCCAGCTCCATGAAGAGACCGAGGGAAGAAGAGCAACCTGGACCACCGTTGGTCCACAGAATCACAGGATCCTTGGAGGGGTTGGAACGCGATTCGAAGAAGTAGAACCAGAGACTCTTACCGCCGTAAGCGGTGTCGATGTAACCGGACCACGAGGTGACGGTGGGATCGCAAAAGGCTTCCGGATCGACGTCGTGCTCCTTCAGCTGCGATGCGGGTGGGGGCGAGTAGAGCTGCTTGATTCGGATCGAGACCGAGGGAAAATCGCGGTGGGTCAGCACAGTGAAGTCACCCTTCTGCGAAGCAATAATGTGCTCGACATCGGCAGAACCGAAAGCGGCGGAAGAGATGGCGTCCAAAGGCAACTCGACGCGAGCGGGTCCGCTGACACCGGAAGAGCCGGTAAGAAGTGCGTCCATCTGAGCCTGAGCAGTCGAGTCGACGGCGGCCGTCTCTCTTTGCGTCTCGATGTAAGATCCAGGTCGAGCCGCAGCAGCAGCAGCCCATCGACCGTTGGTGCGAGCTCCGATGCCCATGTTAACCTGCTGGCTAGCAGCGTCGAGGCTAGCAGCCGCTGCCATGGTGCTGCCAAGTAGCGCCGCAAGGCACGAAAGGAAAGCGATGCTCCTCATTGCTGCTGTTACACAAAGGCAAGGGAGGTAATTGATGGTGATGGGGAGGAGGAAAGTGAATGCAGCGGAGGCCCCCTATCTCGTATCTCTGCTCACGATGCGGAAGCATGTGGTCCGACCATCATGCTGCTTGCTGCTGCTTCTGCTGTCAGACCATCCGTTGGAAAGAAATGCACGAGCCCACTCTCTCATGCGCTTTGCGTGTGCCGCGCGTGTTCTTGTCGCGCAACCCTTTGGGTTTTGTCGCCGTTTGGATTGCCGACTAGAATGCCGCACACCTTAACATGATTTAAAAAATTCACCCTCTCCTCCACACATCTTCTGCGTTTTGGGTCGGACGAGCGGATCAATTCTACGCTACACCATCATCACGACAGACACTGCAGCACCACAGCTTGGCAGCTGCGGGGTCAATTATCAGGCATGGCATCTGGCTTGGCATCGCTTGCTAGCTACGATAGCGACTCGGACGATCAGGATGCTGCACCTGCCCTGGTGACCGCCCCTAGCAGCCATGTGGTCTCGACCGCTCCGGCACCTGCAGCCTCCTCTTCCAAGCTCGGGTCACTGCTTCCACCGCCAAAAGCAGGACTGACATCAAAGCTCCCTCCGCCCTCCTCATCCTCAAAAGGAAGCGGCCTGTCGCTACCACCGCCGACATCTTCATCATCCAGCAAGCGGAAAGTCATCAAAATCGATTCGCTCAACTCTTTCAAGGAAAGCGAAGATGGTGCCGACTCGGATGATGCCGCGGAGGGCAGTGCAAATAGCAAGAAGCCGAAGCTAGCGATCGGCGCAACAAATGGAGGATCGAGCAAGCATTCCCTGTTCGGTATGCTACCAGCACCAAAGCGGAAGGACGACGAGGTTCTAGCCGAGAGAAGCAGGCAAGCAGAGGCAAGGAAAGCGGCCAAGGCCGTGGAGGGGTCAGATACACAAATGGTGGCAGATGAACGGCTGAGATTTCATGCGGAGGCTGAGCATGCTAGCTCACATGAAGCTCCGAACGAGTCTGCTACCGCGTCGAACAGCAAAACGAAAGGAAAGAACAACGACGCCTTTAGAGCCATGCTCGGTCTAAAGCCCTCGACGGCTGCTAAGCCAAACCCTTCGGCCGCCTCGACCTCTTCGACCGCTAGGGCCCATACAGGCACAGCTCCGAGGACATCATCTTCCCATTCGGCAGTTCAATTACCAGCATCCTCACATTCCGCTGCCGAGACAGCTGCGATACCGACGAGCAAGCCAGACGCTGCGGCCCCAGTCGACTTCTTCTCAATCTCAACTGCCCCTCGTTCCAGTAAAGCTGCATCTTCATCACAAACCTCTTCGTTCTCAATCTCGGCAGCACCCGTCATCGATCATCCAAAGACACAGCAAAGCGAAGAAGGTGTCGATTCCGGCCCCAACGACGAGTCGGAATACCCGGGTTGGCAACTCGACCCGGACGGCTCATGGGTGCCCGTCACACCCGAGGCACAAGCCCAGTTTCTCGCCTACCAACAGTCTACCACCACCCCTTCCGCCCCTCCTACATCGAAAAGTGCATCCAATCTCGACGGTACACGTGATCTTATTGCAGCAGGTCTTACACCGGAAGACATACAAGCCTTCGACGCATCCTCTGCCGCACGCCAAGCCTATCTCTCAGCGGACGGTGATGAGGCCGACAGCGACAAATACGCAGCCGCCGCCGAGTTTGCAGCCGGTAACAGGGAGATACAGCAGAGGAAACCAGGTATGCTCAAAGGTTTAAGGAAGGGTCAGCTGAGCAGTCTAGTCAGTTTGGCGGGCGAGAATCGAGCAAAGTTGGAGAAGAGGTGGCAGAGGGGACGCGAGCAGAACGCTCGCAGGACGAATCAGTATGGCTTTTAAGCGCTGTACAACAGCAGAGGATCGGTCGACTACTGTCACACGCGATCGTCGTACCCCAGTGCAATGTCATATGCTTGATGCTGTGTCTTCCACCCCAGATGATGACCTTTGTTGTGCGAGGTCGATTTGATGGAGTCGAGCCAAGGCGAAATTAAGTAGAATTGTTAGAGTGTGAAACTGAGAGGTGCACAAGCCAGCACGCTCGCACGCCAAACACGCAGTGTTTGAAAGCTTCTTCTCATCCTCCTCGGCCTTCCCTTCGACTGCCATCCCGACTCCATCAGCTGCTTCTTTGATCATCGGGCTGCCACTCATGACACGCTGATTCTTTTGCGAAACGGACACCGCCTTAGTCTCCGTTGGCTGCCAGCCCTACGGAAGAGCTTCCGTTACTGTCCACGATGAACGCCTTTCCGCCAGAACTGCTTCAGCACCACTTTGCGTGCATGGTGGTTGCTGGCCTGACTCCGCCTCCGAAGCCCTCAACACCCTCTACGACGGCAGCAGCAGCAGCAGCAGTAACAGCACCATCCTCACCGTTGCCATCGTCGTCAAGTATGACGGGAAATACACCTTCATCATCAGCGACAACGCCGGATACCGCCCTCGATGTCGCATCAGCAAGCGCACCAGCAGGCCACCCTACCTCGGTGTTTCCAGACCTCACCAAGTCACTACATGATATCCTCGCTTCTAGAGCACGCAACACCCTGTGGGATCCTTCACGTGGACGAGCAGCTGTCTTTCACACCGTCTTTGCCGATCACAACGTCCGCTTACCACCTCTCAAAACAAAACCTTCCGCTCGACACGTTCCACCGATACCCTCCATCACGACAGGCTCGTCTTCTTCCGGATCTGAAACAGCATCATCTGCCTTCTCAGCGCTGCCACCTCGCTCCCCCCTCTCTCCATTACACCCCAATTCTCCTCAATTCCCCGATGGACTCATCGCACCAGTCTGGGTACGCAAACATCGCGAACTCGTCCCCTCTGTCTTCGTCTCCTTCCACACCCTCCCGTCCTCATCAGACATGGACCAACTCCGTAAATCAGACGAGGCGCTCATCAAACTCATCTCGGATCGCAGACGCTCTCTCACCGAAAGAGGTATCAAGCTCACCATCGTTCTCCTCACCCAACGCGACATGCTGGACGATGCGCAGCTCGAAGCGAGGCTCAGCTTCATCAGGAGGAACAGCGGTTTGGATTCCAAAGCAAGTCTCTTCGTGTTGACACCGGTGTCCAAGCCGGAGCTGGCAGAGTTCGTGTCGAGCTTGCATAGCGCGCTGTTCGAGCCTGCGGCGGACTACTATAGGGAGCACGCGAGGAGGGTCAAGAGGAAGAGGACGAGGTACCCGCCGCCTCCGTCGACTCTGCAGCCGCTGGTGAGTGCGATCGCGACGCTTCCGTCGGCGGTACAGGGTGGAAAGACGTTGACGGTCAACGATGTCGGCTGGCTGAGTCGAGAAGGATGGATCGTCAGGAGCGAATACAAGCTGGCAGTGTTTGCAGAGCTGGCGGGGGATATGCAAGAAGCAGCGTTGCGATACAGAGAGGCGTACGATCTGCTGTGCAACTCGCCGACGTGTCTTTTGGGCAGCACGCTCATGCTGCCTCCGCGCACGAAACGGTGGGCGGAGGCAAAGGTGTTGGCGGATACGCTGAGCGTTCGGATCTGCAAGCTCCTGCTTTACGCCGACGACGGTGAGTCGGCGGCTGTGTTCTTCCGTCGACATCTGGCGAGGTTCACGGATCTGAGCACAGGGTGGGGTATCGGAGCGATGACGTTCGAATACTGGTCTTGGCTGGCGAAGCAGTACCGCATGTTCGGCGAGCTGGTTGAGCACGCAACACGTTCCGTACCAGGATCCCCACTGCCACCGTTCCAACTTGCGACCCACGCACCACCACTACCTTCCAAACTGCTTCACCCAGATGCGCTGCCGCGCTTCTCAGACGGACGCGGTGGAGTCTCCGCACCACCCGGAATGCTCCTCCCCAACTCCAACGCCACCTCCGTCTCCATCTGCCCCTACACCACCCTCCAACCTCCTGGCGCGTACTTCTACCTCGCCGCCCTATGCACCATCGAACGACGACAACGCTTCCTCCGCACCTCTCCCTCCACCATCGAAGACACCTCGGATTCAAGTCCGCTTGCGCACGAACGGAAAGTCGACCACACCGCCCAACTCACAGAATCCCTCACCAAGGCGTACGATTCTTTCAAACGCATCCGTCAACATCGTACTGCACTGCTGGTGGCGGCGAGGATCGCTACGGCGTACCACGACGGTGGACAGGATGAGATGGCGCTGAAGTTCTTAGAGAGAATTCTGAAGAGTTACAGGAAGGACGAGGTGGAGACGGTAAGGGGTGCGTTGGTGGAAGTGGCGGTCGAAGCGGCGGTGGGGGCGGGGGATGTGGGGAGTGCGATGAGATTGTTGGTTGAGGTGTTGGATTTGAGGTTGGAGATGGAGGGGGAGAGGAGGAGCGTTTTGATCGAGGCGTTGAAGACGTTCTTGCTTCAAAAGAGGGATGAGGGCAAGGGGAGAGATGAAATGAAGGAGGGCGGGACAGTTGGGGTGGAAGCGGCATTTCTGGAGATGGACACGGTGTTTGCGGTCGGCGAGGTCGAATTCGGTGCAGAATTGCCTTTCCAGATCGTCATTCACAACACGAATCCTTCGTTCGATGTTTCGCAAGTATTCACTGCGGATCGCATTACTCTGTACTTCCAGAACGGAGATCAGGCGGAAGAATCGTCCGTCGAGATCCAATCTTCGGCGGAAAGCAGCGACGACACCTCCCACCCTCCCATCGTCGACCTGGGTACGCTCGACCTGACCACTTCAAACATCGAACCGACCACCGCGCCTTTGAAGACTCTGTTCTCTACCACAGGCGGCACCATCGCATTCCAAGGCCGTATCCACGCGACCTCTCCCGGCACCATCCGTCTCGTTCGAGCCACAATCCATCTCTCCTATCCACTGCAGCTCGACCTCGTCCCTCCTCACGAAGCTCTTTCCGACGACACCGACACCATCTCCGGCCTCAACCCCACTCTGTGGCTTCTCCCCACCAACCGCACCATCTCTCTCTCACAGCGTTCCAACCCTTCCATCACCCTTGTCAAACCAAAACTCTTCAACATCAAGCTCTCCCTCACCCCACCCTCCTCCTCACCCTCCACCTTGTACTACATCGACGAACGCATCCCGCTCACCATCAGCATCGACAACCTCGAGGGCGTCTCGCTGAGGGTGTCCGTCGAAGTTTCGTTGCAACCTTCTTATGAGGGTTCGTTAGACAGTCTCTCCTGCACAGATGGGGAGACAGGAAAGAAGGTTCGGTTGGACGTAGGGGTGGTGGAAGCAGGAGCGCAGGTAGAGAGGGTGGTGGAGTTGGTGGCGAGACAGGGAGGCGGTGTGAGGGTTATCGATGCCAGTGTGACGGTGGTCGGGGAAGATGAGGTGGAGGTGGAGGGTGTTGCGGTGGGAAGTTTGAGTGTGGGTGTGGAGAGGGTTTTCGGTTGGAGGAGTTGGATGAAGTCGGGCGGTGCGGCGGAGAGGAAGGGAGGGAGGAGCAAGGCGTTGTTGGACTTCGATTCGGAAGAAGAGGAAGAAGAGGACGTGAAGGAGAGGTTGGTGGGGTTAGATGTGGAGATGATAGGTGAGGAAGCGGTGACCGTCAACAAGGTTGAAGTCGGTGGTGAAGCGATCGGAGGAGAAGAGGAAGAAGCGTTGGGGGAGTGGCTGACACGAGATCGATTCAGCTTCACTCATACACTCAAAGAGGTCGCCTCACCCACAGAATGGCGTATCACCTGGTCCCGCCCTTCTTCCTCCTCCGTCTCAAACACAACGATCATCACCATCACCGATCCGCCCGCCACCACCACCCACCCTCCACCCACCTCCCCACACCTCGCACTGACCCTCCACCACCCCCTCTCCACCCCCCTCCTATCCC